TCAATGACTACAGACCTGTAGCACTTACGTCTGTCGTCATGAAGTCATTTGAACGCCTGGTTCTCTCCCATCTCAAGTCCCTCACCTCCCCCCTCCTGGACCCCCTGCAGTTCGCCTACAGAGCCAACAGATCTGTAGACGACGCCATTAACCTGGCCCTCCACCACATCCTACAGCACCTGGACTCCCCGGGGACCTACGCCAGGGTCCTGTTCGTGGACTTCAGCTCTGCCTTCAACACAATCCTGCCATCCCTGCTCCAGGACAAGCTCTCCCAGCTCAACGTGCCCGATTCCACCTGCAGGTGGATCACTGACTTCCTGACGGACAGGAAGCAGCGAGTGCGTCTGGGGAAGAATGTCTCGGACTCTCGGATTATAAATACAGGAGCCCCACAGGGCTGTGTTCTTTCTCCCCTGCTCTTCTCCCTGTACACCAACCACTGCACCTCCAGCCACGACTCCGTGAAGCTGATCAAGTTCGCGGACGACACCACCCTCATTGGACTCATCTCCAACAACGATGAGTCCGCCTACAGGAGGGAGGTGGACCGGCTGGTGTCCTGGTGCAGTGGTAACAACCTGGAGCTGAACGCCCAGAAGACAGTGGAGATGATTGTGGACTTCAGGAAGAGCACTGTCCCCCCGCCCCCACCCTCCGTGATGGACTCCCCCATCACCTCTGTGGAGTCCTTCCGTTTCCTGGGCACCACCATCACCCAGGACCTCAAGTGGGAGCCGACCATCAGCTCCCTCATCAAGAAGGCCCAGCAGAGGATGTACTTCCTGCGGCAGCTCAGGAAAGCCAAGCTGCCTGCACAGATGTTGGTGCAGTTCTACACGGCCATCATCGAGTCCATCCTCACCTCCTCCATCACCGTGTGGTTCGCTGGAGCCACAGTCAGGGACAAACAGAGACTACAGCGCATTGTGCGCTCTGCAGAGGAAGTGATCGGCCGCAGCCTTCCATCGCTGCAGGACCTGTACGTCGCCCGAGCTCGAGGCCGGGCTGGTCGTATCACAGCCGACCCCTCTCACCCTGCACATGGACTATTCCAACCACTCCCCTCAGGCAGGAGGCTGCGGTCCATCAGGACTAGAACCTCCCGCCACAAGAACAGTTTCTTCCCCTCTGCTGTTGGACTCTTGAACACTTCTTAACCTGTCCCCCCGCCCTTTATAAAGTCACTTTACTGCCCATCATACGTCACTTTACTTCACTGTACTGCTGTCACCTTACATTGTGTGCACCATGTGCACTTGTATATTGTAAATAGTAACTGTAACTCTATTTTAAATTTAAATTTATTCTTTAGAAGTGTTTTTTATTCTTATTTTTATTATCTCTTTTTGACTGTTGCACTGAGCCAAAGCAATTTCCAAGTCTGTGACCTCCCGTTACTTACGTTGGCAATAAAAATGATTCTGATTCTGATTCTGATTCTGCTCTGTGTCCGCTCTGTGTCCGCTCTGTGTCCTGCTCTGTGTCCGCTCTGTGTCCTGCTCTGTGTCCTGCTCTGTGTCCGCTCTGTGTCCGCATGTGTCCGCTCTGTGTCCGCTCTGTGTCCTGCTCTGTGTCCGCTCTGTGTCCTGCTCTGTGTCCTGCTCTGTGTCCTGCTCTGTGTCCGCTCTGTGTCCTGCTCTGTGTCCGCTCTGTGTCCGCATGTGTCCTGCTCTGTGTCCTGCTCTGTGTCCTGCTCTGTGTCCGCTCTGTGTCCTGCTCTGTGTCCTGCTCTGTGTCCGCTCTGTGTCCTGCTCTGTGTCCTGCTCTGTGTCCGCTCTGTGTCCTGCTCTGTGTCCGCTCTGTGTCTGTGGGATTGTTGTGGCGCTGATAAGAACCAGTTGTTTAAGGCCATCTCTGTGTCCTTTCTAAACCCTGACACATGCCTTTTGTACAATGACTTATGGCAGAGCTGCTGCCCCCGTGTCTCCCCCGTGTCCCCCCTGTCCCTCCTGGTTCTCTGGAATAGTATTGTCAACACTTCTTTTCTAATCAGCAATTCTGCCCCGGGCTATGACGTCACCACACAATCCTGTCATTGAAATTCAGAGCATGGACACGATGTAAATGCAAACTATTTAAGAGGAATCTGAGACCAACTGAGGAAGAGGCTTAGACCCATTTACACCAGCCTCACTCTACTCTACTCTACTCTACTCTACTCTACTCTGCTCTGCTCTGCTCTGCTCTACTCTGCTCTGCTCTGCTCTGCTCTACTCTACTCTGCTCTGCTCTACTCTCCTCTGCTCTGCTCTACTCTCCTCTGCTCTGCTCTACTCTGCTCTACTCTGCTCTGCTCTGCTCTGCTCTGCTCTGCTCTACTCTACTCTACTCTACTCTACTCTACTCTACTCTACTCTACTCTACTCTACTCTACTCTACTCTCCTCTGCTCTGCTCTGCTCTAGTCTACTCTACTCTACTCTACTCTACTCTGCTCTGCTCTGCTCTACTCTACTCTACTCTACTCTACTCTACTCTACTCTACTCTACTCTACTCTACTCTCTGAATGAGCTGATTCCTTATTGATAATGGTGGAGTGAGACTACATTAGTTGGAACCATCTAACCATTTAAGGGCCGTATTGTGTTATTTCTTATTGTCTTACATGACGATAAGAAATGTACATTAAAAATCCATTCACAACAATGCAATAATAACGAACACATATGAGCCATTGGTCCACAGGGAGCGGGATGACCACTGCCCAGGAATGAACTGAGGCTGTAGACCCAGGACTGAGGCTGTAGACCCAGGACTGAGGCTGTAGACCCAGGACTGAGGCTGTAGACCCAGGACTGAGGCTGTAGACCCAGGACTGAGACTTTAGACCCAGGACTGAGGCTGTAGACCCAGGACTGAGGCTGTAGACCCAGGACTGAGGCTGTAGACCCAGGACTGAGGCTGTAGACCCAGGACTGAGACTTTAGACCCAGGACTAAGGCTGTAGACCCAGGACTGAGGCTGTAGACCCAGGACTGAGGCTGTAGACCCAGGACTGAGACTTTAGAAATAATAAATAAATGAGTTTTATGAAAGACTAACTTACCGTTTGTCAGGCAGAGTTGGGCGATGAGAACGGTGCAGAATAACAAATGCAGATTAAGGACACAGTAGTTCAAATCCATGGCGTCTCCAGTGGGAAACCATCCTGCTCTCGCTCTGTCTTTCTCTGTCTCTTCTCTGTCTTTTCTCTGTCTTCCTTCAGAGCGTCTTGTCTCCGTTGTGTGATCTGTTGTCAGCTTCAGAGCCTCTTCAGCAGCTCTCCTCCTTGAGCCGAAGCACCGTGAAGAGGCCCCATCACCACCACAGGCTCCTCCTCCCCCCTCAGCCTCCAGCCCCCCTCCCTCAGCCTCCAGCCCCCCTCCCTCAGCCTCCAGCTTCCACAAACTGTGGTTGTGTCCTTAGGCAAGACACATCATCCACATTAGAATGAGTCTGGTGTGTGTGTGAATGGTTGGTGGTGGTGGGAGGGGCCGATGGCACAGACTGGTTGCCTCGCTTCTGTCAGTGTGCCCCAGGGCAGCTGCGGCTACAGTAGTAGTTTTTCACCACTGTGTTTGGAGAGAATGAATAATGTCCAGAAAACGCATGCATTAGTATGTTTCTGTTTGATAGGTTTCTCTGTGAACTGGGTGCAGCTCTGACTGCCACCCCAGACACATAAACTAAATGTAGAAACAGAAGAAGTCACCAACTTATGAAGACCAAAAATACATAAATGGAGTATTTACACTTCCAAAACAAAAAGCCGTCAAATTGACAGTCTTGGGAGTTCTAATGTTAAGGAAATGTGTTTTGCCCTTTACTTCATTAAAAAAGTAGAGATTTAATATGAAATAGACAAATGGCGAAAGTTAGTGAGAGACAAAAGACTAATTTATAACAGAGCATTTTGTAACTATTATGCTAGCAAACATATTCATTAGATTCATAATGCATGTGTAATATTTGTTACGTGTGAACTTTGCACCTACAACACGTGAACGAACAATAAGCTATTAGAGCATCTGTGCACTACTACTATTTTTTACTTTAATATAAGTTATAACGTTATTTTAGTGGTTAGCGGATTAGCAGACCGCCGCTCTTGATCTCGCCGACGCCGTTCCCATGGCAACGCTTCCGGCAAGACACAGCGGAGGAGAGCGGCACAACTTTCAACACATACAAATGTTTCATCCATGAATTTACAACTCGACCGACATGAGCTCCTCCACCGCCAGGCACCGGTCTCCCAAGCCCCGCTGTACTCCCACACTGTCCGCGTCCGTGAAGACAAACTCTACCCCGGGTTCGGAGCGCGGAGAGCGGACACTGGAGGGGACAGGTGCGGGTCAGAGCTCCGGACAGGACCGGTGCTAACGATGCTAATGCTAACTACTGTTTAAACATGTTTTCTTCAACACTGTCTTGCTAAATGTAAACAGTTTAAAGTATTTAAATATTTAAGACGTTAGCATTACATTGAAACATCGATATAGGTTTTGTTAGCTGGGGATAAATACTGATAAATGTTTCCTCTATCATATTATATCATTATGTACAGAGCAGTGGTACAATGTGGACAGAATGAATAGCAGATAAAAGTCAATTGTCAGTGGACACACAAGGCAAGTTTATTTATATAGCACTTCATACACAGGGAAACTCAGGGCTTTGGAAAGCAAGAGTGGAAGTGTTAACATAATACAGGTAATTTAATCTGGAGAGACACAGGCACAAAATTGCATTAAATGATTTATTTATTAGTTGTGTGAGTAGATTAAAGTTACACTCTCCCATTCTTTTCCTTTGCAGACGTGCCGTGCCGAGCTGTGGCAGAGACCACAAAGAGTCTGGTCCATAATGAGGTGATCCCAGAGGAGCTGCTCGTGAGTCTGACCTCCACCGTCTGCAGCGACACCGGCCTCATGCCCAGTGCCCACCAGCGCCACTGCAAGGTACCCAAGGGAAGGCAGGTTTATTTATATAGCTCAGGTCAACTTCATACCCATGTTTAGTCCTGACTCTGAGCACCAGCAGGAGGCCAGTCCCTGTGCTCCTCAGAGTCCCAGCAGGAGGCCAGTCCCTGTGCTCCTCAGAGTCCCAGCAGGAGGCCAGTCCCTGTGCTCCTCAGAGTCCCAGCAGGAGGCCAGTCCCTGTGCTCCTCAGAGTCCCAGCAGGAGGCCAGTCCCTGTGCTCCTCAGAGACCCAGCAGGAGGCCAGTCCCTGTGCTCCTCAGAGTCCCAGCAGGAGGCCAGTCCCTGTGCTACACACTATTCTTTTGATTGTGGCGTTATCTTTCAGATGGTAGAGAAGTAGCCGCCTGGAGGATTAAACGCTAATGTTTGTATTTTCATGCATATACTGCATTTCTCCAGCTCTGTTTTTGATCAGGGAACAATGTTGCAACTTGAAAAGCTCTAAAAATGCATAATCTGTCCTTTATTACAGGTGTGGAGTGGTTTCATGATCACAGGGTCACGGTGGAATACTGATGAGCAATTCTACACCTCGTGTGTTGGATGAAAGGTGTCACTTTACCGCAGCTGAGCCGCTGTGAGCCTCTGTCCTTTTATGGGATAAAGGCAAAGCTCACAAACAAACTCATGTATTGAAACCTTTTTGTGTCTGTGTTGTAATAGTTTACATTAGATCTGATGTCACGTGTTTTCAAAACATGGTCATACATTTACCATAAGAAAAAAACACTAACATTTTCTTGCAAAAAAAAGCCTGACTGAAAGGGGTTTAGGCTGAAGTCGAGGCAAATACTTCCTCACCCAGGTTTCCTCCGGGTGCTCCGGTTTCCCCTGCCACTAAAAACATGCACCATAGGTCTGAATGTAATGAGAGAGTGAATGGATGGTGTTGATTGGAGGCTTTGAAGGACTGGTGTGTTCTCGTCTCTGAACTCTGAACATTGTAAAGTGCTTCGGTGGACCCTGGCCCGTAAAAATGCACTATAAAATATAAAAATTAACTTACTTAAGTTTTCTCTTACTCAATGTTTATTTATTTATGGGACCATGTTCATTAATCGTGTGTCCATGTAAACATGCCAGATTTAGCCATGAAGGCTCTTTAACATGTCTACTCCATGTCCATCCAGATTTACATTTACAATTATTTAACATTCTTAAAACATAAAAATGTATAGATATTCTCCAGATCATGATTAATTGGCAAAATGAACACAATGAATGTGGAATCTTCTTTCTTCCACTGTGTTTTTAGAGTTGTTCCTCTGATGCAGGAGGCTGTAGGACACAGATGATCCAGGACCAATGTCTCTGTGGTTTTATCACTGCATTTCCTGTGTTTGAACTGTTTGATTCTCTGATCTGTGTTGGTGAATCGACAGCTTTGTACAGACCTCTGAGATAACTACTGCTGTGATTTAGGGCGATACACAACTAAATAGAATTGAATTGGGTTTCCCTTGATCCTCCCAGGGACATTCTTACAGACGCCCGGATCCCGTCTGGCATCACCCTCTCAGCCGCAAGAAGTACCAGTACTTTCTGGAGCAGCCCACGTCTCTGAGCGGAGCCGGCAGGTCAGACACACACCAGACGTTTACCACACTCAGACTAACTGTGACGTGTGTAACCAGACGTTTACCACACTCAGACTAACTGTGACGTGTGTAACCAGACGTTTACCACACTCAGACTAACTGTGACGTGTGTAACCAGACGTTTACCACACACTCAGACTAACTGTGACGTGTGTAACCAGACGTTTACCACACTCAGACTAACTGTGACGTGTGTAACCAGACGTTTACCACACTCAGACTAACTGTGACGTGTGTAACCAGACGTTTACCACACTCAGACTAACTGTGACGTGTGTAACCAGACGTTTACCACACTCAGACTAACTGTGACGTGTGTAACCAGACGTTTACCACACTCAGACTAACTGTGACGTGTGTAACCAGACGTTTACCACACTCAGACTAACTGTGACGTGTGTAACCAGACGTTTACCACACTCAGACTAACTGTGACGTGTGTAACCAGACGTTTACCACACTCAGACTAACTGTGACGTGTGTAACCAGACGTTTACCACACTCAGACTAACTGTGACGTGTGTAACCAGACGTTTACCACACTCAGACTAACTGTGACGTGTGTAACCAGACGTTTACCACACTCAGACTAACTGTGACGTGTGTAACCAGAGACATCTCCTTTCTGTGCGACGCGGCTCAGAGGAAAACCATCACTCTGCCTCCTCTGGCTGAGGACTCACAGGTACAGAACAGACTCTATACAAATATACTGTATATCACATGTCCAGACTGTGGCCTCGTTTCCACCAGCTCTGCTCTACTCCGCTCTACTCTACTCTGCTCTACTCTACTCTACTCTGCTCTGCTCTGCTCTACTCTGCTCTGCTCTGCTCTGCTCTGCTCTACTCTACTCTACTCTACTCTGCTCTGCTCTGCTCTGCTCTGCTCTACTCTACTCTGTTGTGTTTCCATTACGCTTTAGTATTCAACAAACCAGTATCTGGTTAATTCCTTGGTAACCATGTCTTCCAGCAGCACTCTGGCCAACCGCTGTCAGTTAGAACCCTTTAGTACCAGCTGGGCCTGGATAGAACCAGACCAAGAGGGACTAAAGAAGGACCTGGTACTGGTTACACAGGACCAGTAGAACCAGTACCTATCTTTCTGGTCCTGTGAGAGAATCTCTTTGGGTGAAAAAAGCTGTTTCTAGATCAATATTATCTCTCTCTACTTTGTGATTCTTCCCCTTCCTCTGGTACTTACATAAAAAGCCATTGTATTTTTCTACCCCTGAATCCAAGCGCTCCCTCCACAGAACATGACGGTGTCTGAGAGCCTGATCCCAGACGAGTACCACATAGTGAAGAACAAAGGGCTGCGCAGCCTGGAGCTGTACGACGAGTGAGTCTGGATCACACACCTGTTAGTGTCACGTCCTTTCATCTGAAGAAAGCCCCTTTTTGCCCATTTTCCTGCTGTTTTCAAGTGCATTTACGGTGCAGCTGCAGGACGAGGAGCAGAAGCTTCGAGTCTTTCCCTCCATGTGAGTTCAACTAACACTTTGTTTCTCCATCGTGAGATCAACTCTGTTTTACCTTATCCTAAGATACGATAAAACAGACACACTCTCACACCTAAACTCCTCTGTTCCTCGAGAGGACGAGGCTCCTTCTTCTGGTTGAGCTCCGTGGCCATTCACACATAATAACCTGTCTGTTGGTAACATATCGCTTAGATTATTGGGAAAAAAATAGTTTTTAGAGGTGCATTATGTCTTTATGTTTTAGATTTATTTTAATATGACAAAGAGAGTAAAAAAAGCCAGTTCTGCTTAATTAGACAGACAGATACAGAAATGCAGGTGTTCATCCGCACAAACACATAAAAAGTATCAATCGTAATGAAGTGCAACAGCAGCAGAGGTTGGACAGCCGCTAAAGGAGCACGTGTTTTGGTTCTAGAGCTGACATGGGATGGTGTGAGGTGTCTCTAGTTTAGACTCTGTTTAATATTAATAAAAGAACCTTGTGCACTGTGCACCTGCAGGAAGCCCAGCGGCAGACAGGAGGCGCTGCAGCTCATGCTGGTCATGGACGACATGTTGGAAAAGGCCGGAGTGGAGCAGCAGAGCTCAGAGCTCAGTCAACTCTCCCAGGTCTGAGTCACACACAGAGAGACCAGAGAGAGAGAGACCAGAGAGAGAGAGAGAGAGAGAGCAGAGAGAGAGAGACCAGAGGGAGAGAGACCAGAGAGAGAGACCAGAGGGAGAGACCAGAGAGAGAGAGAGAGACCAGAGAGAGAGAGACCAGAGAGAGAGACCAGAGAGACCAGAGAGAGAGAGACCAGAGGGAGAGAGACCAGAGAGAGAGACCAGAGGGAGAGACCAGAGAGAGAGAGAGAGACCAGAGAGAGAGAGAGACCAGAGTGAGAGAGAGACCAGAGGGAGAGAGACCAGAGAGAGAGACCAGAGGGAGAGACCAGAGAGAGAGACCAGAGAGAGAACAGAGAGAGAGACCAGAGAGAGAGACCAGAGAGAGAGAGACCAGAGCGATACCAGAGAGAGAGACCAGAGAGATGCCAGAGAGAGAGAGAGACTAGAGAGAGAGACCAGAGAGAGAGAGACCAGAGACAGAGAGTTAGACCAGGGAGAGAGACCAGAGAGGGAGACCAGAGAGGGAGACCAGAGAGGGAGACCAGAGAGGGAGACCAGAGAGGGAGACCAGAGCGAGAGACCAGGGAGAGAGACCAGAGAGAGAGACCAGAGAGAGAGACCAGAGAGAGAGCCCATAGAGAGAGACCAGAGATGGAGAAAGACACTAGAGACCAGAACAAGAGACCAGAACAAGAGACCAGAACGAGAGAGCAGAACAAGAGACGAGAACGAGAGAGCAGAACAAGAGACCAGAACGAGAGAGCAGAGAGATACCAGAGAAAAACCAGAGGGAGAGAAAGAGAGATTTAGTTTTAATAACAACATTCACACTTACCAAAATAGCACCACATATTTTTAAATTTTAAACATATCCACCCCAGCAGGTGGATTGCATCTGATTTCGGGCCACAGAAGTGTTATTGTAATGACTTTTCTAGAGCACAGGGACTGTCCCTTTGAGTCAGATGTGTTTGTTCAGATCGAGGGTCTTCTGGAGCTGGTGCGAACCGAGCAGAACATCTACAACCTGGTTTTCCATGAACTGATCCGACAAGTCAGTGTGGGCTGTGCAGAGAGAGGCCATCTGCTCGCCAAGCTCAGGTGAGAGAGACCCTCTGCTCAGGTGAGAGAGGCCATGTGCTCGCCAAGCTCAGGTGAGAGAGACCCTCTGCTCAGGTGAGAGAGGCCATGTGCTCGCCAAGCTCAGGTGAGAGAGACCCTCTGCTCAGGTGAGAGAGGCCATGTGCTCGCCAAGCTCAGGTGGGAGAGACCCTCTGCTCAGGTGAGAGAGGCCATGTGCTCGCCAAGCTCAGTAGAGAGAGGCCATGTGCTCGCCAAGCTCAGGTGAGAGAGACCCTCTGCTCAGGTGAGAGAGGCCATGTGCTCGCCAAGCTCAGGTGGGAGAGACCCTCTGCTCAGGTGAGAGAGACCCTCTGCTCAGGTGAGAGAGGCCATGTGCTCGCCAAGCTCAGGTGAGAGAGGCCATGTGCTCGCCAAGCTCAGGTGAGAGAGGCCATGTGCTCTCCAAGCTCAGGTGAGAGAGGCCATGTGCTCGCCAAGCTCAGGTGAGAGAGACCATGTGCTCGCCAAGCACAGGTGAGAGAGACCCTCTGCTCAGGTGAGAGAGGCCATGTGCTCGCCAAGCTCAGGTGAGAGAGGCCATGTGCTCGCCAAGCTCAGGTGAGAGAGGCCATGTGCTCGCCAAGCTCAGGTGAGAGAGACCATGTGCTCGCCAAGCTCAGGTGAGAGAGACCCTCTGCTTGCCAAGCTCAGGTGAGAGAGACCTTCTGCTCGCCAAGCTCAGGTGAGAGAGACCTTCTACTCAGGTGAGAGAGAGGCCATGTGCTCGCCAAGCTCAGTTGAGAGAGACCCTCTGCTCAGGTGAGAGACTGATTGTGTTGTTTTAAGCTCCGCCCCTTCTGTCTAAAATTGCCTGTAATAGACTGATGTCATTGACACTAGTGGTCCATCAACATTAGTGATGGTCCACATTAGTGATGGTCCACATCAGTGATGGTCCACATCAGTGATGGTCCACATCAGTGATGGTCCACATCAGTGATGGTCCACATTAGTGATGGTCCACATTAGTGACGGTCCACATCAGTGATGGTCCACATCAGTGATGGTCCACATCAGTGATGGTCCACATCAGTGATGGTCCACATTAGTGATGGTCCACATTAGTGATGGTCCACATCAGTGATGGTCCACATTAGTGATGGTCCACATCAGTGATGGTCCACATCAGTGATGGTCCACATCAGTGATGGTCCATATTAGTGATGGTCCACATCAGTGATGGTCCACATCAGTGATGGTCCATATTAGTGATGGTCCACATCAGTGATGGTCCACATCAGTGATAGTCCATATTAGTGATGGTCCACATCAGTGATGGTCCACATTAGTGATGGTCCACATCAGTGATGGTCCACATTAGTGATGGTCCACATTAGTGATGGTCCACATCAGTGATGGTCCACATCAGTGATGGTCCACATTAGTGATGGTCCACATCAGTGATGGTCCACATTAGTGATGGTCCACATTAGTGATGGTCCACATCAGTGATGGTCCACATCAGTGATGGTCCACATCAGTGATGGTCCACATTAGTGATGGTCCACATCAGTGATGGTCCACATCAGTGATGGTCCACATTAGTGATGGTCCACATCAGTGATGGTCCACATCAGTGATGGTCCACATTAGTGGTGAGACTTGATTTCAAAAGGTCTAAAGCAAAATAAACCATTTGTGGGAACATTTGATGACACTTTGATATCCTTGTATAACCATGTGACCATGTCCAACCATGTGACCATGTCCAACCATGTGACCGTGTTGGACCAGGCAGCGGTACCAGTCTCTCCTGGAGCGGATCCCTCGGTACCTGAAGTCTCTGCACACGGAGGCTCTGGCTCAGAGGGCGTTGGACCGACAACTCACCGTGCAAATCCACCGCATCAAAACCTCCATCCAGCAGCTCAGCAGGTCACATGACCACTCTCAACCTCTTATATTCGGTCCACTTTAAATAAGATGTATATGTCCCACTGTGGAGATATTTCAGTGTTGCAGCGCACAGACAGGACAGTAGTAAGAGACACAGGGAGCACACACAACATACAATATGAGTAGCTGCTGTGTTTTATAGCTGTAAATGCTTCAATATCAATATATCTCTATACTGTATTTCTATCTGTCTAGACAAATATATATATATATATATATATATATATATATATATATATATATATATATATATAGTGCTGTCCAACGATTAAAATATTTAATCGCGATTAATCGCATGAATTTCATAGTTAACTCGCGATTAATCGCAAATTAGTCACACATTTGTATCTATTCTTTATGTCCCTTGAATTATCATTTTAATACTACTAAAAAGTGAATAGGCGTGCTGTGTGCAATTGCTTTTTTTAATATTTTGTAAATTTGTTCTTGTAAATACTCTATGCTGTTTCTCTGTTTACTTTCGGTATATCTATGACTGTATACTGTTTGCTTGTATTGCCTTTTTTATTAACCCCTCCCCCCCATCTCCCACTTCATGTCCCCCCCCCTATGTGCCCTTCTGGGTTTCTTCTTTGGCCCCCTGTATCTCCAACTACATATTGTTTGTAATCTCTGTCTACAATGTATCTGAACTAGTCCTTTTCTTTGTTTCTATATTTTTTTCTGTATACGTGTTTGTCTGCAACTTTTTTTTTAAATCGCGCGATAAAAAAAATGACGCCGTTAATATTGATTTGCGTTAACGCGTTAATAACGCAATATTTTGGACAGCACTAATATATATATATATAAAAAAAAAATCTCACCTTTGGCCCTCCGTGGGCGGTTATCCCTCTCTAAGCTCGGGTCCTCTACCTTTGGCCCTCCGCGGGCGGTTATCCCTCTCTAAGCTCGGGTCCTCTACCAGAGGCCTGGGAGCTTGAGGGTTCTGCGCAGTATCTTTGCTGTTCCTAGCACTGCACATTTCTGGACCGAGATGTCCGAGGTTGTTCCGGGGATCCGCTGTAACCTCTACTAGCTTCGGGGTCACTGCCCCGAGTGCACCGACCACCACGGGCACTACTGTGACCTTTACCCTCCAGGCCCTCTCACTACTGTGACCTTTACCCTCCAGGCCCTCTCCAGCTCCTCTCTGAGACCTTGGTATTTCTCAAGCTTTTCATGTTCTTTTTTCCGGATGTTACCATCGCTTGGAATTGCCACGTCCACCACCACGGCTGTCCTCTGCCCTTTGTCCACCACCACGGCTGTCCTCTGCCCTTTGTCCACCACCACGGCTGTCCTCTGCCCTTTGTCCACCACCACGGCTGTCCTCTGCCCTTTGTCCACCACCACGGCTGTCCTCTGCCCTTTGTCCACCACCACGGCTGTCCTCTGCCCTTTGTCCACCACCATGGCTGTCCTCTGCCCTTTGTCTACCACCACGGCTGTCCTCTGCCCTTTGTCCACCACCACGGCTGTCCTCTGCCCTTTGTCCACCACCACGGCTGTCCTCTGCCCTTTATCCACCACCACGGCTGTCCCACAGGATCTTCGCAATATATATTTATATAAATTGATATATGTGTGTATATATATATATATATATATATATATTAGTATAAAGTTATACACATATCTGGCAGGATAAGTAGATAAAGTGACATTGAGAGGCATTCTGAAGTTGCAGTATTTACTCTTCACAGATGAGACATGTACAGACTCTCTGCTCCTTCTCTGGCTGAAAGTCCCACTGTCTCGTATCCACTACATCAGCCATTCCCAAAGTCAGTAACATCGCGGCCCCCGCAAAAATCTGACGGGTCTGCGCGGCCCCCGAAATAATAACCAAGGAGACAATGTTAAAAATAGGCTCTTCTCGTTATTTTATTGGGAAGAAATAGTCTCTGCTACAAACATGTAAACAACGCTCCCCATTTTGTAAAACAAAAATGATTACAATTTGATTACTCAAGTCAAATAATGAACACAAATATTTTAATATTACAAACAAAATATTATTTATTTAGCATACAATGTTCCTATAAACTTTTTTTTTAAATGACCTCTCGCGGCCCCCCTGCAGGACCGCGGACCCCACTTTGGGAGACACTGAGACATCTTTCTCCAACACACTGGAGACAAACAAGTGACTAGTTAAAACTAAAGCCCTGTTTCCACCAGCCCTACTTATCTCTGCTTTACTCTACTCTGCTTTACTCTACTCTACTCTACTCTACTCTGCTTTACTCTACTCTACTCTACTCTGCTCTACTCTACTCTACTCTACTCTACTCTACTCTACTCTACTCTACTCTACTCTACTCTGCTTTACTCTACTCTACTCTACTCTGCTTTACGCTACTCTACTCTGCTTTACTCTACTCTACTCTGCTCTACTCTACTCTACTCTACTCTGCTTTACTCTACTCTACTCTGCTTTTCTCTACTCTACTCTGCTCTACTCTACTCTACTCTACTCTACTCTGCTTTACTCTACTCTACTCTACTCTGCTTTACTCTACTCTGCTTTACTCTACTCTACTCTACTCTGCTTTACTCTACTCTACTCTACTCTGCTTTACTCTACTCTACTCTACTCTACTCTGCTTTACTCTACTCTACTCTACTCTGCTCTACTCTACTCTACTCTACTCTGCTTTACTCTACTCTACTCTGCTTTACTCTACTCTGCTCTGCTCTGCTCTGCTCTACTCTGCTCTACTCTACTCTACTCTACTCTACTCTACTCTACTCTACCTGGCTATGCTCTGGCTATGCATCGGGGACAATTCTTCGTAAGCACTTTGGCCATAACTGTTTGGTCATAACAGTTAGAACACTTAAGATTCCAGCTCTGGCTCCTTCACGTGTATAAAACACAGTCCTCCGTTACTCGCTGATGCGTCGCTGACAGTTTTGTGTGTTCTTTCTTTTGCAGTGAGCTGGCGAAGATAAAGGACCACGATGCTTTCGTTTCCCAGCAGGCCGAGCGAGCCCAGCACGAGCTGGACCAAGCTCTCAGCCAAAGTCAGGACAACTCAGAGTCAGTTCTCTCACTCAAATATTTCATGTCATTCTGTTTACACATGACACAACACACAAACACATGTGTTTTTCCCATGTTCACATGAACCATCCATGGTTTCAGAGTGGTCCAGCGGTACCACGATCTGTACGAGCTCCAGAGAGACCGTCTGAACGCTGAGCTGCTGCACATGTCAGAGGAGAGGGACTTCTGGAGGAACTTCACTCAACGCCTGGCTCTCAAGGTGGACTCTGTGGACCAGGCTCTGATCCAGCCTCTGGTCCAGGTGGACTCTGTGGACCAGGCTCTAGTCCAGCCTCTGGTCAAGGTGGACTCTGTGGATCAGGCTCTAGTCCAGCCTCTGGTCCAGCTGGACTCTGTGGACCAGGCTCTGGTCCAGCCTCTGGTCCAGTATCTGGTCTAGGTGGAGTTGACCGGATATCACAGGCCGTAAATCACTGACCCACGACCATACAAGCTTCTGTCTACCACGCTCCCCCCCCCTCCTCCTCCTCCTCCTCCTCCTCCTTCTCCTCCTCCTCTCATTCATTTAGAGGGGTTCTCTTGAGGCCCATATATACATGGTATCACAGTCAAATCGCAGCTTTGAGGGTGCTTTCACACCTGTTGGTCCAGTAAAGTGGTTCGATTGGGCCCTAAAGTTGTTACAATGTTGCAGTTCTCAACTAGTTCGGTTCTCATTCACACCAGTGTTTCTGAATATAAACCACACATACACAGATGTAGCTCTTACCTGTTATGAAATGTCAGAACAGACCTTATAGTGCTGTTTTTCAGGGGTTAGGGTTAAATCCCTCTTGGTTGATCCTCGCCAACTAAAGAGTCTTTTCTCCGTCGAGAGTTGCTCCCCTGTCTTGTAATAACCTTCGGAATGTCCCCACAATCTGCACGGTTACTGCGCCCCCAAACGACGCAGGATGTCGGCATGTTTTAGTGCAAAAAAGTGATGTGCTACGCTTTGTTTACCTACAACTATCAGCGGCTGGACTTACAAGATTGACTTACAAGATAGCTGCGGAATTGTGGGTAGTGCGTGACGTCATCGGAAAACTATCTATTAGGGCTGCAGGAGTTAATCAATCCCCAATGAAGAGACATAGTGGCTGAGTGGTTAGCACTCTTGCTTCTCAGACAAAGGGTCCTGAATTTTATTTGCCAGTCGGAGCAGGAGAGGAGTTCTTTGACAAAGATTCTCAGTTATGTGTGCGGACTGGGTTGTCGAGGTCTCTGCCTTCGACTGCTGCCCAGTCCTCTCAGAACCCAACCACCTCAGACCCCTCTGTGGGTGGTGAGTCCACAGGAGGGACTGCCCACGTCATCCCTTCAGGCTGAGACCGGCCGGGCCCCGTGGGCTAAGGCGCTCGCATTCGAGCCACAACCCCAGGCCTGGCTCCAGGGTGGGGCCCCGGCTGCGCCATGCCGGGCGACGTCACTGATATATTTTTTGTGCGATCCCTGGTGGTTTTTTGGACTGCGCTTCGTCTGACTTGTCACCTGAGACCTGTCTGCCATGGGAGATCCTACCAAGGGCATGAAGCCCCAGACAACATAGCTCCCAGGATCATCCGAATACTCAAACTCCCCCACCACGTTAAGGTGGCAGTCCTTCCTCAAGTGGAGGAGTTCAAGTATCTCTGGGTCTTGTTCACGAGTGAGGGAAGAATGGAGCGTGAGATTGACAGGCGGATCGGTGCAGCGTGCGCAGTGATGCGGTCGCTGTATCGGACCGTTGTGGTGAAGAGGGAGCAGCGTCTGCAGTCAGAGCTGTATCGGACCGTTGTGGTAAAGAGGGAGCTGAGCCGAAAGGCAAAGCTCTCGATTTACCGGTCAATCTTCGTTCCCACCCTCACCTATGGTCATGAGCTGTGGGTAATGACCGAAAGAACGAGATCGCGGATACAAGCGGTCGAAATGAGCTTCCTCCGCAGAGTGGCTGGGCGCTCCCTTAGAGATAGGGTGAGGAGCTCAGTCACACGGGAGGAGCTCGGAGTAGAGCCGCTGCTTCTCCATGTCGAGAGGAACCAGTTGAGGTGGCTCGGGCATCTGTTTCGGATGCCTCCTGGACGCCTCCCTGGGGAGGTGTTCTGGGCACGTCCCACCGGGAGGAGGCCCCGGGGAAGACCCAGGACACGCTGGAGGGACTATGTCTCCCTGGTGGCCTGGGAAAGCCTTGGGGTCCCCCCGGACGAGCTAGAGGAAGTGTGTGTGGATAGGGAAGTCTGGGCGTCTCTGCTTAGACTGCTGCCCCCGCGACCCGGAAACGGATGAAGCAGAAGAAAATGGATGGATGGATGGATTCTTAGTGACTGCCGCTGCTGCTCTGGGGCTGTTCTTGTGTTTCATACTTTCAAAGATGCAGGTTTTCTTCATGAACGTTGTGCTGCAGGTGGTCAGTGCGAAGGACCTGCAGCTGGTCGCTCAGTTACACACCAGCCAAGAGACGTGGCACAAGACAGCAGAGAACTGCAGCCTGTACATTAACACAAAGGTACAACACAATCCCAGTGATCGTGTGACTATAGCACATACACAGTCCAGGCTCAATGTTAGGGCTGGGTTAAGGTTCACTGAGGAGTAGAGTAGAGTAGAGTAGTGATGAGTAGGGTAGAGTAGGGTAGAGTAAGGTAGGGTAGAGTAGAGTAGAGTAGAGTAGGGTAGGGTAGGGTAGAGTAGAGTAGAGTAGGGTAGGGTAGTGTAGGGTAGGGTAGGGTAGAGCAGAGTAGGGTAGTGTAGGGTAGGGTAGGGTAGAATAGGGTAGGGTAGAGTAGGGTAGGGTAGAGTGGGGTAGGGTAGAGTAGAGTAGGTAAGGGTATAGAAGGGTAGCGTAGGGTAGGGTAGAGTAGGGTAGCGTAGGGTAGAGTAGAGAAGAGTAGGGAAGGGTAGAGTAGAGTAGGGTAGAGTAGAGTAGAGAAGGGTAGGGTAGAGTAGAGTAGGGTAGGGTAGGGTAGAGCACAGTAGGGTAGGGAGATAGAGTAGAGGTAGGGTAGGGTAGAGTAGGGTAGCGTAGGGTAGAGTAGGGGTAGCGTAGGGTAGGGTAGAGTAGAGGAAGGGTAGAGTAGAGTAGGGTAGGTAGGTAGGGTAGAGTAGAATAGGGTAGGGAGTAGGGTAGAGTAGAGTAGGGAGGGTAGAGTAGAGTAGGGTAGGGTAGAGTAGGGTATAGGGGTAGAGTAGGAGTAGGGTAGGGTAGAGTAGAGTAGGGAGGGTAGTAGAGGTAGGGTAGGGTAGAGTAGGGTAGGTAGGGTTAGGGTAGTAGGTAGAGTAGGGGGTAGGTAGTAGAGTAGAGTAGAGTCGAGTAGGGTAGAGTTTGTCGAGTAGGGTAGAGTAGAGTAGAGTAGAGTAGGTAGTAGGGTAGGGTAGGTAGGGTAGGTAGAGTAGTAGAGTAGGGTAGTAGGGTAGGGAGGGTAGAGTAGAGTAGGGTAGGGTAGAGTAGGGTAGGGTAGGGTAGAGTAGAGTAGAGTAGGGTAGGGTAGAGTAGAGTAGGGTAGAGTAGAGTAGGGTAGGGTAGAGTAGAGTAGGGTAGAGTAGGGTAGAGTAGAGTAGAGTAGAGTAGTGTAGAGTAGGGTAGGTAGGGAGGAGGGTAGAGTAGAGGTAGAGTAGAGTAGGTGAGTAGGTAGAGTAGAGTAGAGTAGAGTAGAGTAGAGTAGGGTAGGGTAGAGTAGTAGGGTAGAGTCGAGTAGGGTAGGGTAGCGTAGAGTTGTCGAGTAGGGTAGAGTAGAGTAGAGTAGAGTAGAGTAGAGTAGAGTAGAGTAGAGTAGGGTAGGGTAGAGTAGAGTAGAGTAGAGTAGAGTAGAGTAGAGTAGAGTAGAGTAGAGTAGAGTAGAGTAGAGTAGAGTTGAGTAGGGTAGAGTAGAGTAGGGTAGGGTGTCCAGTCAGTCCAACAGGCTCAAATCTAAAATGAAAAACATCTTGGGTCTCTCTCTGTTGACTTTCTGGTCTCTCTGTTGACTTTCTGGTCTGTCTCTGGTCTCTCTCTCTGGTCTCTCTCTCTGGTCTCTCTCTGGACTCTCTATGGTCTCTCTCTCTGGTCTCTCTCTCTGGTCTCTCTCTCTGGTCTGTCTCTGGTCTCTCTCTCTGGTCTCTCTCTGGTCTCTCTCTGGACTCTCTATGGTCTCTCTCTATGGTCTCTCTCTCTGGTCTCTCTCTCTGGTCTCTCTCTCTGGTCTCTCTGTTGACTTTCTGGTCTCTCTCTGGTCTCTCTCTCTGGTCTCTCTCTGGTCTCTCTCTGGTCTCTCTCTGGTCTCTCTCTGGTCTCTCTGTGGTCTCTCTCTGGTCTCTCTCTGGTCTCTCTCTGGTCTCTCTCTCTGGTCTCTCTCTGGTCTCTCTCTGGTCTCTCTCTGGTCTCTCTCTGGTCTCTCTCTGGTCTCTCTGTGGTCTCTCTCTGGTCTCTCTCTGGTCTCTCTCTGGTCTCTCTCTGGTCTCTCTCTGGTCTCTCTCTGGTCTCTCTCTCTGGTCTCTCTCTGGTCTCTCTCTGGTCTCTCTCTGGTCTCTCTCTGGTCTCTCTCTGGTCTCTCTCTCTGGTCTCTCTCTGGTCTCTCTCTGGTCTCTCTCTCTGGTCTCTCTCTGGTCTCTCTCTGGACTCTCTATGGTCTCTCTCTATGGTCCCTCTCTCTGGTCTCTCTCTCTGGTCTCTCTGTTGACTTTCTGGTCTCTCTCTGGTCTCTCTCTCTGGTCTCTCTCTGGTCTCTCTCTGGTCTCTCTCTGGTCTCTCTCTGGTCTCTCTCTGGTCTCTCTGTGGTCTCTCTCTGGTCTCTCTCTGGTCTCTCTCTGGTCTCTCTCTGGGTCTCTCTCTCTGGTCTCTCTCTGGTCTCTCTCTGGTCTCTCTCTGGTCTCTCTCTGGTCTCTCTCTGGTCTCTCTCTCTGGTCTCTCTCTGGTCTCTCTCTGGTCTCTCTCTTGTCTCTCTCTGGTCTCTCTCTCTGGTCTCTCTCTGGTCTCTCTCTCTGGTCTCTCTCTGGTCTCTCTCTGGACTCTCTATGGTCTCTCTCTATGGTCTCTCTCTCTGGTCTCTCTCTCTGGTCTCTCTGTTGACTTTCTGGTCTCTCTCTGGTCTCTCTCTCTGGTCTCTCTCTGGTCTCTCTCTGGTCTCTCTCTGGTCTCTCTCTGGTCTCTCTCTGGTTTCTCTCTGGTCTCTCTCTGGTCTCTCTCTGGTCTCTCTCTGGTCTCTCTCTGGTCTCTCTCTCTGGTCTCTCTCTGGTCTCTCTCTGGTCTCTCTCTCTGGTCTCTCTCTGGTCTCTCTCTGGTCTCTCTCTGGTCTCTCTCTGGTCTCTCTCTGGTCTCTCTCTGGTCTCTCTCTGGTCTCTCTCTGGTCTCTCTCTGGTCTCTCTCTCTGGTCTATCTCTGGTCTCTCTCTGGTCTCTCTCTGGTCTCTCTCTGGTCTCTCTCTCTGGTCTCTCTCTGGTCTCTCTCTGGTCTCTCTCTGGTCTCTCTCTCTGGTCTCTCTCTGGTCTCTCTCTCTGGTCTCTCTCTGGTCTCTCTCTGGTCTCTCTCTGGTCTCTCTCTGGTCTCTCTCTCTGGTCTCTCTCTGGTCTCTCTCTGGTCTCTCTCTCTAACTACAATCATTTGTTATGTCATGGTTGTGTGAAGGACTCTGAGGAGCTGAAGTTCCTCTCGGGCCTCGCTGAGCTCTGGAGAGTCGAGCTCCGGAGGTTCATGTCTGAGCTGAAGAGGAGAGACCGAGACCAGAGCCAGGTCCTCTGTGGTCTTCAACAGGACATCAGCAAGTGGAGGGTCTTCTGCTCCTCACAGACCGAGTGAGGCCTCAGCCCGCACCACACAGCACCACACATCACCACACAGCACCACACATCACCACACAGCACCACACAGCACCACACATCCACAGCTGCCACCACACAGCACCACACAGCACCACACATCACCACACAGCACCACACAGCACCACACATCCACAGCTGCCACCACACAGCACCACACATCACCACACATCCACAGCTGCCACCACACAGCACCACACAGCACCACACATCACCACACAGCACCACACAGCACCACACATCCACAGCTGCCACCACACAGCACCACACATCACCACACATCCACAGCTGCCACCACACAGCACCACACATCACCACACAGCACCACACATCACCACACAGCACCACACATCCACAGCTGCCACCACACAGCACCACACAGCACCACACATCCACAGCTGCCACCACACAGCACCACACAGCACCACACATCCACAGCTGCCACCACTGATCTCTCTCTCTGATCTCTCTCTCTGATCTCTCTCTCTGATCTCTCTCTCTGGTCTCTCTCTCTGATCTCTCTCTCTGATCTCTCTCTCTCTCTCTGGTCTCACTCACTGGTCTCTCTCTGATCTCTCTCTCCTTCTCGTCTCTCCCTCTAGCCTCTCTCTGGTCTCTCGCTGGTCTCTCGCTGGTCTCTCTCTGGTCTTTCTCAGGTCTCTCTCTGGTCTTTCTCTGGTCTTTCTCTGGTCTTTCTCTGGCCTCTCTCTGGCCTCTCTCTGGTCTTTCTCAGGTCTCTCTGGTCTCTACAGTACAGATTGTACTCAGGTTTGCATTTCTGGGGGAAAGTATTATTAATAACATTTTTTCTTTTTGTAGGAATTCTGTTCAAAAATGTCCCAGAGCAACAGTGGAAGAAATGTGGGCAGATTTCAAAGTTTGGTCTGAGGTAACGTCTTCAATTCCATGTATCCGTGTATCACAAAAAAAAAGAAAAAGTAAAAACTTTGAATTTCAAACACTCTTTATGTTTTACTTTTGTAACATAACATGCCGCCTTCATCTGATTAGAAAACCTACTGTGCAGACTGTAAGAAAGAGCCCCGTGAGTCACTCTGATGCTCAGGGCTGAGAGCTGATTCAGCTGGTTTTCTGGTCTCTCTCTGGTCTCTCTCTCTGGTCTCTTTCTCTCTGATGTCTCTGTGGTCTCTCCCTGGTCTCTCTCTGGTTTCTGGTCTCTCTCTGGTCCTCTCTGAGAAATCTGATCCAAGGATGTGAGGTAAAAACTGTTTTGACTTTGAGAAACTGATACAGTGGACTTGTTTACTTATGTTTGCTATAGTTTGAAAGTTAGGTACCCAAGCTTTAAGTGTCACTGTATTAAATGTGTGGTCTCCTCTGTGGTCCTCTCTATGGTCTTCTCTATGGTCTTCTCTATGGTCTTCTCTATGGTCTTCTCTATGGTCTCCTCTATGGTCTCCTCTATGGTCTTCTCTATGGTCTTCTCTATGGTCTTCTCTATGGTCTTCTCTATGGTCTTCTCTATGGTCTCCTCTATGGTCTCCTCTATGGTCTTCTCTATGGTCTCCTCTATGGTCCTCTCTATGGTCTTCTCTATGGTCTTCTCTATGGTCTCCTCTATGGTCCTCTCTATGGTCCTCTCTATGGTCTTTTCTATGGTCTTCTCTATGGTCTTCTCTATGGTCTCCTCTATGGTCTTCTCTATGGTCTTCTCTATGGTCTCCTCTATGGTCCTCTCTATGGTCTTCTCTATGGTCTTCTCTATGGTCTCCTCTATGGTCTTCTCTGTGGTCTCCTCTATGGTCTTCTCTATGGTCTCGTCTATCGTCTTCTCTGTGGTCTCCTCTATGGTCTTCTCTATGGTCTCCTCTATGGTCTTCTCTATGGTCTTCTCTATGGTCTTCTCTATGGTCTTCTCTATGGTCTCCTCTATGGTCTCCCCTATGGTCTTCTCTATGGTCTTCTCTGTGGTCTCCTCTATGGTCTCTTCTATGGTCTTCTCTATGGTCTCCTCTATGGTCCTCTCTATGGTCATTTCTATGGTCTTCTCTATGGTCTCCTCTATGGTCTTCTCTATGGTCTCCTCTATGGTCCTCTCTATGGTCATTTCTATGGTCTTCTCTATGGTCTCCTCTATGGTCTTCTCTATGGTCTCCTCTATGGTCCTCTCTATGGTCATTTCTATGGTCTTCTCTATGGTCTCCTCTATGGTCTTCTCTATGGTCTCCTCTATGGTCCTCTCTATGGTCATTTCTATGGTCTTCTCTATGGTCTCCTCTATGGTCTCCTCTATGGTCTTCTCTATGGTCTCCTCTATGGTCCTCTCTATGGTCTTCTCTATGGTCTTCTCTATGGTCTCCTCTATGGTCCTCTCTATGGTCCTCTCTATGGTCTTTTCTATGGTCTTCTCTATGGTCTTCTCTATGGTCTCCTCTATGGTCTTCTCTATGGTCTTCTCTATGGTCTCCTCTATGGTCCTCTCTATGGTCTTCTCTATGGTCTTCTCTATGGTCTCCTCTATGGTCTTCTCTGTGGTCTCCTCTATGGTCTTCTCTATGGTCTCGTCTATCGTCTTCTCTGTGGTCTCCTCTATGGTCTTCTCTATGGTCTCCTCTATGGTCTTCTCTATGGTCTTCTCTATGGTCTTCTCTATGGTCTCCTCTATGGTCTCCCCTATGGTCTTCTCTATGGTCTTCTCTGTGGTCTCCTCTATGGTCTCTTCTATGGTCTCCTCTATGGTCTCCCCTATGGTCTTCTCTATGGTCTTCTCTGTGGTCTCCTCTATGGTCTCTTCTATGGTCTTCTCTATGGTCTCCTCTATGGTCCTCTCTATGGTCATTTCTATGGTCTTCTCTATGGTCTCCTCTATGGTCTTCTCTATGGTCTCCTCTATGGTCCTCTCTATGGTCATTTCTATGGTCTTCTCTATGGTCTCCTCTATGGTCTTCTCTATGGTCTCCTCTATGGTCCTCTCTATGGTCATTTCTATGGTCTTCTCTATGGTCTTCTCTGTGGTCTCCTCTATGGTCTTCTCTATGGTCTTCTCTATGGTCTCCTCTATGGTCCTCTCTATGGTCTTCTCTATGGTCTCCTCTATGGTCTTCTCTATGGTCTTCTCTGTGGTCTCCTCTATGGTCTTCTCTATGGTCTTCTCTGTGGTCCTCTCTATGGTCTTCTCTATGGTCTCCTCTATGGTCTTCTCTATGGTCTTCTCTATGGTCTCCTCTATGGTCTTCTCTATGGTCTTCTCTGTGGTCTCCTCTATGGTCTTCTCTATGGTCTTCTCTGTGGTCTCCTCTATGGTCTTCTCTATGGTCTCCTCTATGGTCTCCTCTATGGTCCTCTCTATGGTCTCCTCTATGGTCTTCTCTATGGTCTTCTCTGTGGTCTCCTCTATGGTCTTCTCTATGGTCTTCTCTATGGTCTCCTCTATGGTCTTCTCTATGGTCTTCTCTGTGGTCTCCTCTATGGTCTTCTCTATGGTCTTCTCTATGGTCTCCTCTATGGTCTTCTCTATGGTCTTCTCTGTGGTCTCCTCTATGGTCTTCTCTATGGTCTTCTCTATGGTCTAACACATTGTGTTTCCTGGTCCAGACCCTGTTGGTGCAGAGCGAGGTCTTCCAAGGGGAGGCCGTGCTGGTCCACTCAGAGGAGCTGGAGAGGCAGCGGACCATGGGGGACCGATGGTTGGGCTCGGCTCTGCAGCTGCTCCACAGACACTCTGCTCCAGACTCTGCTCCGTCACCACAGAACCAGACCTTCACCCAGCTCCAGAACCTCCACAGACACTCTGCTCCAGACTCTGCTCCGTCACCACAGAACCAGACCTTCACCCAGCTCCAGAACCTCCAGGCCGAGCTCCACACTCGCATCAGCCACCACATCACCGGGGAGAACGGTACAGCAGCCAGGGGATGCTAACGCTAGAGATGTTATACTAGCTTCTTTATTATGCTAACGCTATTGATACTAGCTTCTTTATTATGCTAAAACAAGATATGTTATACTAGCTTCTTTATTATGCTAACGCTATTGATACTAGCTTCTTTATTATGCTACAACAAGAGATTTTATACTAGCTTCTTTATTATGCTAACGCTATTGATACTAGCTTCTTTATTATGCTACAACAAGAGATTTTATACTAGCTTCTTTATTATGCTAACGCTAGAGATTTTATACTAGCTTCTTTATTATGCTAAAGCTAGAGGTTTTATACTAGCTTCTTTATTATGCTAAAGCTAGAGGTTTTATACTAGCTTCTTTATTATGCTAAAGCTAGAGTTTTTATACTAGCTTCTTTATTATGCTAAAGCTAGAGATTTTATACTAGCTTCTTTATTATGCTAAAGCTAGATACTTATACTAGCTTCTTTATTATGCTAAAGCTAGAGGTTTTATACTAGCTTCTTTATTATGCTAAAGCTAGAGATGTTATACTAGCTTCTTTATTATGCTAAAGATAGAGGTTTTATACTAGCTTCTTTATTATGCTAAAGCTAGAGGTTTTATACTAGCTTCTTTATTATGCTAAAGCTAGAGGTTTTATACTAGCTTCTTTATTATGCTAAAGCTAGAGATTTTATACTAGCTTCTTTATTATGCTAAAGCTAGAGGTTTTATACTAGCTTCTTTATTATGCTAAAGCTAGAGATTTTATACTAGCTTCTTTATTATGCTAAAGCTAGAGATTTTATACTAGCTTCTTTATTATGCTAAAGATAGAGATGTTATACTAGCTTCTTTATTATGCTAAAGCTAGAGATTTTATACTAGCTTCTTTATTATGCTAAAGCTAGAGATGTTATACTAGCTTCTTTATTATGCTAAAGCTAGAGATGTTATACTAGCTTCTTTATTATGCTAAAGCTAGAGATTTTAAACTAGCTTCTTTATTATGCTAACGTTTGTGTCTGGTTTCAGGAGTCCACCGCCAGCTCCAGTCTCTCTCTGACGCCGTTGCCTCCTGGTTTTCCACCGTGACTGAGCTGAAGGACCAGCCTCACAAAGCTCTGGACCTGGACACACTCAAGTTGGAGAAGTCGCTCGAGCTTTGGCAAAGTCTGGTGGAAAAAATCTTACATCTCATTCTGTCAGAAGTGAAAGCAGAGGACCACACCATCGAACCGCTGCTGTAGTAAGTATTCAACCATCGACTTAAAACCATCACAGATCTGATTAAAACACTGCCATTGCAAACATGTTCAGGAACAAGTGCAAGCTCAGGAGATTGATAGATTATAAAAGAACAAATATTGTGAATTAAGTTTTGACCAGTGGCGGCCGGCCAATAGAGGGCGCTAGGGCGCCGCCCCACCACTCACAACTTGCCATGTTACCTTGAATAAAACGTTAAAAAAAATAATAACATTAAAATATTTCGAAATTTATGTGTGTTTTATTTCAGATGTGGAAGAAATACTTTATAGATTATGCTGAGTTGGATTGATTAAGCTCATCAGCGTTGTCTGTGTCAGACTGAGGACGTATTTCCGGCTCAGGGCGCTAAAGATTGCGCCCTGAGCCGTCTATGGACTCTCGTTAAAAGTTGTACATGCGCAGTAGCTCCTCTTCAATGCAAGAGATAAGACGATTTGGGGGCGCAGGAGAAGTGCGCCCTGAGGGGGCGGGATCCCCCGCGACCTGTACTGTCACTGTCTGTGACGTCCGTTTACAGTGATTGACAGGTCAAGCTGTGGGAGTTTGAGACGAACGTAAAGAGACGCAAAATGGAGAACGAGAAAAAGAATAATTCAGTTAGATCACTCAAAACAATACCGTTTGAGAGAAGATCATACCAGGAGAAGGTTGAGGTTAAAGAGCTTGGACCTGATCAGCCAAATATTACCATTAGTCAGCAGTCCAGGACCTGGTTCAGCGCCAAATCTTGGCTAGCAGCATGTAGCGAGGCTAATGCTTTATTTTGCTTTCCATGCCTCTTGTTTCAAACATCAGGATCTGACCCAGCATGGATCAAGACAGGTATGACTGATCTGAAGCACTTTTTAGAAAAGGCAAAGAAGCATGAGCAGACTGGTATCCACATGCAAAATGCCCTCAAATTAGCTATGTTTGGGAAGATAAATATTTCATCCCAGCTGGATGAAAGCTACAGGGTAGGGATCAGAAAGGGTGCGTACCGATGTTCCCCGGGTCCGATGTTCCCCGGGTCCGATGTTCCCCGGGTCCGATGTTCCCCGGGTCCGATGTTCCCCGGGTCCGATGTTCCCCCACTTCTATAGGCGGGGGAACATCGGACCCGGGGAACATCGGTACTTCGCGTATTAAAAAGTCCCGATGTTCCCCGGGTCCGATGTTCCCCCGCCTATAGAAGTGGGGGAACATCGGGACTTCAACAACGAGACTAGTGCCGCTGTTCCCCGCGTGCGCCCTTTGATGTTTGATGTTTCCTCCTCCACGAAAGATGGCATATGATCCGTGCCAACTTTTGTGAGAGAAAAAATACTAACTAGCCTAAGCCTATTTACTTTTCTTTTTCCCTCTCGCTCTTTGTGTGCTCATATTTCAGCTGATCGCAGCTTGAGTCTATGCAGGATATTTTTGGGCATGTTATGGGCATGTTATCTCCCCTTGCTCACTCTCCCATGGGCATCTATATTTGACAAGTCTGACTGAATAAAATGAGGACGATTGAAACTAGAGCTACTACTGTTAGCCTATAGTTTTTCCAAATACGTGGTTTTGCTGAGGGCACTGTGCTTTTACGCATAATGGACACGCATATGACGTCGTTTTTGTTGTAAAACTTGAATATGCTCTTTTAGTTTTAGAGATATTAATACATATTATTCTATTCAGAATGCGTGCGTCATTGTGCATTGTTGTCCCGCCTTACGTGTCACTCACAGTTAAAATGTAAATAACCAATTCAAACATAGCATTTTTACAACTTGAGCTTTAAGAAAAAAATGATCAAAGGAATCAGTGTAAAATAAGATCGGAAAAGCTCAATTCATGATTGTTTAATTAGGTTTCCCATTTTTAAATACAATTGGAAACGCTCAGAATTCAAAAATATTGAAAAGTGTATTGGCTCCTACAGTGGGGGGAATAATAATAATAATATAACCCCCTGAGCGTCATCACGTTCCTACGTTGCTTCAAATATAGTCCTGTTTATTGGCTGAACAATTTTGTCCAATATCATATCACACAGCGTGAAGCGAGAACAACCAGCTATTCCTCGTCTTAAAGATTGACAACGCTCTCAAAGCATTCACAACAGAGCAGCCTTTTTCATTTTAATTTTAAGAAAGTTCAGCGTGAACTTTGTGAGGTAGAGGAGCCAGAGGCCCGGGCCCGTAGGTCCCAGAGGAGGAGGGTCAGGCCAGGCTCGCCTCGCACTGATGAGGTAAACTCTAGGCCTGTGTGAGACACACTGTAGGCCTCACTGTGGGCCTCATGTGGGCCTCATGTATGAAACCTGCGTACGGCCAAATCAGGGTAAATGAGGCGTACGCAAAATATTACACTTTTCCGCATTTATCAATCTGGACGTGAGCGTACAATACGCAAAAAATAAACGCCAGGTCTGGAGGTGGTGTAAATCTATACGCTGAACTCAACCTTCGGCACAACACGCCAAAACATACGCATGAAATTCAAGATATGTACAACAATAAACATATTCCCTCTGGCAAAATTATATGCTGTGTTTTCATTGAGGATCATGTTTCAAAATTTGAATTTGCGCATCAGAAAAAGTCTAATGGAAACACGCAAACTTCGAATAAATCACAGCTCATGATGAGGACCCTCTATTAAATCTGACTTGTGTGTGTATTATTTTGATCTGTATGTTTTTAAAATGTGAAGTGCTTTGTGATCCTGGACAGTGAAAGGCTCTATATAAATACACATACGCAACAGGGATGTGTGACCCATCTATTGCTGTGGCAGGCTCTGCGCTGCGTAATTACGCACGGCTATTTGTATTCCTCATTCACATCTGGTAAAGCAATGTGTTATTTCATTAGATTTGTGTAAGCCTCACACAGACACACACCCCAATAACGCATCGATGGTATTGCTCACTCAAACGTCTCACTGCCCTGTCCAGAGTGCGCAGCGAGTGCCGTGAGAGGTCGCGCCACATGTGCAGAAGTTTTGGCTCCAGAGTTTCTTTGTGAAATCTGGACCGCAAACGCTCTCTGAAGTGTACAGCGCCTCAATGCGCACTTCTACCCCGAGCCAGGCTGCGTCCAAGACGCTGCAGACGCTTCATTCAGAGCCACCGCTGCATAATATATATGAATTAATTAATTCATTCAATCAATCTATATTTATTCACTTCTACAATTCAAGAAGGATTTTTCTAATGTATCAAAACATTTTGGCAAATTGCGTAAATGGAATATACACCCAAAATGTACATCTTTTTCAACGCAAGTTTCATAAATGAGCTTGTGTGTATGTGCGCGCGTGAGTGCGTGTGCGTGCGTGTGTGCGTTTGAACCATATTCTTGGAAACCCCAATTCCAGTTAGCCCTTGTAGTTTTCAAGCGAATTTGGCCTACTTACTAATCTGCAGGCCTACCCAAAATTGCAAACCTGGCGCCAATACTGTTGCGAGGATGAACGGAGGGAGATATGTTTCCAAAAAGAAAAGGTGGTGGAGCTAATTTTACTTTTCTTATCTGCAACACGTTCTTATTCTGAGGTGGTAGGTTGTAAAAATGTAGTTGGCTACCAATGCGAGATCTACAAGGCTTATAATATAAAGTATTCAGTAGCCCTATGAGCGAAAGCCGCTTGTTGCTCCATTATCCGCGCGCAGCAATAACATGTCTATGAGCGAGGCCCGCAGTCGGGGAACACCGGGCCCTCCGGCGTTTGGAAGGTCCGATGTTCCCCGGGTCCGGTGTTCCCCGCCCCGGGGAACACCGGACCCGGGGAACACCGGACCCGGGGAACACCGGACCCGGGGAACACCGGACCCGGGGAACACCGGACCCGGGGAACACCGGACCCGGGGAACACCGGACCCGGGGAACACCGACCCGGGGAACACCGGACCCGGGGAACATCGGACCCGGGGAACATCGGACCCGGGGAACACCGGACCCGGGGAACATCGGACCCGGGGAACACCGGACCCGGGGAACATCGGACCCGGGGAACATCGGGCCGACCCCGATCAGAAAGCATCCCTACCCTGCTGGTATATATCTAGTCATCATATTCATAGCCCCCCCAGTAGAAAATTCCACCAGCCGCCACTGGTTTTGACGTTTTTATTATCGCTTAAATTCTTCCAAATATCGACTGATTTCTCTGAACATCAACCCATTAGCTTTAGCATAATAAAGAAGCTAGTATAAAATCTCTAGCTTTAGCATAATAAAGAAGTTAGTATAAATCTCTAGCTTTAGCATGATAAAGAAGCTAGTATAAAATCTGTAAAACTGTCTTGCAGCACAGACGCAGAGCAGGTCGCACACAAAGTCCAAGCGTTTGTAGAAAATCTGTGCAGCTTCATTGACTCCGAGAATCAAACTGTGGATCGAGAGGTGAGGATTCTGCAACGAAACAAACTCATATTTTAGAATCATTTATTAAAACTCCATTTCCACCAGCCTTTTTTGGCCCCACTCTACTCTACTCTACTCTGCTCTGCTCTGCTCTGTCCTGCTCTACTCTGCTCTACTCTGCGTGTTGAGTCTGATTTGTTCTCAACATTTTAATTAGAACAAACTAGAAGAGTTTTATGAAAGCCGTAAAATAAGTGAATAACTGCTGTATCTCTGCCTCAGTTGGCCGCTGTCCACACCCGTCGCACTCGCTGGATGCTGGACCTGCTTCTGCTCCTGATCCCAGACAGAGAGGACCAGAGGGAGGACCAGAGGGAGGACCAGAGGGAGGACCAGAGGGAGGACCACCCCAGTGTGCCACAGCTGGAGGAGCAGGCTTCCCTCCTGTCCCAGAGAGTGCAGCGTCTGTCTGGATACTTCACCAGGCAAAGCTCCCTTCTCTGTCCTCTTCACAGACTCTGGATGAATGGATACTAACCTCCAGTCTCCTGTTCACTCTATTCACTTACACTGGACAGAGACCAGAGAGAGGCACCATGGAGAGAGAGAGACCAGGAAGAGACCAGAGAGAGACCAGAGAGAGACCAGAGAGAGACCAGAGAGAGACCAGAGAGAGACCAGAGAGAGACCAGAGAGAGACCAGAGAGAGACCAGAGAGAGACCAGAGAGACACCAGAGAGAGACCAGGAAGAGACCAGGAAGAGACCAGAGAGAGAGACCAGAGAGAGACCAGAGAGAGACCAGAGAGAGAGACCAGAGAGACACCAGAGAGACACCAGAGAGAGACCAGAGAGAGGCCAGAGAGAGACCAGAGAGAGACCAGAGAGAGAGACCAGAGAGAGACCAGAGAGAGAGACCAGAGAGAGACCAGAGAGAGACCAGAGAGAGAGACCAGAGAGAGAGACCAGAGAGAGACCAGAGAGAGACCAGAGAGAGACTAGAGAGAGACCAGAGAGAGACCAGAGAGAGACCAGAGAGAGACCAGAGAGAGACTAGCGAGAGACCAGAGAGAGACCAGAGAGAGACCAGAGAGAGACCAGAGAGAGACTAGCGAGAGACCAGAGAGAGACCAGAGAGAGACCAGAGAGAGACCAGAGAGAGACCAGAGAGAGACTAGAGAGAGAAACCAGAGAGAGACCAGAGACAACCGACCAATCAGCTTCAGTTTGCCAGTAGCCCGAAAAATCATACATGATGTGAAAACTAGTGATATAGAACCAATCTGTTTAGAGCCAAGAACTCTTTATAGGCGGCTGCATATATGAAAAAAACCACCTAACCCCAAAACAATTACAAATAATAACAAAAGGTTTCTCAGATGTTTTCTGTAGTATTAGGTCCTTAATAACATACTAAAGTTTACCAAAGTTTGACCACTGGAAAAGTGTAATTTTCAAGATGGCGTCCATAATGGGCAGGAAGCCCTTAACATATCCTAACTCGTTCATTATTTGACCTAGCCAAGTAATGTTGGTGTCTAACCCCATGTTTTCTGGGTCTTTGAATCCATTGGACTGGTCTAAATTGCACTGAGATTATTACATACTTATGGAATACATGATTTTGTGATATTATTGTAAGGTTTTATCTTTGGAGTAAACCATTCTGAAGTCCTTAAAGTAATTGATAAACATGCCCCATTTAAAACTATTCACGTAAAAGGACGGCATCTTCCATGGACTGCTCTGACTTCATTCATCTTTTTAAACGTCGAGACCAAGCTTGGACTAAATACAGAGAGTCTAAGGACCCTAAAGACTGCAGATCTATAGACAACTCCGGAATCAATCCAAAACCCAAACTAGGAATTCCAAGTCCAATTACTATAAGGAAGCCCTCGGTCTGAACTACAACAATCCTAAACCATTTTGGGAACACCTGGACCAGCTTCTGGGTCGGTCCAAAAGAAACTCAACCAATCATGTTACTGATAATAATACTACAATTACTGATCTTAACTTAATCTCTGAATGCTTTAATTAATATTTCTCCTCCATACGTAGTACACAGAACTCTGGTCATCCATACTTACCTAATCCACTAATGGCATTGTTCCTGAGACATAATTAAAAAAAAATCAGATTTCACATTTGGATGCAACACAAGCTATAAACGAGCTTAAACCTAACAGTGCGGCTGGTCCAGACGGCTTAGAAGTAAAATACCTTTTATTGGGATCCAGTGTAGTTATCTATCCACTAACCGACCTGTTTAACCTGTCACTAAGTACGTGCTCTGCCCCTCTCATCTGGAAAACTGCAGTGGTCACTCCCATCTTTAAAGGTGGAGACCACTCCGATGTCAGTCACTGTCATATCTCTTTATATGCACTATCACTGAAATAATGGAAAAGATCATTTTCCACCAACTCTAACTTTAACATCTTATCTCCCCATCAGTCAGGCTTCCAGTCTGGCTACTCAACTACCAAGGCACTCCATCCATCCATCCATCCATTTTCTTCTGCTTCATCCGTTTCCGGGTCGCGGGGGCAGCAGTCTAAGCAGAGACGCCCAGACTTCCCTATCCACACACACTTCCTCCAGCTCGTCCGGGGGGACCCCAAGGTGTTCCCAGGCCAGCTGAGAGACATAGTCCCTCCAGCGTGTCCTGGGTCTTCCCCGGGGCCTCCTCCCGGTGGGACGTGCCCGGAACACCTCCCCAGGGAGGCGTCCAGGAGGCATCCGGAACAGATGCCCGAGCCACCTCAACTGGTTCCTCTTGATGTGGAGAAGCAGCGGCTCTACTCCGAGCTCCTCCCGTGTGACTGAGCTCCTCACCCAATCTCTAAGGGAGCAGCCACTCTGCGGAGGAAGCTCATTTCGACCGCTTGTATCCGCGATCTCGTTCTTTCGGTCATTACCCAAAGCTCATGACCATAGGTGAGGGAGGGAACGAAGATTGACCGGTAAATCGAGAGCTTTGCCTTTCGGCTCAGCTCCCTCTTTACCACAACGGTCCGATACAGCTCTGACTGCAGACGCTGCTCCCTCTTCACCACGACGGTCCGATACAGCAACCGCATCACTGCGCACGCTGCACCGATCCGCCATTCTTCTCTCACTCATGAACAAGACCCCGAGATACTTGAACTCCTCCACTTGAGGAAGGACCTCTCCACCGACCTAGAGAGAGCACGGCACCTTTTTCCGGTCGAGCACCATGGCCTCGGATTTGGAGGTGCTGATTCTCATCCCAGCCGCTTCACACTCGGCTGCAAACCGTCCCAGTGCATGTTGCAGGTCCTGGTTCGTTGGAGCCAACAGGACAACATCGTTCACAAAAAGCAGGGCTGAAATCCTGTGGTCCCCGAACCGGACCCCCTCCAACCCCTTGGCTGCGCCTAGAAATTCTGTCCATAAAGACAGTGAACAGAACCGGTGACAAAGGGCAGCCCTGGCGGAGGCCAACATGCACCGGGAACAGGTCTGACTTACTGCCGGCAATGCGAACACAGCTCTGACTCCGGTCATACAGGGACCAGACGGCCCTCAGCAGAGGACCCCGGACCCCGTACTCCCGGAGAACCGCCCAAAGAACACCCCGGGGAACACGGTCGAACGCCTTCTCCAAATCCACAAAGCACATGTGGACAGGTTGGGCGAACTCCCATGAACCCTCGAGTATCCGATGGAGAGTATTGAGCTGGTCCAGTGTTCCGTGACCGGGACCAAAACCACACTGCTCCTCCTGAATCCGAGATTCAACCATTGGCCGTAACCTCCTCTCCAGTACCTTGGAGTAGACCTTACCGGGGAGGCTGAGGAGTGTGATCCCACGATAATTGGAACACACCCTCCGGTCCCCCTTCTTGTAGAGAGGGACCACCACCCCGGTCTGCCACTCCATTGGCACTGCCCCCGATCGCCACGCGATGTTGCAGAGACATGTCAGCCAAGACAGTCCTACAACATCCAGAGACTTTAGAGTCAGGACATCTACTCCCAAATCCTTGCCACTATGGAGGCGGCCAACCACCTTTGTGACTTCAGCCTGGGAAATGGAAGCATCCGCCCCAACATCCTCAGCCTCTGCCTCTGAAACGGAGGCAGAGGTTGGGGATGTTGTCCCTTCCTTTTCTCTTCTTTTGACAGGTGGCATTTTTCTTCATCTCTCCAAGGCTTTTGATCGAGTAGACCACTATTTATTTTTGTACAAACTTTACTCAATAAGTCTCAGTAGAAATGCTCTCGGTTCAATGCTTATCTTCATAATAGACAACAGTTTGTAGTTTTTAATGGTTTTCAAACTGGTCTCTATCATGGAAAAAGGAGTACCACAGGTACTGAGGCTTCGCGCCGCAGCCCTGTTTTGACTCATTTCGTCCCACGCAGTTCTAATGAATTTATTCTTTATTGGAATCAGAATAATGTTATAAACCACAGAAACTACCAACACTGGAAAAATGATATGATAAAAGAGAAATAAGGGATTACTTAAGGGAAATTGTACTTATTTTTTGCATACATGTGCTTTTAACCAATTTCTTTAATATATAATTTAACTTCAGATTCAGTTTATTTGCCATTTGCAGTAAAAACACCACATTGGAATACATTAGCAAAAGTCTCCAGTGTGCACAGACAAATACAGACATAAAACAACATTAAAAGACAAAAATAAAACAAATAAAACAGTAAACAAAAGTCACTGTGAAATCGATCGACTAAAACAGTTTCAAAACAAGTGCAAATCATTAAAGTGCTCTGTTCACACTGATAACAGCTTGTGGATAAAAACTGTTAGCGTAACGAGATATCCTGCATCTCAGAGAGCGATATCTTCTGCCAGAAGGAAGAAGCTGGAACATGGCTTTCCCAGGGTGGCCAGAAGAGTCATTAACAATCCTAAGAGCTTTGTTTAAAAGTCTGGATTTATAAAGAACCTCCAGAACAGGAAGCTCACAGCCCACGGTCCTCTTTGCAGAGCGGAGCACCTTGTTTAAAGATCTCTTTTCTTTATCTGTGATGTTTCCAAACCACACAGACACAGAACCAACAAGTAAACTCTCAATGGTGCAGCCATAAAAGTTAAGCACAATCTCAGAGTTAGTGGTAAATTCTCTAAGTTTACGCAGAAAGTAGAGACGCTGACGAGCTTTCTTAACGACTCGGTCAGTGTTTTTAACCCATTTCAGGTTAGACAGAGTTAAACCCAGAAACTTGCACTCCTCTACGATCTGCACCTGGGAGTTGTCGATTACGACGACAGGCAAATGAGAACTATTGCGACTGAAGTCGTAGACCAGTTCACATGTTTTGGAAGCGTTCAACTGGAGGTTGTTAGTTTGACTCCACTGAACCACATTTTGTATCTCTGCTCTATAAGAGGATTCATCAGTGTCACTGATGAGACCGATGATGGTGGTGTCATCAGCATATTTGATGATCATGTTTGAGTCAGAGGAGGACACACAATCGTGAGTGTACAAAGTAAAAAGCAAAGGACTCAAAATACATCCCTGAGGAGAACCAGTGCTCACAGAAACAACATCAGAAAAACACTCATTGATTTTCACTCTCTGAGATCTGTCAGTTAAAAAGCTAAAAATCTATTTACACATGGCAACACTTAAACCCAGAGACATGAGCTTTTCAATCAGTTTACCTGGGACAAGGCAGTTAAAAGCAGAGCTATAATCGATGAAAAGCATTCTGGCCACAGATTTACTAGTGTCCAAGTGACTGTAGACAGAGTTCAGAGCAAAGGAGATGCATCCTCCACACTCCTGTTCTGTCTGTAGCAAACTGGAGCGGGTCAACACTCACAGGGTTCTGGCTCTTAATGAAGTCCAGCACAAGCCGCTCAAAAGTTTTCATAAGAACAGACGTGAGGGCCACAGGACGATAGTCATTCAGGCATGTCACAGGAGTTTTCTTAGGAACTGGAATGATGGTCGACTCTTTAAAGCAGTTCGGCACAGTACAGTTCCTTAGCGACAGGTTGAAAATGTCTGTTAGCACAGGGGCAAGTTGCTCAGAGCACAGTTTCAGGACACGAGGAGGGATGCCGTCCGGGCCTGGGGCTTTCCGGACTGTGGTCTTGGACAAGACACGCCTGACTTCCTCCTGAGTCACGGTGAAGGTACCTTGATTGAAACACTCAGGGAATACAGTAGGACAGGCATCAGCAGATTCAAAGCGACAGTAGAACGTGTTCAGCTCGTTTGGCAGAGCTTGGCCGACAGATGCAGTTTTCCCATCGCTAGGTTTCCACGATGTGATGGCTTTAATACCGTTCCACATGCGCCGAGGGTCATCTTCCTCAAAATAACTCTTTAACCTGTCCCCGTAACTGCGCTTTGCAGATTTAATAGAACGTTTCAATGAGTAACAGGATAGCTTATAAGCAACTGTATCATTTGATTGAAACGCCAACGCACGCTCATGAAGTTTCAGTTTCACTTCCGCGTTCATCCAAGGGTTTTGACTAAAATGTTCTTTAATGACCTTCTGTGGGACACAGCAGTCAATACAGAAGCGTATGTATCCAGACACAGCGTCACAGAATTCACTGACGTCCTCTGACTGAAACACAGACCAGTCCGTAGCATCAAAACAACCTTGTAGCTTCATGCTAGCCTCCTCAGACCAACACTGCACAGTGCGTGAGGTTGGTTTATGTTCCCTGCTCCTCTGAGTATACAAAGGAAGAAGGAGAACAGAGGAGTGGTCAGACTTTCCAAAAGGAGGTCTGAGACTGGACCTGTAAGCTCCCTTCACGTTACTGTAGCAGTGATCCAGAACATGTGCTCCTCTTGTAGCTTGAGTCACATGTTTGTAAAAGTTCGGGAGTACAGTCTTTAAATTACATTTATTGAAATCCCAGCAACAATGATGACTGCGTTAGGATGAGCAGACTCATGTTTGTGAAGGATCTCGCTCAGATCCTGTAGGGCTACTTTGTAATCCGCCCATGGGTGAATGTAAACAGCACATAAAAATATCACTGAAAACTCACGGGGAAGATAAAAAGGGCGGCAGCTCAAGACCAGGCATTCCAGATTGGCAGTACATGTTTGGTTCACGACTCGAGTGTCCGTGCACCAGCGCTGATTAATTAAAAAGCACACACCTCCGCCTCTGGCCTTGCCCGTGGTCTCCTTCACTCTGTCCGAGCGGTGAGCGGTGAATCCCGGGGGCTGAACAGCAGAGTCCGGGACGTTCGAGTGGAGCCACGTCTCGCTGAGGCAGAACACAGCGCAGTCCCGGGCCTCGCGCTGGCTCTGGACCCGACACAGGAGCTCGTCCGTCTTGTTGGGCAGAGACTGGACGTTGGCCAGGTAGATGGAGGGCAAAGGGGTCCTGGAGGAGCGGCTACGAACGAGCAGACCGCCTCGCCTTCCCCGGTGTCTGCGCCTCCTTCGCCGACTCAAGGTGCCCAGCTCCGAACCGCGGAGAGAACGCCGGAGACGCCCAGTCCCCTCGCTCTGTTGGCGGCCACCGCCGCGGCCCGCCTGCCGTGCTCCGCCTGCCGTGCTCCGCCTGCCTCTCGACACTCGAGGAAGTTTGTGCACCTCAGTTCGGGTAAAACGAGTGACCCGTCACCCGCGTGGTCCCGAATGTGCAGAAGTGTTTGCCGATCATATTTCACTGTGGCAAGTGAATCCCAGACGAAAAACAACAAAACACAGATTGTGCGCCACAGAGCGTTCACTGCGGCGCCCTGACACGGCGCCATCTTGCTAGTCCTCATGCTCTCTCTCTCCAGAATGGAGAGACTTGTAATCACTTATTTTTCATGCAAATATACTGGTTAGAATATTATTTGACCAAAACAGGAATCAGACACCGGTATTTCTGGTCTAGAGGAATACAAAGGAGTAATGGTCTTTATAAGGACCTGATGGCCGCCATTTTGAAAATGAGACCTTTCTTGGAGTCAAACTTTGGTAAACTTTTAGTATGTTTTTAAGTACATCTGATACTACTGTAAACCACTGAAAAACCTTTTGTTAGAATTGTTTTGGGGTCAAGTCATAAATGCAGCTGACTATTGTGTGGAATTGAACTCCTCAAACCAAGATTCAACTTGAAGTAAATAAACTGTATTTTGTCCATGTTTGTGGTAGAACTTGTCAGCTGATTTACGAAGAGCAGAACTTGAGCAACCCGTCGCTGCAGGAGGAGGCGGACACTCAGGTGGCAGAGTGTCTGCAGCTGCAGGTAACATCCTGGTTCAAAGGGTTCTCACAAAACAGACCCAAGGATTGAAATTACAAATATGATAGTCTTCTTTGGATTTAACAAAATGCTACTCACTTCAGAGACCAGAGAGAGACCAGAGAGAGAGACCAGAGAGAGAGACCCGAGAGAGAAACCCGAGAGAGAGACCAGAGAGAGAGACCAGAGAGAGAGACCAGAAAGAGTCCAGAGATAGATCAGAGAGAGACCAGAGAGAGGCCAGAGAGAGGCCAGAGAGAGAGACCAGAGTGTGACCAGAGAGAGACCAGAGAGAGACCAGGGAGAGACCAGAGAGAGACCAGAGAGAGACCAGGGAGAGACCAGAGAGAGACCAGAGAGAGGCCAGAGAGAGACCAGGGAGAGACTAGAGAGAGACCAGAGAGAGACCAGGGAGAGAGACCAGGGAGAGACTAGGGAGAGACCAGGGAGAGACCAGAGAGAGACCAGAGAGAGACCAGACAGAGACCAGAAAGAGACCAGAGAGAGACCAGGGAGAGACCAGAGTGAGACCAGAGACAGGCCAGAGAGACTAGAGATAAACCAGAAGGAATGTTGTGTCAGTTTTTGTTTCATGTGGATTGTTCCAGGAGTTACACAGAAATTAGCTCCAAACTAAGACTATAATCTGACCTCCAACACAATGTGAAACTCTCTTTGGATCGATGTGATGTCACGTAGATAGATAGATAGATAGATACTTCATTGATCCCCCATAGGAGAAATTCAGGTGTCCAGCAGCAGAAGACTCTTTTCTTGTTGTTGTAGTACAGTCAGTCAGGTTTGTAGTACAGTCAGTCAGGTTTGTAGTACAGTCAGTCAGGTTTGTAGTACAGTCAGTCAGGTTTGTAGTACAGTCAGTCAGGTTTGTAGTACAGTCAGTCAGGTTTGTTATATAGTCAGTCAGGTTTGTAGTACAGTCAGTCAGGTTTGTAGTACAGTCAGTCAGGTTTGTTATACAGTCAGTCAGGTTTGTTATACTGTACAGTCAGTCAGGTTTGTTATATAGTCAGTCAGGTTTGTTATACAGTCAGTCAGGTTTGTTATACAGTCAGTCAGGTTTGTAGTACAGTCAGTCAGGTTTGTAGTACAGTCAGTCAGGTTTGTTATATAGTCAGTCAGGTTTGTTATACAGTCAGTCAGGTTTGTAGTACAGTCAGTCAGGTTTGTAGTACAGTCAGTCAGGTTTGTTATACAGTCAGTCAGGTTTGTAGTACAGTCAGTCAGGTTTGTAGTACAGTCAGTCAGGTTTGTAGTACAGTCAGTCAGGTTTGTTATACAGTCAGTCAGGTTTGTTATACAGTCAGTCAGGTTTGTTATACAGTCAGTCAGGTTTGTAGTACAGTCAGTCAGGTTTGTTATACAGTCAGTCAGGTTTGTAGTACAGTCAGTCAGGTTTGTTATACAGTCAGTCAGGTTTGTTATACAGTCAGTCAGGTTTGTTATACTGTACAGTCAGTCAGGTTTGTTATATAGTCAGTCAGGTTTGTTATACAGTCAGTCAGGTTTGTTATACAGTCAGTCAGGTTTGTTATACAGTCAGTCAGGTTTGTAGTACAGTCAGTCAGGTTTGTAGTACAGTCAGTCAGGTTTGTAGTACAGTCAGTCAGGTTTGTAGTACAGTCAGTCAGGTTTGTTATACAGTCAGTCAGGTTTGTTATACAGTCAGTCAGGTTTGTAGTACAGTCAGTCAGGTTTGTTATACAGTCAGTCAGGTTTGTTATACAGTCAGTCAGGTTTGTTATACAGTCAGTCAGGTTTGTAGTACAGTCAGTCAGGTTTGTAGTACAGTCAGTCAGGTTTGTAGTACAGTCAGTCAGGTTTGTTATACAGTCAGTCAGGTTTGTTATACAGTCAGTCAGGTTTGTAGTACAGTCAGTCAGGTTTGTAGTACAGTCAGTCAGGTTTGTAGTACAGTCAGTCAGGTTTGTAGTACAGTCAGTCAGGTTTGTTATATAGTCAGTCAGGTTTGTTATACAGTCAGTCAGGTTTGTTATACAGTCAGTCAGGTTTGTTATACAGTCAGTCAGGTTTGTTATACAGTCAGTCAGGTTTGTAGTACAGTCAGTCAGGTTTGTAGTACAGTCAGTCAGGTTTGTTATACAGTCAGTCAGGTTTGTAGTACAGTCAGTCAGGTTTGTTATACAGTCAGTCAGGTTTGTAGTACAGTCAGTCAGGTTTGTAGTACAGTCAGTCAGGTTTGTTATACAGTCAGTCAGGTTTGTAGTACAGTCAGTCAGGTTTGTTATACAGTCAGTCAGGTTTGTTATACAGTCAGTCAGGTTTGTAGTACAGTCAGTCAGGTTTGTTATACAGTCAGTCAGGTTTGTTATACAGTCAGTCAGGTTTGTTATATAGTCAGTCAGGTTTGTTATACAGTCAGTCAGGTTTGTTATACAGTCAGTCAGGTTTGTTATATAGTCAGTCAGGTTTGTTATACAGTCAGTCAGGTTTGTAGTACAGTCAGTCAGGTTTGTAGTACAGTCAGTCAGGTTTGTAGTACAGTCAGTCAGGTTTGTAGTACAGTCAGTCAGGTTTGTAGTACAGTCAGTCAGGTTTGTTATACAGTCAGTCAGGTTTGTTATACAGTCAGTCAGGTTTGTAGTACAGTCAGTCAGGTTTGTTATACAGTCAGTCAGGTTTGTTATACAGTCAGTCAGGTTTGTAGTACAGTCAGTCAGGTTTGTAGTACAGTCAGTCAGGTTTGTAGTACAGTCAGTCAGGTTTGTAGTACAGTCAGTCAGGTTTGTAGTACAGTCAGTCAGGTTTGTAGTACAGTCAGTCAGGTTTGTAGTACAGTCAGTCAGGTTTGTTATACAGTCAGTCAGGTTTGTAGTACAGTCAGTCAGGTTTGTAGTACAGTCAGTCAGGTTTGTAGTACAGTCAGTCAGGTTTGTAGTACAGTCAGTCAGGTTTGTTATATAGTCAGTCAGGTTTGTTATACAGTCAGTCAGGTTTGTTATACAGTCAGTCAGGTTTGTTATACAGTCAGTCAGGTTTGTTATACAGTCAGTCAGGTTTGTAGTACAGTCAGTCAGGTTTGTTATACAGTCAGTCAGGTTTGTAGTACAGTCAGTCAGGTTTGTTATACAGTCTGACAGCCGAAGGAACAAAGGATCTTTTGAAACGTTCCGTTCGGCAGCGTAGTGATAGGAGCCTGTTGCTGCGATGACTCCTCTGAGCGGCCACAGTGAAGAAACCTCATGGAGTTCTCTAAAATAACAAGTCTAATGTGGTTCGAATGGACGTTATTCAAATCTCTGTGATATTATAGTTGTTCATGTGTTTGCAGAATGAATGCACAGATTGGGTGGACACAACTAGAATCCTCCTGGTGGGTCTGAAAATGCCTTCTTTAGAGCTGCAGGCGGCCGAGGACGAGGATGTGACATCACAGGTGACCTCACAGGTGACCTCACAGGTGACCTCACAGGTGACCTCACAGGTGACATCATGTGTTGAATATGTTAAAGGAAAACGAGGCCGAAGACAAACAGGAAAATAAGGAGGAACTGAGTCGGACCGAAGCAGAGGTTAGTGACATCCAGGACTGAGGCTGTAGACCCAGGACTGAGGCTGTAGACCCAGGACTGAGACTGTAGACCCAGGACTGAGGCTGTAGACCCAGGACTGAGGCTGTAGACCCAGGACTGAGGCTGTAGACCCAGGACTGAGGCTGTAGATCCTGATTTTATCTGTTTTCTATCAAAAAAATGATGAGACATTTCCAAATAGCAGAATGTTACCTGTTCCTTCTGCTTTATCTTTCTTCTTGACTTTTATGGACTTTGATGAACATATTTTTAAAGTCAAGTCTGTTCCAGTCATCTCTTACTCCAAATGTTTATCCACACATTTTCATCAGAAACTATTCCACATTCTGAAACATGAAATGCCAAAATAAATATTGTCTCGATCATGTTTATGGGTCAAAAATAATCAACACAGAAAATTGCGTCTTGTTTTTATTTTATTGTTAAAATTTGTGTATTTTTGAAAGAACCACGTCCTTCCACCACAGCAGAAGGCAAAGCTCAGAGCAGTTGTTGTGTTTGTCCAGCAGAGGGCGCCCTCGGGTCACCACAGCCCCGTGTTGGAGCTGATCTCCAGTGATCGCAGCATCGTGCAGAAGAAGCTGGAGGAAAACCTGGTCCCGCTGCCCACGGTGGGACTGCCTCATGTGACATCACTACACAGTCTGGACCTGAGTCAGATTCAGTTTGCTGTAAATCCACATGTGTAAAACCATGTGTGAACCAGACAAGTACAGACACCAAATAAGATACACAAGTACAACAAATATTTTCGCTGTTAAATGGAAGAACAATTAAAGTGTTTTCTTCAGACAGATACCAGCTGAAAGAAGCTGTTAGCATGTTAGCATAATCAGATGTCCTGCAGCCAACAATATCTTCTGCCAGGGAGAAGAAGCTGGAACATAGCTTTTCCAGAGGCCATTACAGTCAGTGATTATTCTGAAATCTGGATTTAGGAGTCTGGATTCATAGAGAATCCCCAGGACAGAAAATCACAGTCCTTTTTCTGGTCTCTCTCTGGTCTCTCTCTGGTCTCTCTCTGGTCTCTCTCTCTGGTCTCTTTGGTCTCTCTCTGGTCTCTCTCTCTGGTCTCTCTCTGGTCTCTTTCTCTGGTCTCTCTCTGGTCTCTTTCTCTGGTCTCTCTCTGGTCTCTCTCTGGTCTTTTTCTCTGGTCTCTCTCTGGTCTCTCTCTCTGGTCTCTCTCTGGTCTCTCTCTCCGGTCTCTCTCTGGTCTCTCTCTGGTCTTTTTCTCTGGTCTCTCTCCGGTCTCTCTCTGGTCTCTTTCTCTGGTCTCTCTCTCCGGTCTCTCTCTGGTCTCTCTCTGGTCTCTTTCTCTGGTCTCTCTCTGGTCTCTTTCTGGTCTCTCTCTCTGGTCTCTTTCTCTGGTCTCTCTCTGGTCTCTTTCTCTGGTCTCTCTCTGGTCTCTTTCTCTGGTCTCTCTCTGGTCTCTTTTTCTGGTCTCTCTCTGGTCTCTCTCTGGTCTCTCTCTGGTCTCTTTCTCTGGTCTCTCTCTGGTCTCACAGCTCACAGTCCTCTTTCCGAGTGGAGGACCTTGTCTAGATCTCTCCTTTCTTTGGCTGTGATGTCTCAGAACAAACCTTTGAACGTGTTTCTCAGAGCGAGGAGCTGGTCGTGGCTCCTGTCACTGAAGAGGCCCAGAGAGCGTTCACTGAACTCACCACAGCGGGAATACTGCAACGAGAACTACTGTGAGTACAGGACTGAGGCTGTAGACCCAGGACTGAGGCTGTAGACCCAGGACTGAGGCTGTAGACCCAGGACTGAGGCTGTAGACCCAGGACTGAGGCTGTAGACCCAGGACTGAGGCTGTAGACCCAGGACTGAGGCTGTAGACCCAGGACTGAGGCTGTAGACCCAGGACTGAGGCTGTAGACCCAGGACTGAGGCTGTAGACCCAGGACTGAGGCTGTAGACCCAGGACTGAGGCTGTAGACCCAGGACTAAGGCTGTAGATCCAGGACTGAGGCTGTAGACCCAGGACTGAGGCTGTAGACCCAGGACTGAGCCTGTAGACCCAGGACTGAGGCTGTAGATCCAGGACTGAGGCTGTAGACCCAGGACTGAGGCTGTAGACCCAGGACTAAGGCTGTAGATCCAGGACTGAGGCTGTAGACCCAGGACTGAGGCTGTAGACCCAGGACTGAGCCTGTAGACCCAGGACTGAGGCTGTAGATCCAGGACTGAGGCTGTAGACCCAGGACTGAGGCTGTAGACCCAGGACTGAGCCTGTAGACCCAGGACTGAGGCTGTAGATCCAGGACTGAGGCTGTAGACCCAGGACTGAGGCTGTAGACCCAGGACTGAGGCTGTAGACCCAGGACTGAGGCTGTAGACCCAGGACTGCAGCTGTAGGCTTATGGTCCAGTTGTATTTAGTCGTGAAAATGAGTTCTGTGTCAGTGCGTCAGAGGAGCAGGTGCAGAGAGCCCAGCAGAGGGCGCTAGAGGCTGAGGAGGCTCTGCAGGAGGCGCTGCTGAAGATCCAAGAGCTGGAGACAGGAGGACGAAGCCCAGAGGAGCAGACAGAGCAGACCCCGGAGACTCAGACCGGTGAGAACAACCTCTTTCCCAGTACCAAAAACCAGACATCTGAAACTGTCGTCACAGAGAGGGAGGAGCCTGAGCCGCCCGCCTCTTCATCAGCTGTGACTCCAGTAAGAGTGAAGAAGACTCCTCCTCCTCAGGCCGGCTCCAGGAAGAACAGGAGGCGCTGACTTCAGGAGAAACTCACTGTTTATGGATCAATGACACCAGAGATAGGGGCCTCAGGTGTTCTGTGGCCCCCTAGTGGACATTCACTGTCAGTGCTGCGTCCACTGAGAGTCTGGGCTGATTGTTATACATCATTTTTAACCTAAATTTATCAAGAAAACGACCACAGTATTTATTTGGCCATAAACAAAGAAAATAATAAAACATTATTCAGCCACGTCACAAAGACTTTGCTTTTTGTCCAGTTTTATTTTGTTCATTCAAATATATAAATAAATAAATTATATACTCATATTTGATCAAATCTGTGAAATGCAACTTTCAACAATTACTTCCTTTGGTGTTTCCTTGTTTTCGTCTCTAACATTTTGTGTTCTACTGTTTCTCTGCTGTTTTTGTTAAAGACACACAAACTCATGATAAACATAACCCTTTAACGCGGGCCCAGTCTTACCCAGACTTGACGATGCAGCCCCGACTGAACTCAGTGTGAGACCACTAAACGTTAGGTTCTTTAATAAAAGATAAGTGTAGACACTGGTACCACAGACGTCCGCCTTCGTCAAAGACACGTGTCTGTGATCCGCTGTTGTCAGATGCAGTCATGAGTTCGAGACCTGCTGTGACACTTCCCCTTTAATACATCCATCATCAGCGCAGTCCAAAATCACATCATCGGAGAATCCCGTGTCCCGCGCTTCCTCTCTGTCTCCGCGGCGATGGGGGGAGGAGGCGGGGTCTCTGTGGGAGGAGGCGGAGGCGGAGGCAGAGGAGCGGGGTCAGAGGTCACATTGAGGAGGTCAGGAGGCAGAGGGAGGACCAGAGCCGGACGCAGGAGGCGCAGGGAGGAGCGCAACCCGTCCCATGGATCTACGTCCACCTACGGAGCAACACACTGAGGTGAGACACAGCAACACAACACTATGGGGCTGTGTGACATCACCACAGTGTGACATCACCACAGTGTGACATCATCACTGTGTGACATCACCACTGTGTGACATCACCACAGTGTGACATCATCACTGTGTGACATCACCACTGTGTGACATCACCACAGTGTGACATCACCACAGTGTGACATCACCACAGTGTGACATCACCACAGTGCGACATTGACATCACCACAGACACTCACAAATGCACACACACACAGACAGACACGCGCACGCAGACACTCACAAATGCACACACACACACAGACAGACACGCGCACACAGACACACACAGACAGACACACAAAGACACACACAGACAGACACACACACAGACAGACACACAGACAGACACACACACAGACAGACAGACACACACACAGACAGACAGACACACACACAGACACACACAGACACACACAGACAGACACACACAGACAGACACACACACACACACAGACAGACACACACAGACACACACAGATAGACACACACAGACAGACACACAGACACACACACACAGACAGACAGACACACACACAGACAGACACACACACACACACACACACACAGACACACACACACACACACACACACACACACACACAGACACACACACACAGACAGACACACACACACACAGACAGACACACACAGACAGACACACACAGACACACACACAGACACACACAGACAGACACACAGACAGACACACACAGACAGACACACACACACACACACACACACAGACAGACACACAGACAGACACACACACACACACACACAGACAGACACACACACACAGACAGACACACACACACACACACAGACAGACACACACACACACACACAGACAGACACACACACACAGCTCACCTGCTCCTGGTGTTTGGCCTCAGGTTCAGTCTGCAGACGTCTCTGTAGCTCTGTGGGTAAAACCATCTCCTCTCTGACACAAACACAGAGAAAAGTCAACACTCTGGGGGGGGGGGGGGGGGGGGGGGTGATGTCATCATTCATCTCTAATTCAGACTCATTCAATTCCATATTTGAAAAGAAAAGGAAGACAAACTATAATAAATACCACAAAAACATGTTGTAATGATTAACACTACACATGTTTTAAGGCGACAGAAGAGTAGAGTAGAGTAGAGTAGACTGAGTAGAGTAGAGTAGAGTAGACTGAGTAGAGCAGAGTAGAGTAGAGTAGACAGAGTAGAGTAGAGTAGACTGAGTAGAGTAGAGTAGACAGAGTAGAGCAGAGTAGAGTAGAGTAGACAGAGTAGACAGAGCAGAGTAGAGTATACTCTACTCTGCTCTACTCTATAGAGTAGACAGAGTAGAGTAGAGTAGACTGAGTAGAGTAGAGTAGAGTAGAGTAGAGTAGAGTAGAGTAGAGTAGAGTAGACTGAGTAGAGTAGAGTAGAGTAGAGTAGAGTAGAGTAGAGTAGACTGAGTAGAGTAGAGTAGACTGAGTAGAGTAGAGTAGAGTAGAGTAGAGTAGAGTAGAGTAGAGTAGAGTAGAGTAGACTGAGTAGAGTAGAGTAGATGAGTAGAGTAGAGTAGAGTAGAGTAGAGTAGAAGTAGACTGAGTAGAGTAGAGTAGAGTAGAGTAGAGTAGAGTAGAGTAGAGTAGAGTAGACTGAGTAGAGTAGAGTAGACTGAGTAGAGTAGAGTAGAGTAGAGTAGAGTAGAGTAGAGTAGAGTAGAGCAGAGTAGAGTAGAGTAGAGTAGAGTAGAGTAGAGTAGAGTAGAGTAGACTGAGTAGAGTAGACTGAGTAGAGTAGAGTAGACTGAGTAGAGTAGAGTAGAGTAGAGTAGAGTAGAGTAGAGTAGAGTAGAGTAGAGTAGAGCAGAGTAGAGTAGAGTAGAGTAGAGTAGAGTAGAGTAGAGTAGAGTAGAGTAGAGTAGAGTAGAGTAGAGTAGAGTAGAGTAGAGTAGAGTAGAGTAGAGTAGAGTAGAGTAGAGTAGAGTAGAGTAGAGTAGAGTAGAGTAGAGTAGAGTAGAGCAGAAACAGGGCTCTCTCCTGGTTTCTCACATGTCTGCTCTCTCCAGCCTGATGCCCCAGCGGCTCAGCACAGCGTCAGCAGAGCTCCGGATGCCCTCCCCCAGCCTCCCGCGCGCCCCCACGGCCTCCTCCACCGTGTGACGGCTCAGAATGTCCCTGATCGCGGCCCTTAGAACCGCCTGCACCGCCGGCTCCAGGCTGCAGAGGGCGCCACTGCACAGAGCCACGTTCTCCAGTCGGTAATGACAGAGAGCACTGAGCTCCCACTGGGACAGGTCTTTGCTCACAACCTGATAGATACACAAACACACACACAGATACACACATAATACACACAGATACACACATAATACACACATAATACACACATATACACACATAATACATACATAATACACACATAATACACACATAATACACACATAATACACACATAATACACACATAATACACACAGATACACACATAATACACACATATACACACATAATACACACATATACACACATAATACACACAGATACACACATAATACATACATAATACACACATAATACACACATAATACACACATAATACACACATAATACACACATAATACACACAGATACACACATAATACACACATATACACACATAATACACACATATACACACATAATACACACAGATACACACATAATACACACATAATACACACATAATACACACATAATACACACATATACACACATAATACACACAGATACACACATATACACACATAATACACACATAATACACACATAATACACACAGATACACACATAATACACACATAATACACACATAATACACACATAATACACACATATACACACATAATACACACATAATACACACATATATACACACATAATACATACATAATACACACATAATACACACATAATACACACATAATACACACATAATACACACATAATACACACATAATACACACAGATACACACATAATACACACATAATACACACATATACACACATAATACACACAGATACACACATAATACACACATAATACACACATAATACACACATAATACACACATAATACACACATATACACACATAATACACACAGATACACACATATACACACATAATACACACATAATACACACATAATACACACAGATACACACATAATACACACATAATACACACATAATACACACATAATACACACATATACACACATAATACACACATAATACACACATAATACACACATAATACACACATATACACACATAATACACACATAATACACACACAGATACACACACAAGCAGAGATGCACCGAGAGACATACACAGAGATACACACAGACCGAGAAAAGAGAGACACACACACAGAGAAAGAGACACACACAAACACACATAAGCTTCAGTGTCTTGTTGGGATGTTGCACAGATCTGTAATCTTGCTCTTCACAATAGAATGCCTCTGAGTTGTGTGTCTGTGTCTGTACCATTTGATTTGTGTGTGTGTACCGTGTGGGGTGTATGTGTGTACCGTGTGGGGTGTGTGTGTGTACCGTGTGGGGTGTATGTGTGTACCGTGTGGGGTGTGTGTGTGTACCGTGTGGGGTGTATGTGTGTACCGTGTGGGTTGTATGTGTGTACTGTGTGGGGTGTATGTGTGTACCGTGTGGGGTGTATGTGTGTACCGTGTGGGGTGTATGTGTGTACTGTGTGGGGTGTGTGTGTGTACCGTGTGGGGTGTATGTGTGTACCGTGTGGGTTGTGTGTGTGTACCGTGTGGGTTGTGTGTGTGTACCGTGTGGGTTGTGTGTGTGTACCGTGTGGGTTGTGTGTGTGTACCGTGTGGGTTGTGTGTGTGTACCGTGTGGGTTGTGTGTGTGTACCGTGTGGGTTGTATGTGTGTACCGTGTGGGGTGTATGTGTGTACTGTGTGGGTTGTGTGTGTGTACCGTGTGGGTTGTATGTGTGTACCGTGTGGGTTGTATGTGTGTACCGTGTGGGGTGTATGTGTGTACCGTGTGGGGTGTATGTGTGTACTGTGTGGGTTGTGTGTGTGTACCGTGTGGGTTGTATGTGTGTACCGTGTGGGTTGTGTGTCTGTACCGTGTGGGTTGTGTGTCTGTACCGTGTGGGTTGTGTGTCTGTACCGTGTGGGTTGTGTGTCTGTACCGTGTGGGTTGTGTGTCTGTACCGTGTGGGTTGTGTGTCTGTACCGTGTGGGTTGTGTGTCTGTACCGTGTGGGTTGTGTGTCTGTACCGTGTGGGTTGTATGTGTGTACCGTGTGGGTTGTGTGTCTGTACCGTGTGGGTTGTGTGTCTGTACCGTGTGGGTTGTGTGTCTGTACCGTGTGGGTTGTGTGTCTGTACCGTGTGGGTTGTGTGTCTGTACCGTGTGGGTTGTGTGTCTGTACCGTGTGGGTTGTATGTGTGTACCGTGTGGGTTGTGTGTCTGTACCGTGTGGGTTGTGTGTCTGTACCGTGTGGGTTGTGTGTCTGTACCGTGTGGGTTGTGTGTCTGTACCGTGTGGGTTGTGTGTCTGTACCGTGTGGGTTGTGTGTCTGTACCGTGTGGGTTGTGTGTCTGTACCGTGTGGGTTGTGTGTCTGTACCGTGTGGGTTGTGTGTCTGTACCGTGTGGGTTGTGTGTCTGTACCGTGTGGGTTGTGTGTCTGTACCGTGTGGGTTGTGTGTCTGTACCGTGTGGGTTGTGTGTCTGTACCGTGTGGGTTGTGTGTCTGTACCGTGTGCAGAGGAACCAGCAGTGTCTTCAGCCTCACGTCCACAATGACACACACGTCCAGGACCGGCAGAAACAACAACAGGCCTGCAACACACACACACAGCCACACACACACACGCACTTCTTTATTATGCTAAAGCTAGAGGTTTTATACTAGCTTCTTTATTATGCTAAAGCTAGAGGTTTTATACTAGCTTCTTTATTATGCTAAAGATAGAGATTTTATACTAGCTTCTTTATTATGCTAAAGATAGAGATGTATTTTATTCTGGTACAGTGTTATTGATCCCTTGAGCTGTGTGCTCCTCATTCCTACCGTTCTGTAACTGTGTGATGCAACACTGACATTTCACTGTGAGACCATTAAAGGATCTTAATCTGTATGTTACAGATGTCTCTGAGGGGACAGTCCTCTCTCCACAGTTGTACCTGGTCCTCTGGGTCTGGCCCTCAGCAGGTGTCCCAGTCTGAAGACCACAGCTCGCTCGTGCTCCCTCACCACCTGCAGCCGACACAGATGACACCAGCAGCCGTCAATTTGACTGCTCCCATTCACATCAAAGGAATCCTGAAACATTAACCCTAAAAAATGTTTTGGGTTAGGGCTAGAAAGTCATTTATAAGGTATTTAACTTTAATCACTTGTAAATAAGTGTTAAAACTGGTGATTATAACTGGAAATACAACCAATGCTAAATGCTGTTGTAGAAATCTAACTGGGATTATAAATCAATTTAACTAATGATGAATTAGGATATCTGGGACAAAGTTCAAGCTAATCAATCTGTTCAAGCTAACTAAACTGTTGTTCTGTAGAGACGCGAGGCCAGTGACGGGGTGGAGGCAGATACTAGCTTGATATCAGAGGCAGAGGAGCGGCCTCAGCGGTCAGACTGACCATTCTAATATCAGAGTAAGACGTCAGAAGAGAGGGGGGTTTGGGCAACGGCTCCCACTTAATCTGGGACTCAGAGACGCCATAGACTCTTCTGTTTGTTCCATCCTATAAATATGGGAGAGAATGAGCACTATTGAGCAGATCTACAGATTTACTGAGATAATAAACCACACTTTGATTGTTTTACAGCTCTTGGTTGTTTTATATTTAATTATTGTGTATTTCAATCCTTAGAAATTCCATAACAATGCTGTCATGCTAGCTGCAGACAGTAAATGATGTGTTGCTATGGTAACGAGAACAGGCACGATAATTCAATCAAAACAATGAAATAGAAATAAACCGCAGAAACACAGAAACAGTCACATTTATGAGGACTGTGTTTGTGTTACAGAGGACAAAGGTGTTCTGGCTTCTTACTCGGACACAGAACCAAACGGACAAAGGCAGAAAGAGCAGCACCAGAGACAGGACCAGCACCATGAGGAGCCACTCCAGCAGACCCAGACTCCTGCGCTTCACACCTGCAGCAAGAAGACACATGTCCAACCAGAGAGGAACGGGCAAGAATTCACTCACAGCTCACTCACAATAATAATGTAGCGCTTTTCAGGACACTTAAAGATAATTCACATCATTATTCTTTCTCTCCAAACACAGATAAACTACTGTAGCCGCAGCTGCCCTGGGGCACACGGACAGAATCGAGGCAACCAGTCTGTGCCATTGGCCCCTCCCACCACCACCAACCATTCACACACACACCAGACTCAATGCATTGTGGCGCCACCTGCAGGTGAACGCGAGATCCCATCAGACCTCTGAAGCTAAGCAAGGCAGGGCCTGGTTAGTGCTGTGATGGGAGACCTCTGGGAACAGCAGGTGCCACAGTGGGGCCGCCGCGGCTGTAAAGTGCCAAACTGTGGTTGTGTCCTTAGGCAAGACACTTCCCCCACATTAGAATGAGTCTGGTGTGTGTGTGAATGGTTGGTGGTGGTCAGTGTGCCCCAGGGCAGCTGTGGCTACAGTAGTAGTTTGTCATCAGTGAGAAGGGAGTGAATAAATAATGGCATGTGAAGCATATTTGAGTGTCCAAAAGGGCTGTATAAAAACGCACGCTCTCTGGTCTCTCTCTGGTCTCTCTCTGGTCTCTCTCTGGACCCTCTCTCTGGTCTCTCTCTCTGGTCTCTCTCTGGACCCTCTCTCTGGTCTCTCTCTCTGGTCTCTCTCTGGTCTCTCTCTGGACCCTCTCTCTGGTCTCTCTCTCTGGTCTCTCTCTGGTCTCTCTCTGGTCTCTCTCTGGTCTCTCTCTGGACCCTCTCTCTGGTCTCTCTCTCTGGTCTCTCTCTGGTCTCTCTCTGGACCCTCTCTCTGGTCTCTCTCTGGTCTCTCTTTGAACCCTCTCTCTGGTCTCTCTCTGGACCCTCTCTCTGGTCTCTCTCTGGTCTCTCTCTGGTCTCTCTCTGGTCTCTCTGGTCTCTCTCTCTGGTCTCTCTCTGGTCTCTCTCTTGTAAGTAAGTAATCTAAGTAATCTTTTTATTTATATACCGCCTTTTCACTGCAGAGCTGAGTCTCAAAGCGGTTTACAATTGTTAATTTTGGGCATTTGTCTCTCACTCCACACAGAGATGGGAGCGGGGCCAGTACAGGAGGCACATGCCAGAACTATTGGACATATTTTTAGTGGTAGGGGAAACCGGAGTACCCGGAGGAAACCTACGCAGACACGGGGAGAACATGCAAACTCCACTCAGAAAGGCCCTGGTCCGACCGGGATTCGAACCCAGGACCTTCTTGCTGAGAGGCGAGAGTGCTATCCACTCAGCCACCGTGCCGCCCGCTCTTGTCTCCCTCTGGTCTCTCTTTGGTCTCCCTCTGGTCTCTCTTTGGTCTCTCTCTGGTCTCTCTCTGGTCTCTCTCTGGTCTCTCTCTGGTCTCTCTCTGGTCTCTCTCTGGTCTCTCTCTGGTCTCTCTCTGGTCTCTCTCTGGTCTCTCTCTGGTCTCTCTCTGGTCTCTCTCTGGTCTCTCCTGGTCTCTTTGGTCTGCCTCAGAACTCTTCACTCACCATCGTCTGGTGCCGTCACCTCCAGCAGTCCCAGGGCCTCCTCCTCCTCCCTCACTCTGTCTATGTCCACCACGGTCGTCCTCTTCACCTCCTCTGGCTCCTCCACAGCTCTGCTCCCAGCTCTGCTCCCCTCTGGCCTCACCGCTGGAGCCTTCTGTGGGGCCCTCACGCTGTTCTTGGGACTTCTCTCCCCCTTCGGCCTGGGTCTGGAGGTGCTGGAGGGTCTGGAGGTGCTGGTGGGTCCGGAGGGTCTGAGGTCCATGGTGGAAGTGGTCCTCGGGGCAGTGTGGTTAATGAAGTGATAAAGCAGAGTGTGGGAGGAGAATGTGGGAGAGGAAACTGAAGACAAAGCAATAAGACTTAATTAGAAGTTACGCCTCCACAGTTTACTCTGAAAATAAATATTAGTAACTGCTGAGAGACTGTTTTCTCTGGATGTGACGCAAGACAAGATTTACAATAAAATAAGGCTTTTATCTGTCCCTGGGTTTGTCAATTATACCAGGACTGAGGCTGTAGACCCAGGACTGAGACTATAGACCCAGGACTGAGGCTGTAGACCCAGGACTGAGGTTGTAGACCCAGGACTGAGGCTGTAGACCCAGGACTGAGGCTGTAGACCCAGGACTGAGGCTGTAGACCCAGGACTGAGGCTGTAGACCCAGGACTGAGGCTGTAGACCCAGGACTGAGGCTGTAGACCCAGGACTGAGGCTGTAGACCCAGGACTGAGGCTGTAGACCCAGGACTGAGGCTGCAGACCCAGGATTGAGGCTGCAGACCCAGGACTGAGGCTGCAGACCCAGGATTGAGACTGCAGACCCAGGACTGAGACTATAGACCCAGGACTGAGGGTGTAGACCCAGGACTGAGGCTGTAGACCCAGGACTGAGGCTGTAGACCCAGGACTGAGGCTGCAGACCCAGGATTGAGGCTGTAGACCCAGGACTGAGACTATAGACCCAGGACTATAGTGATTAATACAAATGTGGATTCTGAGTGATGTTTAAGGTCTTTCAGAGCCGTCGTTTTGACTGCTCCCATTCAAAACAATGGAATTTTGAGAAATTCCCCCAAAAATGTTTAGTTTTCCACCAGAAGTTTTTACCTTTGCTCACTTTGTGCTAAACAGGTGAATTTAACTGAAATACAAGTGCGTTCTGTAATCTCCGATCTGTGGGACTGATGAACACATTCATTCACTGGTTACAGAACAGACCACACGATACACATGAACAACAACTTTATAGTCAAAATGAATAAAATCTCTAACTTTAGCATAATAAAGAAGCAAGTATACAATTGTAGTGAAGTAAAAATAAAGTAAAATACTGACATACAAATAAAATACATATAGACACGGATAAAGTCACACATTTAAGCTAAGTAAAAACACGTCCAAACCCAGGAGTTCTGGTATAATATAAAGTATTTTTTTCAATACACTGCGTCCTTCTTTCTCTCGTGTCTTGTCCCATTTGATTTGACAAAGTATTGAAGAAGAAACAGCCAGCGCCGACGTCAAGGCGTTTTATTTATCAACTAACAAAAACCCAAAAAATAAAAACAAAAAACTCCAAACAAAAACAAAAACCCCAACACAACAAAACACAAAAAAAAACCCAAAAACAAACACACAAAAACAACAACCAAACAAACAACCACCAACAAACACAACAACCCAAACACCCCTACCCAAAACAAAAAGCACAACCACAACACAAAAAACCACAAACAAAACCAAAAACAACCAAAAAACCACAAACCAACAAAAAACCAAAAACCCACAAACACCACCAAAAAACGTAGCCAAACCCAACAAAAAAAAAAACACACCAACAACCCCCCAAAAACAAACAAAACAACCCAAAACAACCAACAACAAACACAAAAAAACCAAAAAAACCAAACAAAAAACAAACAACCCAAAACCAAAAAAACAAAAACAAAAAAACACAAAATAACACACCACAAACACCAAACAAAAACAAACAAAAACAAAAAAACACCCAAAAAACAAAAAAAAAAAAAAACATACAACAACACAACAACACACAACATAAAAAAAAAAAACAAAACAAAACACACAACAAAAAACAACACCCAAAAAAAAAAACCCAAAAAAAAAACAACAACCAAAAAACAACAACAACAAAAACCAAAACAAAACAACAAACCAACCAAACACACACCAAAAACAACAAAAAAACAACAAAAAAAACAAAAAAAAAACAAACCAACAAAAAACCAATCAAAACAAAACAAACAACACAAAAAAACAAACCAAAACAACCCAAAAACCAAATCAACACAAAACAAAACAAAAACAACCCAAAACAAACCCAAAAACAAACGCAAACCAAAAAAACAAAAAAAAAAACCAAAACACAAAAAACAAAAAAAACACCCAAAAACACAAACAACCACACAAAAAAACCAACCAAAAAAAAACAAAAAACAAACCAACAATACAAAAAACAAAAACAAACAAAAAAATACCAAACAAAAAAACACCAACAAAAAACACACAAACAAAACAAAAACAAATCAAAAAACAAACACCCAAAAACAAAACCAACAAAAAAAACCACAAACAACCACACACAAAAACACCAAAACCACAACAAACAAACTCAAACCACACCAAAACAAACAACACCAAAAAAACAAAAAAAAACAAAACAAAAAAACCAACAAACAAAACAAAAACAAAACAACAACCAAAAAAAACCAAAAAATACAAAAAACAAAACACCAACACAAAAAACTAAACACCAAAAACAACAAAAAACACCACACAACAACCAAAAACACAAACAAAAAAAAAAAAAACACAAAAAAAAACCAAAAAAACCAAACCAAAAAACAACCACATACACCAAAATCAAAATCCCAAAAAAACAACAAACACCACAACAAACAAAAACCCAAAAAAAACCAAAAACACAACCAAAAAACAAAAAACAACAAACAAAACAACCCACAAAACCCCACAAAAAAAAAAACCAACAACAACAAAACAAACCACAACAAAAACAACCCACAAAAAAAACCTAACCAAACCAAAAAAACAACACCAACACAAAAACCAAAAAAACAACACACAACCGGCTGTGAGGGTCCAACTGTGAGGGTCCGGCTGTGAGGGTCCGACTGTGAGGGTCCGGCTGTGAGGGTCCGGCTGTGAGGGTCCGTCTGTGAGGGTCCGGCTGTGAGGGTCCGGCTGTGAGGGTCCGGATGTGAGGGTCCGGCTGTGAGGGTCCGACTGTGAGGGTCCGACTGTGAGGGTCCGGCTGTGAGGGTCCGGATGTGAGGGTCCGGCTGTGAGGGTCCGGCTGTGAGGGTCCGGATGTGAGGGTCCGGCTGTGAGGGTCCGACTGTGAGGGTCCGGCTGTGAGGGTCCGGATGTGAGGGTCCGGCTGTGAGGGTCCGACTGTGAGGGTCCGGCTGTGAGGGTCCGGACGTGAGGGTCCGGATGTGAGGGTCCGGCTGTGAGGGTCCGACTGTGAGGGTCCGGCTGTGAGGGTCCGGCTGTGAGGGTCCGGCTGTGAGGGTCCGGATATGAGGGTCCGGCTGTGAGGGTCCGACTGTGAGGGTCCGGCTGTGAGGGTCCGGCTGTGAGGGTCCGGCTGTGAGGGTCCGGCTGTGAGGGTCCGGCTGTGAGGGTCCGGATGTGAGGGTCCGGATGTGAGGGTCCGGCTGTGAGGGTCCGACTGTGAGGGTCCGGCTGTGAGGGTCCGGCTGTGAGGGTCCGGCTGTGAGGGTCCGGCTGGTGTGTGAGGGTCCGGATGATGTGTGAGGGTCCGGATGATGTGTGAGGGTCCGGCTGAGGGTCCGGCTGAGGGTCCGGCTGAGGGTCCGGCTGTGAGGGTCCGGCTGGTGTGTGAGGGTCCGGCTGGTGTGTGAGGGTCCGGGGCCCCCGACAGGCCTCTTCTGACGGACACAGGGAGGTCACCGCAGCCGCAGAAAAATGACACGTCACATAACCATGTTTACACACACCAGGGCGCTGCCTAATGGACCATACGCCCTCCAGAGACCAGAGGGAGACCGAGGGGAAGCAGACGGAGACCAGAGAGAGACCAGAGAGAGACCAGAGAGAGGCCAGAGAGAGACCAGAGAGAGACCAGAGAGAGACCAGAGAGAGAGACCAGAGAGAGAGACCAGAGAGAGACCAGAGAGAGACCAGAGAGAGACCAGAGAGAGACCAGAGAGAGAGACCAGAGAGAGACCAGAGAGAGACCAGAGAGAGACCAGAGAGAGAGACCAGAGAGAGACCAGAGAGAGAGACCAGAGAGAGAGACCAGAGAGAGACCAGAGAGAGACCAGAGAGAGAGACCAGAGAGAGACCAGAGAGAGACCAGAGAGAGACCAGAGAGGGACCAGAGAGAGAGACCAGAGAGAGACCAGAGAGAGACCAGAGAGAGAGACCAGAGAGAGACCAGAGAGAGACCAGAGAGAGAGAGAGACCAGAGAGAGAGACCAGAGAGAGAGACCAGAGAGAGACCAGAGAGAGACCAGAGAGAGAGACCAGAGAGAGACCAGAGAGAGACCAGAGAGAGAGACCAGAGAGAGAGACCAGAGAGAGACCAGAGAGAGACCAGAGAGAGAGAGACCAGAGAGAGACCAGAGAGAGACCAGAGAGAGACCAGAGAGAGACCAGAGAGAGACCAGAGAGAGACCAGAGAGAGCCAGAGAGAGACCAGAGAGAGAGACCAGAGAGAGACCAGAGAGAGACCAGAGAGAGACCAGAGAGAGACCAGAGAGAGAGACCAGAGAGAGAGACCAGAGAGAGACCAGAGAGAGACCAGAGAGAGACCAGATAGAGACCAGAGAGTCAGCAGAGGTGGTGCGACAGAAGCACAATTTACACGGTCAAGTTGGAGGGTGAGAAAAAGTGGAAATGTAGAGAACCATTTCCTCAAATAAATTGTTCAATGACATTTGTTAAACTCATTTCCTGTTTATTATAAATCCAGACATTTGAATCCAGGTCTTAAAATAATCAATCTTCTGGCTCCTGGAAAAGCCATGTTCCAGCTTCTTCCTCTGGCAGAAGATATCAGGACATGCTAACATGCTAACATGCTAACAGCTTCTTTCAGCTGTTCTCAGTCTGAACAAAGACCTTTAAAGACCTTCACTTGTATTGAACTGTTTTTGTCGATTAGTTTCTCAGTGACGATTGTTTCTTGTTTTTGGTTTCCTGTACTTGTCTGGGGCTCACTGGGACTTCAGCACATGTGTTTTATTGTGGTTTTACTGCAAATGGCAAATAAAATGTATTTGAATCTGAAAGCCAACGGATTGTGCTTGGATCGGAAATTTGATTCAATTCATTTTATGTATCAGTCTAAATCACACCAGCAGTCATCTCAGACCAGTCCCTGTGCTCCTCAGAGTCCCAGCAGGAGGCCAGTCCCTGTGCTCCTCAGAGTCCCAGCAGGAGGCCAGTCCCTGTGCTCCTCAGAGTCCCAGCAGGAGGCCAGTCCCTGTGCTCCTCAGAGTCCCAGCAGGAGGCCAGTCCCTGTGCTCCTCAGAGTCCCAGCAGGAGGCCAGTCCCTGTGCTCCTCAGAGTCCCAGCAGGAGGCCAGTCCCTGTGCTCCTCAGAGTCCCAGCAGGAGGCCAGTCCCTGTGTCCCCTCTCCCCCTCTCCCCCCCTCTCCCCCTCTCTCTCTCCCCCTCTCTCTGCCTCCCCCTCTCCCCCCCTCTCCCCCTCTCTCTGCCTCCCCCTCTCCCCCTGCCTCCCCCCCCTCCCCCTCTCCCCCTCTGCCTCCCCCCTCTCCCCCTCTCCCCCTCTCCCCCCTCTCTCCCCTCTCCCCCCCTCTCCCCCTCTCTCTCTCCCCCTCTCTCTGCCTCCCCCCTCTCCCCCTCTCCCTCTCTCCCCTCTCCCCCCTCTCCCCCTCTCCCCCTCTCTCTCCCCTCTCTCTCTCCCCCTCTCTCTGCCTCCCTCCTCTCCCTCTCTCTGCCTCCCCCTCTCCCCCCCTCTCCCCCTCTCTCTGCCTCCCCCTCTCCCCCTCTGCCTCTGCCTCCCCCTCTCCCCCTCTGCCTCCCCCCTCTCCCCCTCTCCCTCTCTCCCCCTCTCCCTCTGCCTCCCCCTCTCCCTCTGCCTCCCCCTCTCCCTCTCTCCAGTGTTTTAAAGCATTATTATTATGATTTCATACAGATGCCTGAAACAGCATGCCCCAGTCTGCTGCCACTTAACTACCCTGGCTCCCCTCCAGGGCCCTCTGCGGAGAGCCCCCTCCAAAGCATGGTTTCAATTTACCGCGGGACAAGCTCTGACTAAACATCGCATTTACATACCCGGGCTTTACAGACACGAGCGCCGCGTCAGGGATAACAACACAAAGTCTGTGTTTTTCATCACAGATCAATAGACGATACCTCCCTGTAGGATCCCGTTCCACTGATAGTTTGTCATGTTTGGTTAATGGGGATGAACTCGTGGGAAACGCGGCGTGTTTGAGTTGGAATGGGAGCATTTTATATGTTTTACATGTGTTTTTGCTTGTAATAAAAATCCACAGATTGTTACGTGTCTCTGGGGAGGTGTTGTGGACCAGGGGAAGACCCAGTGTCTCTCAGGATTCCCCCAGATGAGCTGCAGGAGGTGTGTGTGGAGAGGGAGGTCTGTGTGGCTGCCTGGACTGCCGCCCCCGCGACCCGGCAACGGATGAAGTGGAAGAAAGTGGATGGAGGGAAGAATGTCGCTTAAAGCTTAATTTGTAATTCCATTAAATGTTTTTGTCTCGCTCTGAATCACTGTTGTCTTTACAAAGTTGTGGATTCACCAACAGCAGATCAGAGAATGTGCAGATATGAAAATATGATGCTGTCTTTTAACACTAGGACTTCCAGAGCAGTCATTTTGACGGCTCCTACTCACATAATAAAGTTTATCTTATGTGTGCATGAGTATGTCTGTGTGTATGTGTGCATGTGTGTGTATGAGTATCTGTGTGTATGTATGTGTGTGTGTGTGTATGTGTGCATGTGTGTGTATGAGTATCTGTGTGTATGTATGTGTGTGTGTGTGTATGTGTGCATGTGTGTGTACGTGTTTATTTGTATTTTTTTATTTTCCTTAAATAAATAAATAAAAAACTTAAATCAATGAACTGAAAAATGTCCTAAGAAGTGTTATAGTTTCCCAGTTTTTTTTAATCTTTAAAAAGCGCTAAAACTGTTTCAAACTGAAGTGCAGCAACAATAGTTTTGTGAAAAGGTTAAGCACTAACTGCTGCAGTAAAGATGTGTTGCTATGGTAACCAGCGTCTCTCTGGAGGAAAACCATCAAACTCAGAACCAGAACCAGCGCCTTGGAGAAATGAGCATTCAAATAAAAGGAGCAGTCAAAAGGACGGCTCTGGGAGTTATGTGTAGAATTCCTCACATTGAAAAAAATTAAAGATAATTTCATAAAAACAACAGAAAAAACAGTGTTGGGGAGAAACAGGAAACATGTAAAGCCGCCTTCTATACATAGTTCCCACCGACCAATGAATGTCACATGACCTCCTCGGAGACGCCATCTTTTATGGCACGCTGCTGTGTTTGTGCATTCCATTAAACAGAAGAATGAGAATAAATGTAGATATTCAAACGCAAATTGGAAAAAAAGGGCAACTTTTGAGCAAATAATTGTATATTAATACAATGGCACCACAGTTTAACGTGCTACGGACATGTTTTACATATTTGATCAAATTATGCAGCAAAAATTAACAAGCAATGCAAACATTTCTCAAAAACTTTAGATTTAATACCAGTTGGAGCTCCATTTAATTATTTTAATTATATTAACAATTAATTTAATTAATGCTAATGCCACACGGACACTCTGGATTGCTGTTATTGTTTATTTCCGCGTTTTTGACCGTATGTTTTGGTGAATGGTGGGCAACTGATTTTTCCAGGCGTAAAGAGCAGTTTATTTTATGACACAGATCTTTTTACAGAAGCAATGCTGTTTGTGAACATTGTTTTAGCCCACCATAGAACTATTATTATCTATTTAATACATTTACGTTGCCCTCGAGAGCCTCGGACGCGACACCGATCCTCCTCATAATAAAGTAATCTAACGCTAAATAATGAAACTCTCAAGTTACCAGCTATCAGCATACACAAGTTAGTACTGAGTAAATTACGTCTGTCAACACATTATAAGATACGATACGCACCTGACACAAAGTGCTCCGAGCATATTCTTGCGTGTTTTGAGGGAGTTTCTTGCCTGTTTATCTTCGCAAGCCATAACCTCCGTGGTTGTTCTGACAAAAGCTTAGTCTTCTCACATTCATGAAGTCTAATGATGGGTATACTGTAAAATCCAAGTTTAACGGAACCTCCGGCACGATTTGAACATCCATTGACCCAGCAGGAGACGACCATTTTCAACTTTATCACGACATTAACACGTTTCAGCTTCTTTTTCTATTGTTTTGCCCACAGCATGCCAAGACAAATGGCGCCGGGTCGGCAAATCCCCGTATGTAGTGACGTCATGTGGGAACTATGTATAGTTTTTAGAAAACAGGCACTTTCTCACGTTACGGTAAAAAAACAAAAAACAGATTCTACTGTTTCTGCTTGTTAAAGGCAGCTGTTGAACTTTGACTCTCACAAAAATAAACAAAAAGAACATGTTTTATTTATTTAAATATGTATTGAATGAATGAATTCAAGTATTTATTCGGACAATACAAAATAAAAACCTACATGTGCACTTTGTATGTCCATGTTGTTCCCGCAAGGAATAATTAAAATAAACAATCATGTCCGAAAGGAAGCAGGACGAAGTAGGTACAAAAAATGCCGCTACTTTTAATTTTAATTATTATTGTTTTAATTATTATTATTATAATTTTCAATGTTTAATGTAAACCAGGCAAACATACTTTTCAAATGCTACAATACGATACAATACTACCACAAATAAGAAAACAAAAATGCCACTACTCTGCACTGTATGAACCACGACGTGCGTCAGTCTGCGCGCTGACGTCACTCCCCTCTTGACAGCACTTCCGGGTGTAGAGGAGGGGGGTTGGTTTGTTGTGGGAAATCCTGCACCGTGTGTCTGAGCTCGTCCCGTCACCTCCACCTCCACCTCCCGCGTCACCTCCACCTTCCACCGACCTGCAGACCCTCTCTAGCCGCTGCACCACACCTCCACCCCGGGTCCGGGAGCATGTCCTGCCGCTGTCAGTCCGGAGAGAGACGCGGAGGCTGAGGCGATGCTGTAGCTAACATGGACAGCAGGATCAAGTGAGAGATTTATCTGTGTTTGATTCTGCTTTCAGGACTCTGAGAGGTTCAAGGTGACTTTATGATGAGTACCTGTGGGTAAATAACAGGGAGAGAGACCAGAGAGAGAGACCAGAGAGAGAGACCAGAGAGAGAGACCAGAGAGAGAGACCAGAGAGAGAGACCAGAGAGAGAGACCAGAGAGAGAGACCAGAGAGAGAGACCAGAGAGAGAGACCAGAGAGAGAGACCAGAGAGAGAGACCAGAGAGAGAGACCAGAGAGAGAGACCAGAGAGAGACCAGAGAGAGAGACCAGAGAGAGAGACCAGAGAGAGAGACCAGAGAGAGAGACCAGAGAGAGAGACCAGTGAGAGACCAGAGAGAGACCAGAGAGAGAGAGACCAGAGAGAGAGACCAGAGAGAGAGACCAGAGATAGTGACCAGAGAGAGAGACCAGAGAGAGAGACCAGAGAGAGAGACCAGAGAGAGAGACCAGAGAGAGAGACCAGAGAGAGAGACCAGAGAGAGACCAGAGAGAGAGACCAGAGAGAGACCAGAGAGAGAGACCAGAGAGAGAGACCAGAGAGAGAGACCAGAGAGAGAGACCAGAGAGAGAGACCAGTGAGAGACCAGAGAGAGAGAGCCAGAGAGAGACCAGAGAGAGAGACCAGAGAGAGAGACCAGAGAGAGAGACCAGAGATAGTGACCAGAGAGAGAGACCAGAGAGAGAGACCAGAGAGAGAGACCAGAGAGAGAGAGAGACCAGAGAGAGAGAGAGACCAGAGAGAGAGAGAGACCAGAGAGAGAGAGACCAGAGAGAGAGACCAGAGAGAGAGACCAGAGAGAGAGACCAGAGAGAGAGAGAGAGACCAGAGAGAGAGAGACCAGAGAGAGAGACAGACCAGAGAGAGAGACCAGAGAGAGAGACCAGAGAGAGAGACCAGAGAGAGAGACCAGAGAGAGAGAGAGAGAGAGACCAGAGAGAGAGAGAGACCAGAGAGAGAGAGACCAGGGAGAGACCAGAGAGAGAGAGACCAGAGAGAGAGACCAGAGAGACCAGAGAGAGAGAGACCAGAGAGAGAGACCAGAGAGAGAGACCAGAGAGAGAGAGACCAGAGAGAGAGACCAGAGAGAAAGACCAGAGAGAGAGACCAGAGAGAGAGACCAGAGAGAGAGACCAGAGAGAGAGACCAGAGAGAGAGACCAGAGAGAGACCAGAGAGAGAGACCAGAGAGAGAGACCAGAGAGAGAGAGACCAGAGAGAGAGACCAGAGAGAGAGACCAGAGAGAGACCAGAGAGAGAGACCAGAGAGAGAGACCAGAGAGAGAGACCAGAGAGAGAGACCAGAGAGAGAGACCAGAGAGAGAGACCAGAGAGAGAGACCAGAGAGAGAGACCAGAGAGAGAGACCAGAGAGAGACCAGAGAGAGAGAGACCAGAGAGAGAGAGACCAGAGAGAGAGACCAGAGAGAGAGACCAGAGAGAGAGACCAGAGAGAGAGACCAGAGAGAGACCAGAGAGAGAGACCAGAGAGAGACCAGAGAGAGAGACCAGAGAGAGAGACCAGAGAGAGAGACCAGAGAGAGAGACCAGAGAGAGGACCAGAGAGAGACCAGAGAGAGGACCAGAGAGAGGACCAGAGAGAGACCAGAGAGAGAGACCAGAGAGAGAGACCAGAGAGAGACCAGAGAGAGAGACCAGAGAGAGACCAGAGAGAGAGACCAGAGAGAGGACCAGAGAGAGACCAGAGAGAGGGACCAGAGAGAGACCAGAGAGAGACCAGAGAGAGACCAGAGAGAGACCAGAGAGAGACCAGAGAGAGACCAGAGAGAGAGAGAGACCAGAGAGAGACCAGAGAGAGACCAGAGAGAGAGGAGACCAGAGAGAGAGACCAGAGAGAGACCAGAGAGAGACCAGAGAGAGAGACCAGAGAGAGACCAGAGAGAGAGACCAGAGAGAGAGACCAGAGAGAGACCAGAGAGAGAGACCAGAGAGAGACCAGAGAGAGAGACCAGAGAGAGAGACCAGAGAGAGAGACCAGAGAGAGAGACCAGAGAGAGAGACCAGAGAGAGACCAGAGAGAGACCAGAGAGAGAGACCAGAGAGAGAGACCAGAGAGAGACCAGAGAGAGAGACCAGAGAGAGAGACCAGAGAGAGAGACCGAGAGAGAGACCAGAGAGAGAGACCAGAGAGAGAGACCAGAGAGAGAGACCAGAGAGAGAGAGACCAGAGAGAGACCAGAGAGAGAGACCAGAGAGAGACCAGAGAGAGACCAGAGAGAGACCAGAGAGAGAGACCAGAGAGAGAGACCAGAGAGAGACCAGAGAGAGACCAGAGAGAGAGACCAGAGAGAGAGACCAGAGAGAGAGACCAGAGAGAGACCAGAGAGAGAGACCAGAGAGAGAGACCAGAGAGAGAGACCAGAGAGAGAGACCAGAGAGAGACCAGAGAGAGACCAGAGAGAGACCAGAGAGAGACCAGAGAGAGAGACCAGAGAGAGAGACCAGAGAGAGAGACCAGAGAGAGACCAGAGAGAGACCAGAGAGAGAGACCAGAGAGAGACCAGAGAGAGAGACCAGAGAGAGAGACCAGAGAGAGACCAGAGAGAGAGACCAGAGAGAGAGACCAGAGAGAGAGACCAGAGAGAGAGACCAGAGAGAGAGACAGAGTGAGAGACCAGAGTGAGAGACAGAGTGAGAGACCAGAGTGAGAGACCAGAGTGAGAGACCAGAGAGAGACCAGAGAGTGAGACCAGAGTGAGACCAGAGTGAGAGACCAGAGTGGAGACCAGAGAGAGACCAGAGAGAGACCAGAGAGAGACCAGAGAGAGACCAGAGAGAGAGACCAGAGAGAGAGGCCAGAGAGAGAGACCAGAGAGAGAGAGACCAGAGAGAGAGACCAGAGAGACCAGAGTGAGAGACCAGAGTGAGAGACCAGAGTGAGAGACCAGAGTGGGAGACCAGAGTGGGAGACCAGAGTGGGAGACCAGAGTGGGAGACCAGAGTGGGAGACCAGAGAGGGAGACAGAGTGAGAGACCAGAGAGGGAGACCAGAGTGGGAGACCAGAGTGGAGAGACCAGAGTGGAGAGACAGAGTGGGAGACCAGAGTGAGAGACCAGAGTGAGAGACCAGAGTGGGAGACCAGAGTGGGAGACCAGAGTGAGAGACCAGAGTGGGAGACATTAAAATACAAAAGTGTGACCATTGAGGAGGGGCGGGGCTTATGGCTGGTCTCGGTGTAGCCACGATGCTAACATGCTAACAGTGTTGTTTCCATGGTGACAGTGGGACACCGCAGGCCAGGAGCGCTTCAGAACCATCACCTCCAGTTACTACAGAGGAGCTCATGGTATCATTGTGGTGTATGACGTCACAGACCAGGTGTGTACCAAGTGTGCGTGTACCAAGTGTGCGTGTACCAAGTGTGTTTGTAAGTGTCTGTGTGTGTGTACCAGGTGAATGTTCAGACCATACCACTGTGTCTGTGTGTGTGTACCAGGTGAATGTTCAGACCATACCACTGTGTCTGTGTGTGTGTACCAGGTGAATGTTCAGACCATACCACTGTGTCTGTGTGTGTGTACAGGTGAATGTTTAGACCATAACACATGTGTCTGTGTGTGTAGTAACAGGTGAATGTTCAGACACATCTGTGTCTGTGTGTGTACCAGGTGAATGTTTAGACCATACCACTGTGTCTTGTGGTGTACCAAGGTGTATGTTCAGACCACACTACTGAGTGTTCTGTGGTGTGTACCAGGGTGAATTCTTTCAGAACCACACGTACGTGTGTCTGTGTGTGTGTAACAGGTGAATGTTTAGACCATACAACTGTCTTGTGTGTGTACCAGGTGAATTGTTCAGACCTACAACGTTGTGTGTGTACAGGTGATGTTAGCATACATGTGTTGTGTGTGTCCAGGTGAAAGTTTAGACCACTACTACTGTGTCTGTGTGTGTACCGGTGAATGTTTAGCATACATGTGTCTGTGTGTGTACAGGTGAATGTTTAGCCATACCTGTGTCTGTGTGTGTACCAGGTGAATGTTTAGACCATACAACCTGTCTGTGTGGTGACCAGGTGAATGTCAGACCATACTACTGTGTCTGTGTGTGTAACCAGGTGACTGTTCAGACACCAACCACTGTGTCTGTGTGTGTGTACCAGGTGTAGGTTCAGACCACACTACTGTGTCTGTGTGTGTACCAGGTGAATGTTTAGACCATACCACTGTGTCTGTGTGTGTACCAGGTGAATGTTTAGACCATACAACTGTGTGTGTACCAGGTGAATGTTCAGACCACACTACTGTGTCTGTGTGTGTACCAGGTGAATGTTTAGACCATACCACTGTGTCTGTGTGTGTACCAGGTGAATGTTCAGACCACACTACTGTGTCTGTGTGTGTACCAGGTGAATGTTTAGACCATACCACTGTGTCTGTGTGTGTACCAGGTGAATGTTTAGACCACACTACTGTGTCTGTGTGTGTACCAGGTGAATGTTTAGACCATACCACTGTGTCTGTGTGTGTACCAGGTGAATGTTTAGACCATACAACTGTGTCTGTGTGTGTACCAGGTGAATGTTCAGACCACACTACTGTGTCTGTGTGTGTACCAGGTGAATGTTTAGACCATACTACTGTGTGTGTACCAGGTGAATGTTTAGACCACGCCACGGACCAGGTGTGGTAGGGCTGCTCCTCCTAGACAAGTACACACTAGTATGCACAAGTACACACTTGTGTGTACAAGTACACACAAGTGTGTACAGCATGTGTTCTGATCACTGAGGTTTGTCTGATCCTTCCTCTCCTTCTCCTCTCCTTCTCTCCTTCTCCCTTCTCCTTTCTCTCTTTCCACCCTCCATTCTCCTCCCTCCCTTCCTCTCTTCCTCCTTCTCTTTCTCCTCTCTTCCACCTCCATTCCTCCTCCTCTCCTCTCCTCCCTCTCTTCCACCCTCATCTCGCCTCCTCTTCCTCTCCCCTTCTCCTTCTTCACCTCTCATCTCTCCTCCACTCTCCTCCCCTTCCTCCTTCACTTCCATCCTCTCTCCCCCCTCTGCGGAGTCTTTACAACGTGAGGAGTGGTGCAGGAGATCGAGCGTTACGCCAGTGAGAGCGTCAACAAACTGTTGGTGGGAAACAAGGCAGACCTGACCACCAAGAAGGTGGTGGATACATACAGCAAGGTACCACATGGGACTACAGGGACACAGGGACCACAGGGACCACAGGCAGACCTGACCACCAAGAAGGTGGTGGATACACTACAGCCAAGGTACACAGGGGACTACAGGGACACAGGGACCACAGGGGACTCCAGGGAACCACAGGCAGACCTGATCACCAAGAAGGTGGTGGACTACACTACAGCCAAGGTACCACAGGGACTACAGGGACCACAGGTACCACATGGACCACAGGCAGACTCTCTGGTCTCTCTCTGGTCTCTCTCTGGTCTCTCTCTCTGGTCTCTCTCTGGTCTCTCTCTGGTCTCTCTCTGGTCTCCTCTCTCTCTCTCTGGTCTCTCTCTCTGGTCTCTCTCTGGTCTCTCTCTGGTCTCTCTCTGGTCTCTCTCTGGTCTCTCTCTGGTCTCTCTCTGGTCTCTCTCTGGTCTCTCTCTGGTCTCTCTCTGGTCTCTCTCTGGTCTCTCTCTGGTCTCTCTTCTGGTCTCTCTCTGGTCTCTCTCTGGTCTCTCTCTGGTCTCTCTCATGGTCTCTCTCTGGTCTCTCTCTGGTCTCTCTCTGGTCTCTCTCTGGTCTCTCTCTGGTCTCTCTGGTCTCTCTGGTCTCTCTCTGGTCTCTCTCTCTGGTCTCTCTCTGGTCTCTCTCTGGTCTCTCTCTCTGGTCTCTCTCTGGTCTCTCTCTGGTCTCTCTCTGGTCTCTCTCTCTGGTCGTCTCTCTCTGGTCTCTCTCTCTAGTCTCTCTCTGGTCTCTCTCTGGTCTCTCTCTCTGGTCTCTCTCTGGTCTCTCTCTGGTCTCTCTCTCTAGTCTCTCTCTGGTCTCTCTCTGGTCTCTCTCTGGTCTCTCTCTCTGGTCTCTCTCTCTGGTCTCTCTCTGATCTCTCTCTGGTCCTCTCTCTGGTCTGTCTCTGGTCTCTCTCTGGTCTCTCTCTCTGGTCTCTCTCTGGTCTGTCTCTGGTCTGGCTCTGGTCTCTCTCTCTGGTCTTTCTCTGGTCTCTCTCTCTGGTCTCTCTCTGGTCTCTCTCTCTAGTCTCTCTCTGGTCTCTCTCTGGTCTCTTCTCTCTGGTCTCTCTCTGGTCTCTCTCTGGTCTCTCTCTCTGGTCTCTCTCTGGTCTCTCTCTGGTCTCTCTCTGGTCTCTCTCTCTGGTCTCTCTCTGGTCTCTCTCTGGTCTCTCTCTCTGGTCTCTCTCTGGTCTCTCTCTCTGGTCTCTCTCTCTGGTCTCTCTCTGGTCTCTCTCTCTAGTCTCTCTCTGGTCTCTCTCTCTGGTCTCTCTCTGGTCTCTCTCTCTGGTCTCTCTCTGGTCTCTCTCTCTGGTCTCTCTCTGGTCTCTCTCTGGTCTCTCTCTGGTCTCTCTCTGGTCTCTCTCTGGTCTCTCTCTGGTCTCTCTCTCTAGTCTCTCTCTGGTCTCTCTCTGGTCTCTCTCTGGTCTCTCTCTGGTCTCTCTCTCTGGTCTCCTCTCTGGTCTCTCTCTGGTCTCTCTCTGGTCTCTCTCTGGTCTCTCTCTCTGGTCTCTCTCTGGGTCTCTTCTCTGGTCTCTCTCTGGTCTCTCTCTCTGGTCTCTCTCTGGTCTCTCTCTCTAGTCTCTCTCTGGTCTCTCTCTGGTCTCTCTCTGGTCTCTCTCTGGTCTCTCTCTGGTCTCTCTCTGGTCTCTCTCTGGTCTCTCTCTGGTCTCTCTCTGGTCTCTCTCTGGTCTCTCTCTCTGGTCTCTCTCTGGTCTCTCTCTGGTCTCTCTCTGGTCTCTCTCTCTGGTCTCTCTCTCTGGTCTCTCTCTGGTCTCTCTCTGGTCTCTCTCTGGTCTCTCTCTGGTCTCTCTCTCTGGTCTCTCCTCTGGTCTCTCTCTCTAGTCTCTCTCTGGTCTCTCTCTGGTCTCTCTCTGGTCTCTCTCTGGTCTCTCTCTGGTCTCTCTCTCTGGTCTCTCTCTGGTCTCTCTCTGGTCTCTCTCGGTCTCTCTCTGGTCTCTCTCTCTGGTCTCTCTCTGGTCTCTCTCTGGTCTCTCTCTGGTCTCTCTCTGGTCTCTCTCTGGTCTCTCTCTCTCATCCTGGTCTCTCTCTGGTCTCTCTCTGGTCTCTCTCTGGTCTCTCTCTGGTCTCTCTCTGGTCTCTCTCTGGTCTCTCTCTGGTCTCTCTCTCTGGTCTCTCTCTGGTCTCTCTCTGGTCTCTCTCTGGTCTCTCTCTCTGGTCTCTCTCTGGTCTCTCTCTGGTCTCTCTCTGGTCTCTCTCTGGTCTCTCTCTCTGGTCTCTCTCTGGTCTCTCTCTGGTCTCTCTCTGGTCTCTCTCTGGTCTCTCTCTGGTCCTCTCTCTGGTCTCTCTTGGTCTCTCTCTGGTCTCTCTCTCTGGTCTCTCTCTGGTCTCTCTCTGGTCTCTCTCTGGTCTCTCTCTCTGGTCTCTCTCTGGTCTCTCTCTGGTCTCTCTCTCTGGTCTCTCTCTGGTCTCTCTCTCGGTCTCTCTCTGGTCTCTCTCTGGTCTCTCTCTGGTCTCTCTCTGGTCTCTCTCTGGTCTCTCTCTGGTCTCTCTCTGGTCTCTCTCTGGTCTCTCTCTGGTCTCTCTCTGGTCTCTCTCTGGTCTCTCTCTGGTCTCTCTCTGGTCTCTCTCTGGTCTCTCTCTCTGGTCTCTCTCTGGTCTCTCTCTGGTCTCTCTCTGGTCTCTCTCTCTGGTCTCTCTCTGGTCTCTCTCTGGTCTCTCTCTCTAGTCTCTCTCTGGTCTCTCTCTGGTCTCTCTCTGGTCTCTCTCTGGTCTCTCTCTGGTCTCTCTCTCATAGTCTCTCTCTGGTCTCTCTCTGGTCTCTCTCTGGTCTCTCTCTGGTCTCTCTCTCTGGTCTCTCTCTGGTCTCTCTCTCTCTCTGGTCTCTCTCTCTGGTCTCTCTCTCTGGTCTCTCTTTGGTCTCTCTCTGGTCTCTCTCTGGTCTCTCTCTGGTCTCTCTCTCTGGTCTCTCTCTCTCTCTCTCTAGTCTCTCTCTGGTCTCTCTCTTGGTCTCTCTCTGGTCTCTCTCTAGTCTCTCTCTGGTCTCTCTCTCTGGTCTCTCTCTGGTCTCTCTCTGGTCTCTCTCTGGTCTCTCTCTGGTCTCTCTCTCTGGTCTCTCTCTGGTCTCTCTCTCTAGTCTCTCTCTGGTCTCTCTCTGGTCTCTCTCTGGTCTCTCTCTGGTCTCTCTCTGGTCTCTCTCTCTAGTCTCTCTCTGGTCTCTCTCTGGTCTCTCTCTGGTCTCTCTCTGGTCTCTCTCTCTGGTCTCTCTCTGGTCTCTCTCTGGTCTCTCTCTGGTCTCTCTCTCTGGTCTCTCTCTGGTCTCTCTCTCTAGTCTCTCTCTGGTCTCTTGCATGCTGCTGAAACCGCATGTGTTTAGCGCAAGAGCAACTAAGGAGAAAACGCATTGAACGTCAAGTTTATTAGTATTGCACAGTTCATAAGGCCACTCAAAAAGCTGAACAGGAACTTTCAAATCACAAAGTATTAAAATCATAAATAATCTCAGTTCATTCGAGAGAGTGTAGAGAAAATCCTGAACTGTTCTTTAAAGAGTTCAGGATGTGTCCGTAAGTGGTACTGCAGCCTCTCCCACTCTCCCTGACTCAGGTTGCCAGATATGCAGACGAATCCAGCTGGGACCATAACAGCTGAATAGACAAGAGTTTTGTCAACAACAAATCTATAACCAACACCTTTTTCACAAAGATAGAAATCCTGGTTTCATTCCTTGTTTTGTTGTTAATGATTTGAGAATCATAACGAGACCTTTTTTAGTTCTGCGCCACATGGTACTTTACCAGTGAGATTAGCTCCACGCGGTGAGTTCTGGCGCCCGGATCACAGACTTTCTGATTGGTGAAACGGTGGAGGGCGGGACATCGAAATGAAAACAATAACAAGATTTAGAGGCTGGAAAAGTAATTTAGAAATTCAAATATCTCTGAACTACTGTTATCAGTTAAAGAAGTATTGGAAAAGAGCAGTTTATTATTATGACAGATTAGGCCTTTATCCCCACCGCTGTCAGACTGTACAATAAGTCACTTTAAATGATCACTGTGTGAAAACCTGCACTACTATTGACACTGTTTCCAATTGACACTTGTCACTTTTGTTGCACATAATTATTGTCACTTTATTGTACATAATTATCCTGCATGTAACATGTTTGCACATTTCCTCCAACCATTCATTTGAATACGCCGCCATCTTGGATCACGGGGCTTGCTCTAAACACACTCCCGTTACTACACTATCACTTGTCACTTTATTGTACATATATCCTGCATGTAACATGTTTGCACATTTCCTCCTTTTCCACAATCTGAGTGTCTCTATCCATGCCAAATGTGACATGTACATTTCTCCTCTGTGAGATAAATAAAGCACATCTTATCTTATCTTAATGACAGATAAGGGCCCTTTAATGATGACAGATTAGGGCCCTTTAATGATGACAGATTAGGGCCCTTTAATGATGACAGATTAGGGCCCTTTAATGATGACAGATTAGGGCCCTTTAATGATGACAGATTAGGGCCCTTTAATGATGACAGATTAGGGCCCTTTAATGAGGACAGATAAGGGCCCTTTAATGAGGACAGATAAGGGCCCTTTAATGAGGACAGATTAATGAGGGCCCTTTAATGAGGACAGATTAGGGCCCTTTAATGATGACAAATAAGGGCCCTTTAATGAGGACAGATAAGGGCCCTTTAATGAGGACAGATAAGGGCCCTTTAATGAGGACAGATTAATGAGGGCCCTTTAATGAGGACAGATTAGGGCCCTTTAATGATGACAGATTAGGGCCCTTTAATGATGACAGATTAGGGCCCTTTAATGAGGACAGATAAGGGCCCTTTAATGAGGACAGATAAGGGCCCTTTAATGAGGACAGATTAATGAGGGCCCTTTAATGAGGACAGATTAGGGCCCTTTAATGATGACAGATAAGGGCCCTTTAATGAGGACAGATAAGGGCCCTTTAATGAGGACAGATAAGGGCCCTTTAATGAGGACAGATTAATGAGGGCCCTTTAATGAGGACAGATTAGGGCCCTTTAATGATGACAGATTAGGGCCCTTTAATGATGACAGATTAGGGCCCTTTAATGAGGACAGATAAGGGCCCTTTAATGAGGACAGATAAGGGCCCTTTATTTAATGAGAGGGCCCTTTAATGAGGACAGATTAGGGCCCTTTAATGATGACAGATAAGGGCCCTTTAATGAGGACAGATAAGGGCCCTTTAATGAGGACAGATAAGGGCCCTTTAATGAGGACAGATTAATGAGGGCCCTTTAATGAGGACAGATTAGGGCCCTTTAATGATGACAGATTAGGGCCCTTTAATGATGACAGATTAGGGCCCTTTAATGAGGACAGATAAGGGCCCTTTAATGAGGATAGACAGATAAGGGCCCTTTAATGAGGACAGATTATGAGGGCCCTTTAATGAGGACGATAAGAATGAGGACAGATTAGGGCCCTTTAATGATGACAGATAGGGCCCTTTAATGAGGACAGATTAATAAGGGCCCTTTAATGAGGACAGATAAGGGCCCTTTAATGAGGACAGATTAATGAGGGCCCTTTAATGAGGACAGATTAGGGCCCTTTAATGATGACAGATAAGGGCCCTTTAATGAGGACAGATAAGGGCCCTTTAATGAGGACAGATAAGGGCCCTTTAATGAGGACAGATTAATGAGGGCCCTTTAATGAGGACAGATTAGGGCCCTTTAATGATGACAGATTAGGGCCCTTTAATGATGACAGATTAAGGGCCCTTTAATGAGGACAGATAAGGGCCCTTTAATGAGGACAGATAAGGGCCCTTTAATGAGGACAGATTAATGAGGGCCCTTTAATGAGGACAGATTAGGGCCCTTTAATGATGACAGATAAGGGCCCTTTAATGAGGACAGATAAGGGCCCTTTAATGAGGACAGATAAGGGCCCTTTAATGAGGACAGATTAATGAGGGCCCTTTAATGAGGACAGATTTAGGGCCCTTTAATGATGACAGATTAGGGCCCTTTAATGATGACAGATAGGGCCCTTTAATGAGGACAGATAAGGGCCCTTTAATGAGGACAGATAAGGGCCCTTTAATGAGGACAGATTAATGAGGGCCCTTTAATGAGGACAGATTAGGGCCCTTTAATGATGACAGATAAGGGCCCTTTAATGAGGACAGATAAGGGCCCTTTAATGAGGACAGATAAGGGCCCTTTAATGAGGACAGATTAATGAGGGCCCTTTAATGAGGACAGATTAGGGCCCTTTAATGATGACAGATTAGGGCCCTTTAATGATGACAGATTAGGGCCCTTTAATGAGGACAGATAAGGGCCCTTTAATGAGGACAGATAAGGGCCCTTTAATGAGGACAGATTAATGAGGGCCCTTTAATGAGGACAGATTAGGGCCCTTTAATGATGACAGATAAGGCCCTTTAATGAGGACAGATAAGGGCCCTTTAATGAGGACAGATAAGGGCCCTTTAATGAGGACAGATTAATGAGGGCCCTTTAATGAGGACAGATTAGGGGCCCTTTAATGATGACAGATTAGGGCCCTTTAATGATGACAGATTAGGGCCCTTTAATGAGGACAGATAAGGGCCCTTTAATGAGGACAGATAAGGGCCCTTTAATGAGGACAGATTAATGAGGGCCCTTTAATGAGGACAGATTAGGGCCCTTTAATGATGACAGATAAGGGCCCTTTAATGAGGACAGATAAGGGCCCTTTAATGAGGACAGATAAGGGCCCTTTAATGAGGACAGATTAATGAGGGCCCTTTAATGAGGACAGATTAGGGCCCTTTAATGAGGACAGATAAGGGCCCTTTAATGAGGACAGATAAGGGCCCTTTAATGAGGACAGATAAGGGCCCTTTAATGATGACAGATAAGGGCCCTTTAATGAGGACAGATTAGGGCCCTTTAATGAGGACAGATAAGGGCCCTTTAATGAGGACAGATAAGGGCCCTTTAATGAGGACAGATAAAGGCCCTTTAATGAGGACAGATTAGGGCCCTTTAATGAGGACAGATAAGGGCCCTTTAATGAGGACAGATAAGGGCCCTTTAATGAGGACAGATAAGGGCCCTTTAATGAGGACAGATTAATGAGGGCCCTTTAATGAGGACAGATTAGGGCCCTTTAATGAGGACAGATAAGGGCCCTTTAATGAGGACAGATAAGGGCCCTTTAATGAGGACAGATAAGGGCCCTTTAATGAGGACAGATAAAGGCCCTTTAATGAGGACAGATTAGGGCCCTTTAATAAGGACAGATTAGGGCCCTTTAATGAGGACAGATTAGGGCCCTTTAATGATGACAGATTAGGGCCCTTTAATGAGGACAGATTAGGGCCCTTTAATGAGGACAGATTAGGGCCCTTTAATGATGACAGATTAGGGCCCTTTAATGATGACAGATTAGGGCCCTTTAATGATGACAGATTAGGGCCCTTTAATGACGACTGGACATGAATATCTTACATATTGTCAGAGGAGAAACCTGTGTAACATTTTCAGGAGGACTGTTCCAGATTATAGCTGCATAAATCTGAAGTGCAGGTCGTTGCAGTAGTCTAACCTTCTGGAGACTGGATCAGAATAACTGAGTCCATACTTGTTTGTCTCAGGGAGCGACTCTGGAGCTGATGGATCAGGAGCAGGTTCTGCTGAAGCTGAAGAAGGATGTGCGCTCGCTGCTGCTGTCCTCCAAAGTGGGACTGGACCCGGAGCAGCTGAGGAGGGACTACATCTCCATGCTGGGTCACCCCATGCCCCTGAGGCAGCTGGGCTTCCGGAACATCCTGGACATGGTCAAAGAGATGCCCGACGCCGTGACCATCCTCTTCAGGCCGGACGGAGCCGTGTTTCTGCGCGGTGAGTGTAGGGCTATGCTAACACAGACTGTATACAGATGCTAATGCTAACACAGACTGTATACAGATGCTAATGCTAACACAAACTGTATACAGATGCTAATGCTAACACAAACTGTATACAGATGCTAATGCTAACACAGACTGTATACAGATGCTAATGCTAACACAGACTGTATACAGATGCTAATGCTAACACAGACTGTATACAGATGCTAATGCTAACACAGACTGTATACAGATGCTAATGCTAACACAGACTGTATACAGATGCTAATGCTAACACAGACTGTATACAGATGCTAATGCTAACACAGACTGTATACAGATGCTAATGCTAACACAGACTGTTTACAGATGCTAATGCTAACACAGACTGTATGCAGATGCTGATGCTAACACAGACTGTTTACAGATGCTAATGCTAACACAGACTGTAGACAGATGGATAATGCTAACACAGACAGTATACAGATGCTAACACAGACTGTAGACAGATGCTAATGCTAACACAGACTGTATACAGATGCTAATGCTAACACAAACTGTATACAGATGCTAATGCTAACACAGACTGTATACAGATGCTAATGCTAACACAGACTGTTTACAGATGCTAATGCTAACACAGACTGTATACAGATGCTAATGCTAACACAGACTGTATACAGATGCTAATGCTAACACAGACTGTATACAGATGCTAATGCTAACACAGACTGTATACAGATGCTAATGCTAACACAGACTGTATACAGATGCTAATGCTAACAGACTGTATACAGATGCTAATGCTAACACAGACTGTATACAGATGCTAATGCTAACACAGACTGTATACAGATGCTAATGCTAACACAGACTGTATACAGATGCTAATGCTAACACAGACTGTATACAGATGCTAATGCTAACACAGACTGTATACAGATGCTAATGCTAACACAGACTGTTTACAGATGCTAATGCTAACACAGACTGTATGCAGATGCTAATGATAACACAGACTGTATACAGATGGACAATGCTAGCTCAATGCAGCCCAATAGAGAAGTGCTCATGGTGAAGTTTAGCTCGAGCTCACTGTTGCTCCTATTGGCTTCCATGTAAAAGTAAATTCTTCTTTACATTCCCTAAAATAACTATTGAACCCTCCCTGGTGCTTGTAAAGAGTATATAAGGAACTTCAGCAATAATTATCGTAAAAAGAGAGGTTTGAAGATGTTTGGGTTTGGGAGGGTTTTTCTAAAGTCTCTGTTTGTTGCCAGCGACGAGTGACGAGACGACCAGGAACATCGAGGAGCTGGTGTCCCGACAGCGCATCTCTGTGGCCGACAAGAAGCGTCTCCAGAGGAGGCCCAGCATCTTCTCCCCTCGATACAACCACCACCAGAGCTACAGCTGCGGCCCCAGTGCGCTGGTGCTGCCGCGCAGAGGCCGCGCGCCGCCTGCTCTGCCGTCGCAGCTGCGCGCTCAGCTGCGCTCGCTGCTTTCACAGGTCCTGAAACACGCAACCTGTATCCATCCGTCTTCACAACTTTTATAAGTACTGTCCTGCATTTGACCCGTCCTTCATTGCCACTCGGGCGTCTGCCGTAGTCCTGCGCCCAGCTCCAGATGTGGATGCTCCTGGTCAGGACCGGAGCTGGAGGATGTTTCCTTTGAACATGTTTTTAGTGGGAGGAGAATATGCAAACTCCACTCAGAACCCTTCGAACCCCGGACATAACCACTCCGGGGCGACACGGTGGCTGAGTGGTTAGCACACTCCCTCGAATTCCAGTCGGAACAGGGCCTTTCTGAGTGGAGTGTTCTCCCCGTGTGCGAAGGTTTCCTCTGGGTGCTCCGGTTTCTCCTACCACTAAAAACATGCACAATAGGTCTGAATGTAGATGAGAGAGTGATTGAATGGTGTTTGGTCAGAGGCTTTGATGGACCAGTGTGTTCTGGTCTCCCTCTGTCACCGCGTGGAGAGAATGAAACAATAACTGAACTCTGAACATTGTAAACACTTTGGGTGACCTTGGTCTGTACAAATGCGCTATACAGATAAATGTACATACTCATATTCTTACAATCTTCCCAGTCTGAAGGCCATCAGCCCCCATAGCATGATGCTCCCCCCTCCATTTTGCCACTGGTGCGATGAGCAGTGTTAGGGCCGTACATAACATTGAGTGTTTGTCCTTATCTCTCAGGGCCCTCTGCAGCTCTCTAAGCTGGAGAGCTCCTTCCTGCGCTGCTACGGTCACCCGCTGCGGGTCCAGACCATGGGCTTCTACTCCACGGCAGAGATGCTGGAGGCGGCGTCGGACCTGGTGGTTCTGAGCCAGAGCAGGACAGGCTCCGTGCTCTCGCTGCGGGAACAGATGCTGCCGAGACCCATGTGCACCGCGACCCGGGCCCCGACCAGTCCAAGGACCGAGGGCCAGTTCAGACCTCAGCCAAACCAGCAACCTCCCACGGTCACGGTGTCCAGGACAAAGGTAGATGTTTTTACTTCATCTGTTCTACTAAGACAAAATCATTGCAGTAGATTAAATAAAATGTACTCTGGTTTTTGGTCTCTCTTGCTGGTCTCTCTCTCTCTCTGGTCTCTCTCTGGTCTCTCTCTGGTCTCTCTCTCTCTCTGGTCTCTCTCTCTGGTCTCTCTCTGGTCTCTCTCTGGTCTCTCTCTGGTCTCTCTCTGGTCCATCTCTGGTCTCTCTCTGGTCCATCTCTGGTCCCTCTCTGGTCTCTCTCTGGTCCATCTCTGGTCTCTCTCTGGTCTCTCTCTGGTCCATCTCTGGTCTCTCTCTGGTCCCTCTCTGGTCCATCTCTGGTCTCTCTCTGGTCCATCTCTGGTCCCTCTCTGGTCTCTCTCTGGTCCATCTCTGGTCTCTCTCTGGTCCCTCTCTGGTCTCTCTCTGGTCCATCTCTGGTCTCTCTCTGGTCCCTCTCTGGTCTCTCTCTGGTCCCTCTCTGGTCTCTTGCTGGTCCATCTCTGGTCTCTCTCTGGTCTCTCTGGTCCCTCTCTGGTCCCTCTCTGGTCTCTCTCTGGTCTCTGTCTGATATGTATCTTTTTCTTTTGTTTCTGTAGTGTCCAGAGCGCCCCCCTGTGGAGCTGGTCCAGACGCACAGTGAGGACTCCACCAGATCCATGCCTGAGCTCATGGAGAACACAGAGGACAGGTGGGAGGACCAGCAGAAGGACCAGCAGGAGGACCAGCAGAAGGACCAGCAGGAGGGCCGGGCCTTCATTGGCCGCATGCTCCAGGTACAGTTTATTTTCTATTGGCTGATAGCTTTGGCATCATCGCTTAAGGATTTGCTATAATATGGACCTATTTACTTAAAATCAGCCTTATAATGATGTATAACGTGCCACATTAGCCCAGAGTCAGTGGACACTACAACTAGCCCCCTAGTGGACATCACTAGGGGGCCACAGAATATTGCATGTTTGAGAACCCTGGTTTTATTGTTTGCTTCCTTTGTGTCTTCAAACCTCGGCTCAACATCAGTTCCTTTCGTTTCAGCTCGAGGAGGAATTTCTTCAGCAAATCCAACACAATGGAGTCGCTGGAACCATAAGTCCGGACCTGAAAGACCGACTGCAGAAGGTAGACTCAGGATCCAAGTCATATGTGTTTTTGATGTCGGGCTCAGGCCATGTTCAGCTCGAGTCCACAAAGCCGTGGTTATGTGACTTCAGAGACAGTAGAGGGCGCCATAGTCTCACTTTTGTTTCAGGTGGTGGCGCAGTGTCCTGGAGGCGTGTCCGTACACGAGGTCCCCACAAAGTACCAGGTAACTGTGTGTGTGTGTGTGCGGGCGGCCAATGGCATGGGGGATTTTAATTCCTTTTGACCAATCAGGGGCGTGGGCGGGGCTAACCAGTGCTGCTCTGCTCTCAGACAATGTTTGGAGAACAGCTCCCTCTGCAGGAGAGCGGCTTCGTCAGCGTCACGGAGCTGATCGGAGCCATGACCGACGTCTTCCACCTGCAGGACGAGCACGGGGACTGGACCGTGAGGGGGACGGAGCACAGGGACGCCCTGGACACAGGTCAGAGCACAGGGACGCCCTGGACACAGGTCAGAGCACAGGGACGGAGCACAGGGACGCCCTGGACACAGGTCAGAGCACAGGGACGGAGCACAGGGACGCCATGGACACAAGTCAGAGCACAGGGACGCCCTGGACACAGGTCAAAGCACAGGGACGCCCTGGACACAGGTCAGAGCACAGGGACGCCCTGGACACAGGTCAAAGCACAGGGACGGAGCACAGGGACGCCATGGACACAGGTCAGAGCACAGGGAAGGAGCACAGGGACGCCCTGGACACAGGTCAGAGCACAGGGACGGAGCACAGGGACGCCATGGACACAAGTCAGAGCACAGGGACGCCCTGGACACAGGTCAAAGCACAGGGACGCCCTGGACACAGGTCAGAGCACAGGGACGCCCTGGACACAGGTCAAAGCACAGGGACGGAGCACAGGGACGGAGCACAGGGACGGAGCACAGGGAACGGAGCACAGGGACGGAGCACAGGGAACGGAGCACAGGGACGGAGCACAGGGACGGAGCACAGGGACGCCATGGACACAGGTCAGAGCACAGGGACGCCCTGGACAAAGGTCAGAGCACAGGGACGCCATGGACACAGGTCAGAGCACAGGGACGCCCTGGACAAAGGTCAGAGCACAGGGACGCCATGGACACAGGTCAGAGCACAGGGACGCCATGGACACAGGTGAGAGCACAGGGACGCCATGGACACAGGTGAGAGCACAAGGACGCCATGGACACAGGTGAGAGCACAGGGACGCCCTAGACAAAGGTCAGAGCACAGGGACGCCCTGGACAAAGGTCAGAGCACAGGGACGCCATGGACACAGGTGAGAGCACAGGGACGCCCTGGACAAAGGTCAGAGCACAGGGACGCCATGGACACAGGTGAGAGCACAGGGACGCCATGGACACAGGTGAGAGCACAGGGACGCCCTAGACAAAGGTCAGAGCACAGGGACGCCCTGGACAAAGGTCAGAGCACAGGGACGCCATGGACACAGGTGAGGGCACAGGGACGCCCTGAACACAGGTCAGAGCACAGGGACGCCCTGGACACAGGTGAGAGCACAGGGACGCCCTGAACACAGGTGAGAACACAGGGACGCCATGGACACAGGTGAGGGCACAGGGATGCCCTGGACACAGGTCAGAGCACAGGGACGCCATGGACACAGGTCAGAGCCACAGGGACGCCATGGACAAAGGTCAGAGCACAGGGACGCCATGGACACAGGTGAGGGCACAGTAGGAGACTAGACAGAGGGGGGGAGACTGGACAGAGGGGGGGGGGCAGGACAGAGGGGGGAGACTGGACAGGGGGGAGGAGCCAGGTCAGAGGGAGGAGAAAGGTCAGAGGGGGGGGCCAGGACAGAGGGAAGGAGACTGGACAGAGGGGGGAGACGGGACAGAGGGGATGGAGACGGGACAGGGGGGGAGACAGGACAGAGGGGGAGGAGACTGGACAGAGGGGGGAGACAGGTCAGAGGGAGGAGACAGAACAGTGGGGGGGAGACAGGACAGAGGGGGAGGAGACTGAACAGAGGGGGGGAGACAGGACAGAGGGGAGGAGACAGGACAGAGGGGAGGAGACAGGACAGAGGGGGGAGACTGGACAGAGGGGGGAGACTGGACAGAGGGGGGAGACTGGACAGAGGGGGGAGACTGGACAGAGGGGGGAGACTGGACAGAGGGGAGGAGACAGGACAGAGGGGAGGAGACAGGACAGAGGGGGGAGACTGGACAGAGGGGAGGAGACAGGACAGAGGGGGGAGACTGGACAGAGGGGAGGAGACAGAACAGTGGGGGGGAGACAGGACAGAGGGGGGAGACAGGACAGAGGGGAGGAGACAGAACAGTGGGGGGGAGACAGGACAGAGGGGGAGGAGACAGGACAGAGGGGGGGAGACAGGACAGAGGGGAGGAGACAGGACAGAGGGGAGGAGACAGGACAGAGGGGGGAGACTGGACAGAGGGGGGAGACTGGACAGAGGGGGGAGACTGGACAGAGGGGGAGGAGACAGGACAGAGGGGAGGAGACAGGACAGAGGGGGGAGACTGGACAGAGGGGAGGAGACAGAACAGTGGGGGGGAGACAGGACAGAGGGGGAGGAGACAGGACAGAGGGGGGGAGACAGGACAGAGGGGAGGAGACTGGACAGATGGGGGAGACTGGACAGAGGGGGAGGAGACGGGACAGAGGGGGGGAGACAGGACAGAGGGGGAGGAGACAGGACAGAGGGGGGGAGACAGGACAGAGGGGAGGAGACTGGACAGAGGGGAGGAGACAGGACAGATGGGGGAGACTGGACAGAGGGGGAGGAGACGGGACAGATGGGGGAGACTCTCTGGATGAGCTCATAGTAAAGTGGTTCTGAATCCTCTGGTTCTGCAGATGAGAGTCCGAGCGATGGCTTCAAACTTCCTCCCGTCAGTTTCTACTTCAGCAGCGGCGCCTCTCCCTGGGAGGGGCATCAGGAGGAGGAGGTGGAGGCTGCCACTGCTCCGGAGGCCATGGACGAACCGGAGACCAGCCTCCAGCCACGGGAAACGGTGAGAACCTTCACACTAGTACAGGGTGTGAAGGGTTCCATAAAGTGTAGAGTAGGGCTGTAACCTCTCTCGCTCTCTCTCTCTCTCGCTCTCTCTCTCTCGCTCTCGCTCTCTCTCCCATAGACTCTCTCTCTCTCTCTCATAGACCCTCTCTCGCTCTCTCTCTCTCTCTCTCTCTCTCTCATAGACCCTCTCTTGCTCTCTCATAGACCCTCTCTCTGCCATAGACCCTCTCTCTCCCATAGACCCTCTCTCTCTCTCATAGACCCTCTCTCTCTCTCATAGACCCTCTCTCTCCCATAGACCCTCTCTCTCTCTCTCATAGACCCTCTCTTTCCCATAGACCCTCTCTCTCTCTCTCTCTCTCTCATAGACCCTCTCTTGCTCTCTCATAGACCCTCTCTCTGCCATAGACCCTCTCTCTCCCATAGACCCTCTCTCTCTCTCATAGACCCTCTCTCTCCCATAGACCCTCTCTCTCTCTCTCATAGACCCTCTCTTTCCCATAGACCCTCTCTCTCTCTCTCTCTCTCATAGACCCTCTCTTGCTCTCTCATAGACCCTCTCTCTGCCATAGACCCTCTCTCTCCCATAGACCCTCTCTCTCTCTCATAGACCCTCTCTCTCTCTCTAGACCCTCTCTCTCCCATAGACCCTCTCTCTCTCTCTCATAGACCCTCTCTTTCCCATAGACCCTCTCTCTCTCTCATAGACCCTCTCTTTCCCATAGACCCTCTCTCTCTCTCTCTCTCTCTCTCTCTCTCATGGACCCTCTCTCTCCCATAGACCCTCTCTCTCTCTCTCATAGACCCTCTCTCTCTCTCCCATAGACCCTCTCTCTCATAGACCCTCTCTCTCCCACAGACCTACCCGCTGATCCAGGTGCAGCCCCGCCCCTCGGTGCCCCTGGATGCGCTCCTCTCCCGTAGGCTTCAGAGACCCACTCCTCACGGCGAGCGGGAGCTGGTCTCAGTGTTTGTGGAGGAAGTGGAGTCTCCCTCAAAGTTCTACATCCGCTTCAGCTCCACAGGAGAGGCCCGAGCCATGGAGGAAATGATGATCCAGATGAGGTGAGCAGCACTCACACTCCTGCTCTGGTCTCTCTCTGGTCTCTCTCTCTGGTCTCTCTCTCTGGTCTCTCTCTCTGGTCTCTCTCTGGTCTCTCTCTGGTCTCTCTCTGGTCTCACTATGGTCTCACTATGGTCTCACTCTGGTCTCTCTCTGGTCTCTCTCTGGTCTCTCTCTCTGGTCTCTCTCTGGTCTCTCTCTGGTCTCTCTCTGGTCTCTCTATGGTCTCACTCTGGTCTCTCTCTGGTCTCTCTCTCTGTTCTCTCTCTCTGGTCTCTCTCTCTGGTCTCTCTCTGGTCTCTCTCTCTCTGGTCTCTCTCTGGTCTCTCTCTGGTCTCACTCTGGTCTCTCTCTGGTCTCTCTCTGGTCTCAGTCTGGTCTCAGGGTGGTCTCTCTCTGGTCTCTCTCTGGTCTCTCTCTGGTCTCTCTTTGGTTTCTGTCTGGTCTCTCTCTCTGGTCTCTCTTTGGTCTCTCTCTCTGGTCTCTCTCTGGTCTCTCTCTCTGGTCTCTCTCTGGTCTCTCTCTCTGGTCTCTCTCTGGTCTCTCTCTGGTTTCTCTTTGGTCTCTCTCTGGTCTCTCTCTGGTCTCTCTCTGGTCTCTCTCTCTGGTCTCTCTCTGGTCTCTCTCTGGTCTCTCTCTGGTCTCTCTCTGGTCTCTCTCTGGTCTCTCTCTGGTCTCTCTCTCTGGTCTCTCTCTGGTCTCTCTTTGGTCTCTCTCTGGTCTCTCTCTGGTCTCTCTCTCTGGTCTCTCTCTGGTCTCTCTCTGGTCTCTCTCTCTGGTCTCTCTCTGGTCTCTCTTTGGTTTCTCTTTGGTCTCTCTCTGCTCTCTCTCTCTGGTCTCTCTCTGGTCTCTGTCTGGTCTCTCTCTCTGGCCTCTCTCTGGTCTCTCTCTGGTCTTTCTCTCTGGTCTCTCTCTCTGGTCTCTCTCTCCCACATATAAAAAATCTGTCTAATCTACTAGGGTTTCTGTAAACCCTCAGTTGTACAGGGATTAGTCAAAGCAAAGGAAGGTTTATCACCCATCATCTGTACTTCTCAGCAAGTTTTTCCAAAACTTGCTGAGAAGTACAGATGATGGGTGATAAACCTTCCTTTGAGCAGTAAGAGTAGATTAGAAAGCAATCTTCAGTTTGGCCAGTAGATGGAGCCATAGTTAGTTTGGGCCTCACTGTCATGGCCCCCTTGAGATTCTTGCAAATGTATTTAAATTAAACTAAGAAAGCTCATGTACATAAGTATTCACAGCCTTTGTTTAATACTTTGTTGATGCACCTTTGGAACAATCACAGCCTCAAGTCTTTGTGACTCTGATGCCACAAGCTTGGCACACCTGTCTTTGGGCAGTTTTGGCCCATTCCTCTTTGCAGAACCTCTCAAGCTTCGTCAAGTTGGACGGGGAGTGTCGGTGCACAGCCATTTTCAGATCTCTCCAGAGATGTTCAGTTGGATTCAAGTCTGGGCTCTGGGCCACTCCAGGACATTCACAGAGTTGTCCTGAAGCCACTTCTTTGTTATCGTGGCTGTGCTTAGGGTCGTTGTCCTGCTGAAAGATGAACCGTCGCCCCAGTCTGAGGTCAAGAGCAGGTTTTCATCCAGGATGTCTCTGTACATTGCTGCATTCATCTTTCCCTCTATCTTGACTAGTCTCCCAGTTCCTGCCGCTGAAAAACATCCCCACAGCATGATGCTACCACCCCCATGCTTCACTGGAGGGATGGTATTATCCCCACAGCATGATGCTACCACCCCCATGCTTCACTGTAGGGATGGTATTATCCCCAAAGCATGATGCTACCACCCCCATGCTTCACTGTAGGGATGGTATTATCCCCACAGCATGATGCTACCACCCCCATGCTTCACTGTAGGGATGGTATTATCCCCACAGCATGATGCTACCACCCCCATGCTTCACTGTAGGGATGGTATTATCCCCACAGCATGATGCTACCACCCCCCATGCTTCACTGTAGGGATGGTATTATCCCCACAGCATGATACTACCACCCCCATGCTTCACTGTAGGGATGGTATTATCCCCACAGCATGATGCTACCACCCCCATGCTTCACTGTAGGGATGGTATTATCCCCACAGCATGATGCTACCACCCCCATGCTTCACTGTAGGGATGGTATTATCCCCACAGCATGATGCTACCACCCCCATGCTTCACTGTAGGGATGATATTGGCTCGGTGATGAGCAGTGCCTGGTTTCCTCCAAACATGACGCCTGCCATTCACGCCAAAGACTTCAATCTCTGTCTCATCAGACCAGAGAATGTTTTTACTCATGGTCTGAGAGTCTTTCAGGTGCCTTTTGGCAAACTCCAAACTAAGGAGCGGCTTCCGTCTGGCCACTCTACCACACAGGCCTGATTTGTGGATTGGTGCAGAGATGCTTGTCCTTCTGGAGGGTTCTCCTCTCTCCACAGAGGAACGCTGGGGCTCTGACAAAGTGACCATGGGGTTCTTAGTCACCTCCCTGACTAAGGCCCTTCTCCCCCGATCGCTCAGTTCAGAGGCCGGCCAGCTCTAGGAAGAGTCCTGGTTCTTCTTCCATTTACGGATGATGGAGGCCTCTGTGCTCATTGGGACCTTATATATACAGATATGTGCCTTTCTGTGGGACCTTATATATACAGGTGTGTGCCTTTCTGTGGGACCTTATATATACAGGTGTGAGCCTTTCTGTGGGACCTTATATATACAGGTGTGTGCCTTTCTGTGGGACCTTATATATACAGGTGTGTGCCTTTCTGTGGGAACTAATATATACAGGTGCCTTTCTGTGGGACCTTATATATACAGGTGTGAGCCTTTCTGTGGGACCTTATATATACAGGTGCCTTTCTGTGGGACCTTATATATACAGGTGTGAGCCTTTCTGTGGGGCCTTATATATACAGGTGTGAGCCTTTCTGTGGGACCTTATATATACAGGTGTGTGCCTTTCTGTGGGACCATATATATACAGGTGTGAGCCTTTCTGTGAGACCTTATATATACAGGTGTGTGCCTTTCTGTGGGACCTTATATATACAGGTGTGAGCCTTTCTGTGGGACCTTATATATACAGGTGTGAGCCTTTCTGTGGGACCTTATATATACAGGTGTGTGCCTTTCTGTGGGACCATATATATACAGGTGTGAGCCTTTCTGTGGGACATTATATATACAGGTGTGTGCCTTTCTGTGGGACCTTATATATACAGGTGCCTTTCTGTGGGACCTTATATATACAGGTGTGTGCCTTTCTGTGGGACCTTATATATACAGGTGTGTGCCTTTCTGTGGGACCTTATATATACAGGTGTGTGCCTTTCTGTGGGACCTTATATATACAGGTGTGAGCCTTTCTGTGGGACCTTATATATACAGGTGTGAGCCTTTCTGTGGGACCTTATATATACAGGTGTGAGCCTTTCTGTGGGACCTTATATATACAGGTGTGTGCCTTTCTGTGGACCTTATATATACAGGTGTATATCTCAGGATGTTCCGTGGATGCACCTGAGCTCAGTCTGAGCTTCGTGCCAAAGGCTGTGAATACTTATGTACATGAGGTTTATTCGTGTTTTCCTGTTGTCATTATGAGGTGGTGTAGAATGTGAGGAAAATATGAATTGAATCAATTTTGGAATAAAGCTGTGACATCACAAAATGTGGAAAAAGTGAAGCGCTTCTTTCCGGATGGGTTAGGGTTAGTTTTTGGCTGAACGACCCCGAGTGAGGGTGATTTTTAACTTTTTGGTCTATTTTAGAAAACTAATACAAATGGGTTTGAATGTAATCATGAATTCATGTTTTAAATAATCGTTCAATTACATTTACATTTAAGGATAATTGTCTCTAAAGAGTTGTGATGAAATACAAAATGTTAAAATATTGTGATAAAATTAGTTCTGTAAAAGCTAACGATAATTCAGTTAAATTCTAAACATAATTGGATTGTAATTATTGTATTAAAACATTAAAATGACATAAACTACATTAAAATTAATATGTTAAAATGCAGGAAAAATTTGTTAAAAAGTTCATTATTGTTAAATAAATGATTAGATAAAACTTATTAAAAAATGTTTTCTGCAACTAATAATAATACGAACAATAATAGATACTTTTTTTGATCCCCGTCAGAGAAATGCAGGGGTTCAGTAGCAGCAAAATAAATAAATGTCTTCTTACTAAAAAGCTAGTAATAGTAACAATCAGCAACAACCTCAGGTCACAGCAGCAGAGGTGGAGTAGCCTCTGGGTGGAGCAGGACAGGTCACAGCAGCAGAGGTGGAGTAGCCTCTGGGTGGAGCAGGACGGGTCACAGCAGCAGAGGTGGAGTAGCCTCTGGGTGGAGCAGAACAGGTCACAGCAGCAGAGGTGGAGTAGCCTCTGGGTGGAGCAGGACGGGTCACAGCAGCAGAGGTGGAGTAGCCTCTGGGTGGAGCAGAACAGGTCACAGCAGCAGAGGTGGAGTAGCCTCTGGGTGGAGCAGGACGGGTCACAGCAGCAGAGGTGGAGTAGCCTCTGGGTGGAGCAGAACAGGTCACAGCAGCAGAGGTGGAGTAGCCTCTGGGTGGAGCAGAACAGGTCACAGCAGCAGAGGTGGAGTAGCCTCTGGGTGGAGCAGGACGGGTCACAGCAGCAGAGGTGGAGTAGCTTCTCCTCAGTCCTCTCTCTCCCGCCTCAGTCCTCTCTCTCTCTCCTCAGTCCTCTCTCTCTCTCTCTCTCTCTCCCTCGTCAGTCCTCTCTCTCCCGCCTCAGTCCTCTCTCTCTCTCTCTCTCTCTCTCTCCCGCCTCAGTCCTCTCTCTCTCTCCTCAGTCCTCTCCCCCCTCTCTCTCTCTCTCTCCCTCCTCAGTCCTCTCTCTCCCGCCTCAGTCCTCTCTCTCTCTCTCTCTCTCTCTCTCCTCAGTCCTCTCCCCCCTCTCTCTCTCCCTCCTTAGTCCTCTCTCTCTCTCTCCTCAGTCCTATCCCCTCTCTCTCTCTCTCTCCCTCCTCAGTCCTCTCTCTCTCTCCTCAGCATCCTCTCCCCTCTCTCTCTCTCTCTCTCCCTCCTCAGTCCTCTCTCTCTCTCCTCAGTCCTCTCCTCTCTCTCTCTCTCTCTCTCCCTCCTCAGTCCTCTCCCCTCTCTCTCTCTCTCTCCCTCCTCAGTCCTCCCTCTCTCTCCTCAGTCCTCTCCTCCCTCTCTCTCTCCCTCCTCAGTCCTCTCTCTCTCTCCTCAGTCCTCTCCCCCCTCTCTCTCTCCCGCCTCAGTCCTCTCTCTCTCTCCTCAGTCCTCTCCCCTCTCTCTCTCTCTCTCTCTCTCCCCTCCTCAGTCCTCTCTCTCTCTCCTCAGTCCTAACCCCTCTCGCGCTCTCTCTCTCTCTCCCTCCTCAGTCCTCTCTCTCTCTCCTCAGTCCTCCCCCCCCCCCCCCCTCTCTCTCTCTCTCTCTCCTCCTCTCCCCTCTCTCTCTCTCTCTCTCCCTCCTCAGTCCTCTCTCTCTCTCCTCAGTCCTCCCCCCCCCCTCTCTCTCTCTCTCTCTCCCTCCTCCCCTCTCTCTCTCTCTCTCCCTCCTCAGTCCTCTCTCTCTCTCCTCAGTCCTCTCCCCCCTCTCTCCTCAGGCGCTGCTACACCTGCCCAGAGGTCTCCGCTCGGTACCGGTTGCCGCAGAGGTTTGTGCGTCGGGGTCAGGTGTGTTGTGTGTCTCCCAAAGGAATGTGGTTCTACAGAGTTGTGATCCACGCCGTGCTCAGTCCGACGTCTGTGGAGGTCTACTACGCCGACTTCGGAGCCATCACCACCGTGCCGACCAGCGACCTCAAGTTCCTCAAGTACGTTGCACACACGGACCTGGGTGGGACCTGGGTGGGACCTGGTCTTAGTCCCTGTGTGGGACCTGGTCTTAGTCCCTGTGTGAGACCTGGTCTTAGTCCCTGTGTGAGACCTGGTCTTAGTCCCTGTGTGAGACCTGGTCTTAGTCCCTGTGTGAGACCTGGTCTTAGTCCCTGTGTGAGACCTGGTCTTAGTCCCTGTGTGTGTCCTGGTCTTAGTCCCTGTGTGTGTCCTGGTCTTAGTCCCTGTGTGTGTCCTGGTCTTAGTCCCTGGGTGGGACCTGGTCTTAGTCCCTGGGTGGGACCTGGTCTTAGTCCCTGTGTGAGACCTGGTCTTAGTCCCTGTGTGTGTCCTGGTCTTAGTCCCTGTGTGTGTCATGAAGCTTAAGCGGAGGTTCAGGATGGTAGACTACCTACGTTATCACACCAGGCTTGACCACGCCTTACTCAGCCTGTCTTAATCAACTCCCCGCAGCCGTGTCAATCAAGCCAGCGTTTAAGAGCAAAGCAGAGCACAGCTCACCAAACGGACTTCAAGCTGCAATGGGTTGCTCTTCGTCACTTTGTTTACTCACGCTTCGCACATTGTTCATCCTGTATGGTCGCGGCTCGTCTTCCACATCGCATGTTGGGGGCTGCGCGCCATGGTCGCTGTGTCTCCACCGCGGCTCACCGCGGGTCCTCTCCTGCGGACTCGCTGCCGCTCGTCTCCCCGTGGCCGCTGCTGCTCGCGGCCAGGCGTTACTCCGCACACCCTGCCGCTTCCATACCGGGAACAGGACTTCGTCTGCCTGCCGTTGTCTGCTGCCGCTGTCCACCATTCTCCCTGCCTCCACTCACGGTACAGTGTCGGTTTCGTTGTTTTCCGCACTACCATGAACTGTACTGAACTGCGGCGTGTCAGTTAATCCCGCCGAATTGGCTCGCAGGCTGTGTTTTTACCCGATGCATTGCTCTTCAGGCTGTTCGTTTACCATCTGCATTGACATTTAGACCGTCCGTTTTCACCATGGACCGCACATTTTAACCACTGTTGGCCTTCTGGCTGTCCGTTTTACTATGGACTGAACATTCTACACACTGCAGTGACCTCCAGGCTGTCAGTTGTAACCATGGACTATAACATTTGTCGTCTGCATTGGCCTTCGCTCTGTCTAATTGACCGTGGACTGTAAGTTTTGCCCACTGCATTGCCTCCCGGCTGTCCGTGTCTGAAGAACTGCTCTGATTGGTCGGAGCGCAGCCGAGCCCCTCTGTGCTGTTCGTTGCCCAGTGCTCTGGCCTTACGCGACTTCAACGCCACGCTTCAACGCCACGCTTCAACGCCACGCTTCAACGCCACGCTTCAACGCTTCGACTCCTCCTCCACGGCGCACGCTTCGACGACTCCTCCACGCCGCACGCTTTGACGCCGCACGCTTTGACGGCGCATGCTTTGACGCCGCACGCTTTGACGCCGCACGCTTCGACTCCTCCACGCCGCACGCTTCGACTCCTCCACGCCGCACGCTTTGACTCCTCCTCCACGCTTTGACGCACGCTTTGACGCCGCACGCTTTGACGCCGCACGCTTTGACGCCGCACGCTTCGACTCCTCCACGCCGCACGCTTCGACTCCTCCACGCCGCACGCTTTGACTCCTCCTCCACGCCGCACGCTTTGACGCCGCACGCTTTGACGCCGCACGCTTTGACGCCGCACGCTTTGACGCCGCACGCTTTGACGCCGCACGCTTTGACGCCGCACGCTTTGACGCCGCACGCTTCGACTCCTCCTCCACGCCGCACGCTTTGACGCAGCACGCTTCGACTCCTCCACGCCGCACGCTTTGACGCCGCACGCTTCAACTCCTCCTCCACGCCGCACGCCTTGACGCCGCACGCTTTGACTCCTCCTCCACGCTTTGACGCCGCACGCTTCGACTCCTCCTCCACGCCGCACGCTTTGACGCCGCACGCTTTGACTCCTCCACGCCGCACGCTTTAACGGCGCAAGCTTTGACGGCGCAAGCTTTGACGGCGCAAGCTTTGACGCCGCACGCTTCGACGGCGCACGCTTCGACGCCGCACGCTTCGACGGCGCACGCTTCAACGGTGCACGCTTCGACGGCGCACGCTTTGACGCCGCACGCTTCGACGCCGCACGCCTCGACGCCGCCGCACGCCTTGACAACAGCGCACGCTTTGACGCCGCCGCACGCCTCGACGACGCCGCACGCCTCGACGACGCCGCACGCTTTGACGACGGCGCACGCTTTGACGACGCCGCACGCCTTGACAACGGCGCACGCTTTGACAACGGCGCACGTCCGCGGCCGCACGCTTCATTGCAGCTCGACGGTGGCCGCACGCTTCATCACAGCTCGTCGGCGGCCGCACGCTTCATCGCAGCACGTTGGCGGCCGCACGCTTCATCGCCGGTGGCCGCTGTTTGACGCCACGTCGGTGTCCGCCTCCTGCCGCATTCTCGACGCCACGCTTCGACGCATTCGTGTGCTCTCATCCATTCATCGTGGGACCAGTGTCGACCATGGACTCGCGTTCCCTATTGGGGGGTGAACAATCCAACGCTTGGAGAGTTCTGCTTCACAAGGACGGGAAGAGCCGGCATCGAAGGATCAGGTCAGTGGTCCGACTGAAGACGTAGTCTGACTGAAGACGTGGTCTGACTGAAGACGTGGTCTGACTGAAGACGTGGTCTGACTGAAGACGTGGTCTGACTGAAGACGTGGTCTGACTGAAGACGTGGTCTGACTGAAGACGTGGTCTGACTGAAGACGTGGTCTGACTGAAGACGTGGTCTGACTGAAGACGTGGTCTGACTGAAGACGCGGTCTGACTGAAGACGTGGTCTGACTGAAGACGCGGTCTGACTGAAGACGCGGTCTGACTGAAGACGCGTGATAGTGGTTCGAGGTTTCTCTTTTCAGCTTCGCAGGAACGTGATGCCGCAACGCCGCGACGGTGGCCTGCTGCAACGCTGGCCTGCTAAGAATGCATGAGTACTGTTCGGCGTGGCCTTCAAACCTGGCCGGCTATCTTCCCCAGGCCGCACTCATTGGCTTTTGGTGTGCAGCACTGCCCGCCATGGTTTGCGTGCACTCTGAGTGGCTGTAGGAGGTGCTCCTTCTCATGTTCCCCAGGCATATTCTCTCCTGGTGCGGCTCCTGCCGCCGGGCCTGTCTCACGCTTCGCCTTACCTGACGCACCCTGGCCCTCATTCTGACCGGGCCCTTGTGCGTTGGTTTTTGGGGGTCCAGAGATCTCCTATCGAACATCAATCTTCCTGGGTAAGTGTACTTCATGAATCTCATTTCACCTTCTAGTCTCCCCAAGTGGAATCATGTTCGATCAGCGCTCTAAACACCAGCAGTTCATCCTTCATTCAGCATTCTCCTTTCCCTCTCACTGCACACTCTCAGTCTCTGGACATCAGCATCGCGGGTACTGCTGTCACTGCCTCATCTACATCGGCATTAAATACATTCTCTAAAATCCACTTCGAGTCACACTGCTCCACCCTCATAAGAAGATCCTTAAAGGAGTATTGGCAATGGTCCTTGTTCTGTAGTTTAGGTCCTGGACGACTAGCCTGTCTGTCCGTGGAGTGGATCCCTCTCTCAATGTAGGGTCTTCCGAAGGTTTCTCACTTTTTTCCCCACGGGGTTTTGTGAGTTTTCCTTGCCATGCAGGAGGGTCTGGACAGTTAGCGTCCAACTAGAAGGCCCGTGGTGATGATCCAGGATACTTTAACATTCTACAACATCTATGGACATTTTATCAACATTCATAGACTATAATTACTCCTTAAACAATCCCTTGACGACCCCCTGGTCTGAACAAATTCAAAACCTCTGCTCCCTGCATATAACCTCTCTTCCTTTCTCTACACCAGCCACTTGGGCGGATGCGCCTAGGACTCCCTCAATCATCTCTCCAGGAGCTCGGTCCCCGGTTCTCTACCACATTCATCCGTTCTGGCAGCCCATCGCCTCCTCTCATATAAGTACGTATGCATCTCCTGGTGGTGGCAACTCCTCATTTCCAGCATGCCGCGCACTCGAGCCGAGCTCGTGCGCGTGCCAACGCCTAGCGCTAGAGCCGAGCTCGCGCACGGACATTACGGCGCGCACTTGAGCCGAGCTCGTGCGCGTGCCAACGCCTAGCGCTAGCGCCGAGCTCGCGCACGGACATTACGCCGCGCACTTGAGCCGAGCTCGTGCGCGTGCGAACGCCTAGCGCTAGAGCCGAGCTCGCGCACGGACATTATGGCGCGCACTTGAGCCGAGCTCGTGCGCGTGCCAACGCCTAGCGCTAGAGCCGAGCTCGCACACGGAAACAGTCACTCACACCATGCGCCTTCCATAAACGCAGCAACCAAGTCGTGGCAAACGCATCGCTAGCCAAGCTCTCTTTTTGGGGATCATGATCTGCACCCAGGCGCAGATCTCTTCAGAGCCACAGCCGGGGCCTAAGCTCCAAACCAATAAACAAACTCAATCCATAAAATAAACAACTCTTAAACGCATCTCGTCTCTTGTAGTCTCTCCAGGTTGAAATGAAGCTTAAGCGGAGGTTCAGGATGGTACACTACCTACGTTATCACACCAGGCTTAACCACGCCTTACTCAGCCTGTCTTAATCAACTCCCCGCAGCCGTGTCAATCAAGCCAGCGTTTAAGAGCAAAGCAGAGCACAGCTCACCAAACGGACTTCAAGCTGCAACCACCTTGCCTGGCCTGCCAGACACTCCGCCTTTCTGTTCAAAAGAAGAACCGTCTGGACACCTCTTCCTAGCCTATCATTTCACGATTTTACCCACATCGGTCCAATCACGCACCGAGAGGCGGGACTTCCTTTCACCTTTGAGTTGCTAATAACTCCTCGTATCTTTAAGTTTTTGTTACAAAATCGACAGCAGTCGTTTACATTTGCACTAGCTGACATGCCGCCATCCCTTGTTTTGTGTTTACTGAAACGGCTTGGGTGCCGCTAGTTGCTGCGTCATATCCTGTGTGCATCTAATTGGTTGATGCAGTCTGTCAACCACGCCCACCGGGAATTCGCTGAGATCAAGCTCGTTCCCAGACTATATGTCTTTGAATAAGCATATCGTTTGGCAGGCCAGGCAAGCAACCACCTCCTCCCCACCTCCGCCTCAGGATTTCTTCACTCTCACCTTGCCTTGTTGCCACCAACAGTGTCTAGGCCCCGGGGGATCATGATCTGCACCCAGGCGCAGATCTCTTCAGAGCACGGCCACAGCCGGGGCCTAAGCGCCAAACCAATAAACAAACTCAATCCATAAAATAAACAACTCTTAAACGCATCTCGTCTCTTGTAGTCTCTCCAGGTTGAACTGTGCTTAGTCCCTGTGTGTGTCCTGGTCTTAGTCCCTGTGTGGGACCTGGTCTTAGTCCTTGTGTGTGTCCTGGTCTTAGTCCCTGGGTGGGACCTGGTCTTAGTCCCTGTGTGTGTCCTGGACTTAGTCCCTGTGTGTGTCCTGGTCTTAGTCCCTGGGTGGGACCTGGTCTTAGTCCCTGTGTGAGACCTGGTCTTAGTCCCTGGTTGGGACCTGGTCTTAGTCCCTGTGTGTGTCCTGGTCTTAGTCCCTGGGTGGGACCTGGTCTTAGTCCCTGTGTGAGACCTGGTCTTAGTCCCTGGGTGGGACCTGGTCTTAGTCCCTGTGTGTGTCCTGGTCTTAGTCCCTGTGTGTGTCCTGGTCTTAGTCCCTGTGTGTGCCCTGGTCTTAGTCCCTGTGTGTGTCCTGGTCTTAGTCCCTGGGTGGGACCTGGTCTTAGTCCCTGTGTGTGTCCTGGACTTAGTCCCTGTGTGTGTCCTGGTCTTAGTCCCTGGGTGGGACCTGGTCTTAGTCCCTGTGTGAGACCTGGTCTTAGTCCCTGGGTGGGACCTGGTCTTAGTCCCTGTGTGTGTCCTGGTCTTAGTCCCTGGGTGGGACCTGGTCTTAGTCCCTGTGTGAGACCTGGTCTTAGTCCCTGGGTGGGACCTGGTCTTAGTCCCTGTGTGTGTCCTGGTCTTAGTCCCTGTGTGTGTCCTGGTCTTAGTCCCTGTGTGTGCCCTGGTCTTAGTCCCTGTGTGTGTCCTGGTCTTAGTCCCTGTGTGTGCCCTGGTCTTAGTCCCTGTGTGTGTCCTGGTCTTAGTCCCTGTGTGTGTCCTGGTCTTAGTCCCTGTGTGTGCCCTGGTCTTAGTCCCTGTGTGTGCCCTGGTCTTAGTCCCTGTGTGTCCTGTGCTCAGGTCGTGTTACTCGGTGCTTCCTGCTCAGGCTGTTCCTGCTTCTTTGGTCGGAATCAAACCTGCAAACGTGAGTCAGTGTTGTGTTATAAAAGTCCTAAAAAAATAGTTATTGTAAAATAATATTGTGATAAAGTTCATTATTTTCTGTAATGTACCGATAAATATTAGACTTTCATATATTTTACATTCATTACACACAACTGCAGTAGTTTTAATATGGATGATTTTGGAAAAAAAAGTAAAGAACCAAAAATCCCCATCTAAAAAATTAGCATATTTCATCTGACCAATAAAATATATATTTTTTTATCCTTGAAATGATGTTCAATTATACACAGCTATGGAGGCCTCCAGGTGCTATGGACGCCTTCAGGTGCTATGGAGGCCTTCAGGTGCTATGGAGGCCTTCAGGTGCTATGGAGGCTTTAAGGTGCTATGGAGGCTTTAAGGTGCTATGGAGGCTTTAAGGTGCTATGGAGGCTTTAAGGTGCTATGGAGGCTTTAAGGTGCTATGGAGGCCTTCAGGTGCTATGGAGGCTTTAAGGTGCTATGGAGGCCTTCAGGTGCTATGGAGGCTTTAAGGTGCTATGGAGGCCTTCAGGTGCTATGGAGGCTTTAAGGTGCTATGGAGGCCTTCAGGTGCTATGGAGGCTTTAAGGTGCTATGGAGGCTTTAACCTCTTAACATCCGCCTCATTTTGGCTCGTGCACAATGGTTGGGCATACCCAAATGTCTTTGCTTATTTAAAAACACATCTTACATCTCACATGCTTGTGTGATGCATCATTTTAAAGCTAGAGCCTTCTAGTTTATGTAAAAAAACACTAAAATAATGTTTGTCATTCCTATTTTCCTCTGCATCCTTTGAAGTTAGGGAAAAAAACCCAATTTTTTTAGCCTCGCCTAACATTTTCAATTTCTAAAGGCCCTAAAAAAGGCATACTTCATTGTAAGTTCACAATATTCAAACCCTCTGTTCATTGTGTTGTTGACAACAACTGTCTAAAGTTTCAGACTTCTAAGTTTTATAGTTTTTATGCAGTTTCTCCTTTTCATCAAGTAGTGCACATTTGGCACAATTTGGCACACTTGTGCCAAATTGTGCCAAATATCTTTACTTACATTTAATCATCATAAAAACAATATTTTTTATTATTGGTACTTATAAGTTACTAATCTATGTGTGTTTTTCTTTTTTAAATGTCAAAGTTATTTTTTTATGAGTGTAAATTTGCATTGCAGATTCGAGAGCGTCTTTTATCTTCCATTACGCACAATTGTCCAGGCACAACATAAGACAGGACACCATTGTCCCACCCCTTGTTCGAAAGCTTTCCTCATTGGCTACAAGGACATGTCAATCGTAAATCCCGGAAGTAAACGTAAACAAGTTGGGATCACAACAAAGATCAGTCCTTCATGCGCAAACAGCAGCACTAGCGGTACTTGCGGGACCTATTGCAGACCCAAAAATTGGTCTAGCTTTTCGGGAGTAGTCTCATTTGAAAGATAAGGAGCTAAGGAACACGTAGATACCAGATGTTGGGTATCTACGTATGGGTGAAAAACAAAGCTAAAAGTCCGTTAAAAGTGAAAGAGTAACATCTGTGCTCTTTTTTTTCGTTTTTTTCGCTAAAGATAAATGCACATTTTTGGATTATTTCTGCAGAATGGATTTTACTTTGGGAAATACAAGTGGATATAATTTTCCTTTGGACTGTTCCAGAGAGAATGATGTATTGCAAGCTGGGAGGAGAGCTGATTTATTTGTACAGCACAAGCCCAAAGGTAAAAAACTATTTCGGAATTGATTTATTTTGTGCCCACATTATGTGTTATATCTTTTGAATGCAAAGTCTGGTGTAGTTTACACTTGTATATAAATGTAGATAAGAAAATAAGCTTTAAAATGATATACAGCTTTTGGGGTTTGGTGTTCAAAATACATCTGCTATTGCCAGCAGAACATTTAAAAACATAAAAACGGCCGCCGGCGCGCCGGTTGTTGCTAAGTGGTGCTATGGAGGCTTTAAGGTGCTATGGAGGCTTTAAGGTGCTATGGAGGCCTTCAGGTGCTATGGAGGCTTTAAGGTGCTATGGAGGCTTTAAGGTGCTATGGAGGCTTTAAGGTGCTATGGAGGCCTTCAGGTGCTATGGAGGCCTTCAGGTGCTATGGAGGCTTTAAGGTGCTATGGAGGCTTTAAGGTGCTATGGAGGCCTTCAGGTGCTATGGAGGCTTTAAGGTGCTATGGAGGCTTTAAGGTGCTATGGAGGCTTTAAGGTGCTATGGAGGCCTTCAGGTGCTATGGAGGCCTTCAGGTGCTATGGAGGCTTTAAGGTGCTATGGAGGCCTTCAGGTGCTATGGAGGCGTTAAGGTGCTATGGAGGCTTTAAGGGGCTATGGAGGCTTTAAGGTGCTATGGAGGCCTTCAGGTGCTATGGAGGCTTTAAGGTGCTATGGAGGCTTTAAGGTGCTATGGAGGCTTTAAGGGGCTATGGAGGCTTTAAGGTGCTATGGAGGCTTTAAGGTGCTATGGAGGCTTTAAGGTGCTATGGAGGCTTTAAGGTGCTATGGAGGCTTTAAGGTGATATGGAGGCTTTAAGGCACAGGTGTCAAAGTCAAGGCCCGGGGGCCAGATCCGGCCCGCGAGACCATTTCCAGTGGCCCTTGAGATGATTTTGAATTATTATATGAAATAGCAGCATAAATGGTATTAGGCGACAATGGCATGTTATCCATTACTAAGAAAACAACCATAACATTTTAAATAATCCCATGGAAATAAAGGATTTCCCAATTTTCTTAGGAAAGAACCGCCCTCTCCCCTTTTTGAACAAATCTCTCTGGTCTTATTTGACGAGCACGAATCATCAGAATGATTGACAATTGGGAGGAGCAATAATCTTGATGATCCACTCAAAAGTATAAAATCTTCCAATATACCTTCAATATTTGGTCCAGTTTTGGTTCAGTCCAAAGAAACTGAACTAATTCTAATCAGAATAGAATATCCAATCTAATTAATGTGAAACAAGGCATTTATTTAGATACCTTCATATTCCAAAAAAAAATTATGAATTAAACCCACTTATCTTTTCGGCCCCTGACCAGCTTTTTCTTTTTTTATTCGGCCCTCAACCAAAATAAGTTTGACACCCTTGCTTTAAGGTGCTATGGAGGCTTTAAGGTGCTATGGAGGCTTTAAGGTGCTATGGAGGCTTTAAGGTGCTATGGAGGCTTTAAGGTGCTATGGAGGCTTTAAGGTGCTATGGAGGCTTTAAGGTGCTATGGAGGCTTTAAGGTGCTATGGAGGCTTTAAGGTGCTATGGAGGCTTTAAGGTGCTATGGAGGCTTTAAGGTGCTATGGAGGCTTTAAGGTGCTATGGAGGCTTTAAGGTGCTATGGAGGCTTTAAGGTGTTATGGAGGCTTTAAGGTGCTATGGAGGCTTTAAGGTGTTATGGAGGATTTAAGGTGCTATGGAGGCTTTAAGGTGCTATGGAGGCTTTAAGGTGCTTTGGAGGCTTTATGGTTTCTCTTCACCACATCCCACAGATTCTCTGGGGCTCAGGTCAGGAGAGTTGGCACAGTAGCATGTTAGCATAAGTGGCTATAACTCCTCTGGCTGTAACTGCAGACACAGCAAAGCAGCCCAAACCACACAACAGTGAGGAAGAGAAGAGGGAACTAAAGAAGAAGAAGAAGGTCCTTTATTTGTCCCACAATGGGGAAATTTCAGTTTGATGCATACACATATAGTACATAAGCCAAAACATGATCATAGAAGAAACCCTGAACAGAGCTAGCTTACATCGTATCCTCTGGAGAGACTGGTCTGAGGGAGAGACCTGCGGGACCGCCTCGGACTATCTACGCTCGGACTATCTACGCTCGGACTATCTGCCGGACTATCTACGCTCGGACTATCTACGCTCGGACTATCTACGCTCGGACTATCTACGCTCGGACTATCTGCCGGACTATCTACGCTCGGACTATCTGCCGGACTATCTACGCTCGGACTATCTACGCTCGGACTATCTACGCTCGGACTATCTACGCTCGGACTATCTACGCTCGGACTATCTACGCTCGGACTATCTACGCTCGGACTATCTGCCGGACTATCTACGCTCGGACTATCTGCCGGACTATCTACGCTCGGACTATCTACGCTCGGACTATCTACGCTCGGACTATCTACGCTCGGACTACATTCGGACGTGAAACTAGCGGTAATCTTTCAGTTATATATTGTGTTAGCAGTGCGTTGCTTTTGTACCATTTCATCAGTGATTGTTGTACAGCTTAAGATGTGCTAATGCTAATGTTAGCATACGTATCAGATCGCAAACAAAACTAGATGCTCCGTGGGAGGAGAGCGTTGGGAAATGAGAAGCCTGTGAGCGAGTTGGGGGCGGGGCTAACCACTCAGACCTTGCAGAAACGGTTGTAGCTCCTTTAATAGCTCAGAGTACCCTTTCCTGATATGCTAATTTTTGGAGAAAGGGGTTTTTGGTTTATTTTTTACTTTTTTGTCAAAATCATCATAATAAAACCATAAGGCCTTGAACTACTTCAGTTGTGCAATGAATCTAAAATATATGAAAGTAATGTTTATCAGTAAATTACAGAAAATAATCTCCTATGGCCCCCCTGTGTGCAGGGGCAGTGGACCCCCCAGGACACTGATACCTTCCAGCGCCTGTGCTGGGACCGGACACTAGTGGGCGCTCTGGACTCGTACAGCGGTGACATTTTACTGCTGTATCTGTGCGACACTCACACTGAGCAGGACGTGTATCTGCACTCGGCCCTGATCCAGATGGGAGCAGGAGAGGCCTGCAGCACCGACTCCAGCCAAGAGGTGACTCCTGCTCTTTCTGGTCTCTCTCTGGTCTCTCTCTGGTCTCTCTCTCTCTGATCTCTCTCTCTCTGGTCTCTCTCTGGTCTCTCTCTCTCTGGTCTCTCTCTGGTCTCTCTCTGGTCTCTCTCTCTCTGGTCTCTCTCTGGTCTCTCTCTGGTCTCTCTCTGGTCTCTCTCTCTGGTCTCTCTCTGGTCTCTCTCTCTCTGGTCTCTCTCTCTCTGGTCTCTCTCTGGTCTCTCTCTCTCTGGTCTCCCTCTGGTCTCCCTCTGCTCTCTCTCTCTCTCTGGTCTCTCTCTGGTCTCTCTCTGGTCTCTCTCTCTCTGGTCTCCCTCTGGTCTCCCTCTGCTCTCTCTCTCTCCTTCTGGTCTCTGAGCTGGCGGTTGTGTGTTCGCAGTGCTGTGATGTCACTCCCGTGAGCCTGTACCTGGGAGAGGGTCTGATAGACCTGCCTGAGCTGGAACCTCTGGAGCTTCACCCCTTACAGGTCAGTCCTGGTCCCTCGCAGGTCAGTCCTGGTCCCTCGCAGGTCAGTCCTGGTCCCTCGCAGCTCAGTCCTGGTCCCTCGCAGGTCAGTCCTGGTCCCTCGCAGCTCAGTCCTGGTCCCTCGCAGGTCAGTCCTGGTCCCTCGCAGCTCAGTCCTGGTCCCTCGCAGGTCAGTCCTGGTCCCTCGCAGCTCAGTCCTGGTCCCTCGCAGGTCAGTCCTGGTCTCTCGCAGGTCAGTCCTGGTCCCAGGTCCAGGTCAGTGGCTTTAACCTCGTCATGGAATTCTATGAGAAACTCATGGTTACTTTGCTCAGGTCAGTAATCATAGGTCATAGGTCATGGGTCAGAGGTCAGCAGTCATAGGTCATGGGTCAGAGGTCAGCAATCATAGGTCATGGGTCAGAGGTCAGCAGTCATAGGTCATGAATCAGAGGTCAGCAGTCATAGGTCATGGGTCAGAGGTCAGCAGTCATAGGTCAGAGGTCCCAGTCTTGTCCTAAATCCAGAAGAGAACACTCTGGTCGTGTGGTGTTGGTTTCGATCACAGCTGAGCAAAGTCCTCACTCGCCGTTTAGTTGAAAATCTTCAGTAACTGTTTAATTAGTCCGTAGAAGAGTTCCCTGGTCCCACTGCGTCTGGTTTGAAGGTCGCAGTCTGGTGTCGATTACTGGTGTTTATTACTACAGTTACTGGGATGAAAGTGTGATATCGTTGTCTCACAATCTTTCTGATTTCAAAGTGTATCTGCTGATTTACTTAAGTTACACTGAGGCTCGGCCATTTGGGAAGTCTGGGACGATTTTAACTCAGAGCAAAGTCTCTGAAGGCCATGGATTATTCAAGTTTGGAATCTAAAGAAACAGAAAGAACTAGTGAAAGGTGACTCCTGCCGCTTAACCCGATAAACCTGTGTGAGGAGAAACCGGTGCCTTTGTGGTGAGCGATGTGGCCTAAAAATGTTATTGCAGTATAATTTAATGTGTGAATTTCAGGATTGGAAAGGATTGTTACTTATTTATAATTTCCCTTTTAGAGCTGGATGTTTATTTATTTGATACTTTGAGCATTTCTTTGACAATGTGTGACAGAAAGAGGGCGCCAAAAACCACTTATTTGTAAGTTCCATTATTAAAAATATACAACTGTAATTTATCCCGTTATCGTACATTCTTACAAACATAGTCAAGCCTCATTAAACAAATGTATTTATCAGTTAAACAAAGGACGGTGAATCTAATCAAGTGTTAAACTGTTTGCCTCCGTGTGTCTTTGAACGCATCTGGGCGCTAGCTACTGCGCGGCTACTAAAAGTTCTTTTTCTCCGCTTTTTTCTGCCATTTCTCCATAGTAAACCTTGATACAAATGAGCACAAATCAATTATCTGTAAATAACACAAACTGTTTACATGTTTATTTACACTTTTTGACATGCGCAAACTGAACTTCTGGACCAATCCGGTTTCTGGGACGAATCCATCAGTGCTCTGCCGGGGTCGAAAACCTTAACCACATTTCTCTACAGAATAATAAATGTAATCTGCGAATGTCTTCAGAGTTTCATGGTTCATGTCGTGTCAGAGGAATTGCAACAAAGAGACATTTCTAATAAAAGGGTTAGAAATGTAATGCAATAAAGAAAGTTACGAGACACTGTCGAAAGTGTCCTCAGGTCTGAGCGTCCGTATTCTTATGGCTCAGTTTATCTTCTCTCTCTCCAGCAGGAGGAGGAGGAGGTGCTGCCTGATCTGGAGTACATCGGAGGCTGTGACATCACCTCCCCCCCTCACGCCTCACAGGTCACACACACACACACACACACACACACACACACGTTTGGACAGAGTAAACATCAGACATGGACAGTAGCAGGTGGTTCAGGCTCGGTCCTGTCTCTGGTCTTCACACTGTATTCAGACTTGCTTGCTCCAAATCAAAAGCGGACCCAACTTTTTTTCTTTTTCTCCGGTTTGTATTCAGACTGCACTTTTTGCAAGTGAACTTTTTTATACAAACATATGGACGTGTGTGACGATGGGCGCTCCTGACAGCGAGAGCTCACGGAGGTTGGACACGGAACCGGAGGAAAACATTCAGCTCGTATGTGCAGCATGTCTGCTCTGCCTTTGTTTGCTCTTTTTAGAGCAAAAGCACCTTCAACATCAGCAGCAGCTCATATGACACAGGCCAAACACCTTGTTTTAAATATTGGAACAGCGTCGGAGAATGTGTGAGGAGAAAGCCGAAGGAGACTGCGCTACGAGCCCTGTCCCACACATGGATCTATAATAATCACCCTGTCCCACAACTTACTAACAGCAGCATGTGGATAAACCATGGATCTATAATAACAACAGGATAAACACACGACGAAGAATCGGGTATGAGTCAAAGACCACAGTTCACTACATGATACGGGATATTTCTTTTTGAGACATGAGTCGAACACGTGAGGCTTTTAATAATGCAAATGGTTTGAAGATGCTGCCATTAATATCACTGTAAACTGTGAACAGTGTAACTCCATAAGCCTGTTGCACAGAGTCTCCTCACTGCTCCAGTCTGCACACGGCTCAGTGTTGTTGTGTAGCGTTAGCAGCATAGTTAGCATCATAGTTAGCATCATAGTTTGCCGCTGCGTGGCTAATTTCTCAGTTTCTGTCTGCGGCTTGTTAAGCCCAAAAAATGCGCACGTATCTTGGAGTTGTGTCGGATCAACAGTGTCACAGACAATACACTGACCAATGAAGGCATTTCATATACACATATCTATACATACACACATACAGTGCATCCAGAAAGTATTCACAGCGCTTCACTTTTTCCACATTTTGTTATGTTACAGCCTTATTCCAGAATTGATTTAATTATTTTTTTCCTCACAATTCTACACACAACAGCCCATAATGACAACATGAGAGATTTGAGATTCTTGCAAATGTATTAAAATTAAACTAAGAAAGCTCATGTACATAAGTATTCACAGCCTTTGCTTAATACTTTGTTGATGCACCTTTGGAACAATTACAGCCTCAAGTCTTTGTGACTATGATGCCACAAGCTTGGCACACCTGTCTTTGGGCAGTTTTGGCCCATTCCTCTTTGCAGAACCTCTCAAGCTCCATCCAGTTGGACGGGGAGTGTCGGTTCACAGCCATTTTCAGATCTCTCCAGAGATGTTCAGTTGGATTCAAGTCTGGGCTCTGGGCCACTCCAGGACATTCACAGAGTTGTCCTGAAGCCACTTCTTTGTTATCGTGGCTGTGCTTAGGGTCGTTGTCCTGCAGAAAGATGAACCGTCGCCCCAGTCTGAGGTCAAGAGCTCTGGAGCAGGTTTTCATCCAGGATGTCTCTGTACATTGCTGCATTCATCTTTCCCTCTATATCAGGGGTGCCCAAAGTGGGGCCCGCGAGCCAAAGTTGGCCCGCCGGACCATTTCAGTTGGCCCGCCAAACATTGCCCACCTCCGCTGTAAGTTTCTATCTGCGTCCCTCAGCCTCGCTGAACACACAGATACATGTCTGAGATCGCGCGGGCGCACCAACGCCCTCTGAACCACCACTGTCCACAACTTTACTGTTGTATCGAGATACACTCCTCACTCATGGTTCACATCAACTTCCACTAAAATGTTTTTTTAAAATCAAACACATCTTTCAAAACAATTGGGTGCAAGGCCCCTTTATGTTCCCTCCTCACCGGAGGGAAATGGCGAGTGGAACTATTCACCTGCGCAATCCGCACCCACCCGGTGTGTTAAAGGACGGACACAAACACTTTGCAAAACAAACCCTTCTACAACCCCATGAAAGAAGCCGGTAAGCGCCGTCATCACTCGCGAGTTTTATGCAGTGGGGGCGGGTCCCAGCTCAAAAGTGTCCAAAATGACGTGCGCTGACATGCTGCAATACCACCCCGGGCCTGTGGGGGTGGACCCAGAAGTAGAATTAGCCAATGCTAACATATAGCATTGGCAGACCTCTCAAAAACGTCTTTACAGGTTGGACCAAAAGTTGGCTCTTGGCCCAAAGCTCCGTTCCACATGTGTGTCAATGCTGAGGGAGTGTTCTGGACCAGTCTAGTTTAGTCGCTGTGAATTTTAGAAGTCTCTCGTTCAAATGAATGGAGCTGCGCTGACGCATGCGCAGATGTGTTTTTTCACAATTTTCTTGTGGGCGGGACCACTCGCGGCCATTTTGGATAGCTCCAGTAGAGAACATTTTTTGGCCCATTAGTTAGAACGGCGGAGATAGGCGTGACTCTGTCCGTTAATATATACAGTCTATGGTTTTATGATGCGTTCAAGAGCCCTTTGGAGGAGCGGAAACACGGACTCTTTAACAGTTACTTTGTTTTGATTGTTTATAAATGTTGTACTGTGTTTAGGCAAAACAAAACAAACTCTAGGAACAAATCATGGTTAACTAGTCTGATTTCGTTTGTTTAATATTCAGTTCACTACTACTTGAGAATACTTGCCCTATGTTAAAAATATTAAGTTAAAACAGAGTTAAAACCTTATCTTTAGAAAATGGAGTTAGCAATTATGTTCCCAAATTCATTACTTAATGTTTAAATGTATTGTTTAAAAGTGTGCTAAAACCAGATCTATTGATCAGTGATGTCTCCCCTTTTTGATAAAAGCTAAGATAAAGTAATATAATTCAAATGTAGTTAAAAACTTTAGTTCAAAATAAATATATGTAAATGTCATTAGTACAATAAACCTTTACATTATAAATCACTGCACTATAGTAATGCAAAACTGTTTAGAAAAAGGTCTTCAACAGTTTACTGACATGAGCAAAATAAAAAATATAGATTATTTAATTTGGGAGTATGTTATTATTTAATATAAAATAGTACTTTCATTTACTAGCAGGCACATTATTTGTTTACAAGTAGCGTTTAAAAAACGGATTATTTACATAGAAAATGTATGTTTCTGTTCTTTTTGAGGTTTTTCACCTGAACCTGAATCCAAGCTAAACGCAGTGAATGGCAGGAAAACCAAGACCCACGGCTGCTTATCGAGTGAAGTCCAGTTGGAATTCATATGTGCAGAGTTTATCCCTTTCAAGTGGGGAATTTAGCTAGAAAACCATCAAACAACTTGACTCCCATGAGCCTTTCCGCTTGTAGGAAAGTATAAGAAAGGCAAACAGAAAAGTGCGCCCCTAGTGTTAGGTTTCTGTTTTATATGATTTTATATGATTTTAACCTGTAAATAAGCCATGACAGATAATCTCCTCTGGACCCGGCCGGAATCTTTCCGTACTGTAGTCTCCTCAAACCAGCATATTTCCCAGGAGCCTCCACTTCACTGTGTTGATTTCATTCATTCAGCTGTGATTCGTGATAGACAATAATTAATGCATTTAAAAGAACTTGATCAAATCTACATTTATTTGTGTTTAATGCGTAATAACGGTGTATTTGGCCCGCGGCCCACTGGCAAAGTTTTACTTTGGCCCTTGGAAGCAAAAGGTTTGGGCACCCCTGCTCTATATTGACTCGTCTCCCAGTTCCTGCCGCTGAAAAACATCCCCACAGCATGATGCTACCACCCCCATATATACAGGTGTGTGCCTTTCTGTGGGACCTTATATATACAGGTGTGATCCTTTCTGTGGGACCTTATATATACAGGTGTGTGCGTTTCTGTGGACCTTATATATACAGGTGTGTACCTTTCTGTGGGACCTTATATATACAGGTGTGTGCCTTTCTGTGGGACCTTATATATACAGGTGTGTGCCTTTCTGTGGGACCTTATATATACAGGTGTGTGCCTTTCTGTGGGACCTTATATATACAGGTATGTACCTTTCTGTGGGACCTTATATATACAGGTGTGTGCCTTTCTGTGGGACCTTATATATACAGGTGTGTGCCTTTCTGTGGGACCTTATATATACAGGTGTATGCCTTTCTGTGGGACCTTACATATACAGGTATGAGCCTTTCTGTGGGACCTTATATATACAGGTGTGTGCCTTTCTGTGGACCTTGTATATACAGGTGTGTGCCTTTCTGTGAGACCTTATATATACAGGTGCGTGCCTTTCTGTGAGACCTTATATATACAGGTGTGTGCCTTTCTGTGGGACCTTATATATATACAGGTGTGTGCCTTTCTGTGGGACCTTATATATACAGGTGCGTGCCTTTCTGTGAGACCTTATATATACAGGTGTGTGCCTTTCTGTGGGACCTTATATATACAGGTGTGTGCCTTTCTGTGGGACCTTATATATACAGGTGTGTGCCTTTCTGTGGACCTTATAACAGGTGTGTGCCTTTCTGTGGACCTTATATATACAGGTGTGTGCCTTTCTGTGGGACCTTATATATACAGGTGTGTGCCTTTCTGTGGGACCTTATATATACAGGTGTGTGCCTTTCTGTGGGACCTTATATATACAGGTGTGTGCTTTTCTGTGGGACCTTATATATACAGGTGTGTGCCTTTCTGTAGGACCTTATATATACAGGTGTGTGCCTTTCTGTGGGACCTTATATATACAGGTGTGTGCCTTTCTGTCGGACCTTATATATACAGGTGTGTGCCTTTCTGTGGGACCTTATATATACAGGTGTGTGCCTGTCTGTGGGACCTTATATATACAGGTGTGTGCCTTTCTGTGGACCTTATATATACAGGTGTGAGCCTTTCTGTGGGACCTTATATATACAGGTGTGTGCCTTTCTGTGGGACCTTATATATACAGGTGTGTGCCTTTCTGTGGGACCTTATATATACAGGTGTGTGCCTTTCTGTGGGACCTTATATATACAGGTGTGTGCCTTTCTGTGGGACCTTATATATACAGGTGTGTGCCTTTCTGTGGACCTTATACAGTGCCTTGCGAAAGTATTCGGCCCCCTTGAACCTTTCAACATTTCGCCACATTTCAAGCTTCAAACATAAAGATATAAAAATTTTATTTTTTGCCAAGAATCAACAACAAGTGGGACACAATCGTGAAGTGGAACGAAATTTATTGGATAATTTAAACTTTTTTAACAAATAAAAAACTGAAAAGTGGGGCGTGCAATATTATTCGGCCCCTTGCGCTAATACTTTGTAGCGCCACCTTTTGCTGCAATTACAGCTGCAAGTCGCTTGGAGTATGTCTATCAGTTTTGCACATTGAGAGACTGAAATTCTTGCCCATTCTTCCTTGCAAAACAGCTGGAGCTCAGTGAGGTTGGATGGAGAGCGTTTGTGAACAGCAGTCTTCAGCTCTTTCCACAGATTCTCGATTGGATTCAGGTCTGGACTTTGACTTGGCCATTCTAACACCTGGATACGTCTATTTGTGAACCATTCCATTGTAGATTTGGCTTTATGTTTTGGATCATTGTCCTGTTGGAAGATAAATCTCCGTCCCAGTCTCAGGTCTTTTGCAGACTCCAACAGGTTTTCTTCCAGAATGGTCCTGTATTTGGCTCCATCCATCTTCCCATCAATTTTAGCCATCTTCCCTGTCCCTGCTGAAGAAAAGCAGGCCCAAAGCATGATGCTGCCACCACCATGTTTGACAGTGGGGATGGTGTGTTCAGGGAGATGAGCTGTGTTGCTTTTACGCCAAACATATCGTTTTGCATTGTGGCCAAAAAGTTCCATTTTGGTTTCATCTGACCAGAGCACCTTCTTCCACATGTTTGGTGTGTCTCCCAGGTGGCTTGTGGCAAACTTTAAACCAGACTTTTTATGGATATCTTTGATATATGGCTTTCTTCTTGCCACTCTTCCATAAAGGCCAGATTTGTGCAGGGCACGACTGATTGTTGTCCTATGGACAGACTCTCCCACCTCAGCTGTAGTTATCTGCAGTTCATCCAGAGTGATCATGGGCCTCTTGGCTGCATCTCTGATCAGTCTTCTCCTTGTTTGAGATTAAAGTTTGGAGGGACGGCCGGGTCTTGGAAAATTTGCAGTGGTCTGATACTCCTTCCATTTCAATATAATTGCTTGCACAGTGCTCCTTGAGATGTTTAAATCTTGGGAAATATTTTTGTATCCAAATCCGGCTTTAAACTTCTCCACAACAGTATCTCGGACCTGCCTGGTGTGTTCCTTTGTCTTCATGGTTCTCTCTGCGCTTTAAACAGAACCCTGAGACTATCAAAGAGCAGGTGCATTTATACGGAGACTTGATTACACACAGGTGCATTCTATTTATCATCATCAGTCATTTAGGACAACATTGGATCATTCAAAGATCCTCACTGAACTTCTGGACTGAGTTTGCTGCACTGAAAGTAAAGGGGCCGAATAATATTGCACGCCCCACTTTTCAGTTTTTTATTTGTTAAAAAAGTTTAAATTATCCAATACATTTCGTTCCACTTCACGATTGTGTCCCACTTGTTGTTGATTCATGACAAAAATTAAATTTTTATATTTTTATGTTTGAAGCCTGAAATGTGGCGAAATGTTGAAAGGTTCAAGGGGGCCGAATACTTTCGCAAGGCACTGTATATACAGGTGTATATCTCAGGATGATCCGTGGATGCACCTGAGCTCAGTCTGAGCTTCGTGCCAAAGGCTGTGAATACCTATGTACATGAGGTGTTTTCCTGTTGTCATTATGAGGTGGTGTAGAATGTGAGGAAAATATGAATTGAATCCATTTTGGAATAAGGCGCTTCTTTCCGGACGCACTGTATACATGCAGTCTGTCTGTGACGAGTCTGTGTCTGTGACGAGTCTGTGTCTGTGACGAGTCTGTGTCTGTGACGAGTCTGTGTCTGTGACGAGTCTGTGTCTGTGACGAGTCTGTCTGTGACGAGTCTGTGTCTGTGACGAGTCTGTCTGTGACGAGTCTGTGTCTGTGATGAGTCTGTCTGTGACGAGTCTGTGTCTGTGACGAGTCTGTGTCTGTGACGAGTCTGTCTGTGACGAGTCTGTGTCTGTGACGAGTCTGTGTCTGTGACGAGTCTGTCTGTGACGAGTCTGTGTCTGTGACGAGTCTGTGTCTGTGACGAGTCTGTGTCTGTGACGAGTCTGTGTCTGTGACGAGTCTGTGTCTGTGATGAGTCTGTGTCTGTGATGAGTCTGTCTGTGAGGAGTCTGTGTCTGTGACGAGTCTGTGTCTGTGACGAGTCTGTGTCTGTGACGAGTCTGTGTCTGTGATGAGTCTGTGTCTGTGACGAGTCTGTGTCTGTGACGAGTCTGTGTCTGTGACGAGTCTGTGTCTGTGACGAGTCTGTGTCTGTGACGAGTCTGTGTCTGTGACGAGTCTGTGTCTGTGACGAGTCTGTGTCTGTGACGAGTCTGTGTCTGTGACGAGTCTGTGTCTGTGATGAGTCTGTGTCTGTGACGAGTCTGTGTCTGTGACGAGTCTGTGTCTGTGACGAGTCTGTGTCTGTGACGAGTCTGTGTCTGTGACGAGTCTGTGTCTGTGAAGTCTGTGACGAGTCTGTGTCTGTGATGAGTCTGTGTCTGTGACGAGTCTGTGTCTGTGACGAGTCTGTGTCTGTGACGAGTCTGTGTCTGTGACGAGTCTGTGTCTGTGACGAGTCTGTGTCTGTGACGAGTCTGTGTCTGTGACGAGTCTGTCTGTGATGAGTCTGTGTCTGTGACGAGTCTGTGTCTGTGACGAGTCTGTCTGTGACGAGTCTGTGTCTGTGACGAGTCTGTCTGTGACGAGTCTGTCTGTGACGAGTCTGTGTCTGTGACGAGTCTGTGTCTCTGGTTACAGGCCCCTGACAGTTTTCCGGAAAGGGTCCTGAAACAGCTCCTCCTGAGCCAGGCCCCAGACCTGAGCCAGGCCCCAGACCTGAGCCAGGCCCCAGACCTAAGCCAGGCCCCAGACCTGAGCCAGGCCCCAGACCTGAGCCAGGCCCCAGACCTGAGCCAGGCCCCAGACCTGAGCCAGGCCCCAGACCTGAGCCAGGCCCCAGACCTGAGCCAGGCCCCAGACCTGAGCCAGGCCCCAGACCTGATCCAGGCCCCAGACCTGATCCAGGCCCCAGTGTCTGCTCTGTGTGACGCTGGATACCACCAGGTGAGCACCGGTCTGCCCCCTATGGACCAAAGGCTGTATGTGTTTGATTCTCTGATCTGTTGTTGGTGAATCCACAACTTAGTGAGCTCTGGGGTGAGCTCTGGGGTGAGCTCTAGGGTGAGCTCTGGGGTTAGCTCTGGGGTGAGCTCTGGGGTGAGCTCTGGGGTGAGCTCTGGGGTTAGCTCTGGGGTTAGCTCTGGGCTGAGCTCTGGGGTGAGCTCTTGGGTGAGCTCTGGGGTGAGCTCTGGGGTTAGCTCTGGGGTGAGCTCTAGTGCTGATTAAATAAAATTATTTTATTTTTTTACTTTTACCCCCCTCAATTCAGCCTCCCCCGCCTCTGCTCCGGACCCTCAGCATGCACACCCCCGACCTGGGCCAGAGACAGTCCAGCCAGTCAGGTAAACTCACACACCTCAGCTTTAGTGAGCTTTAAAGGACTCTACCCTACCCTACACTACTCTACTCTACTCTACACTACCCTACCCTACTCTACTCTACCCTACCCTACCCTACTCTACCCTACCCTACTCTACTCTACCCTACGCTACCCTACTCTACCCTACTCTACTCTACCCTACTCTACCCTACCCTACTCTACTTTAACCTACACTACCCTACACTACTCTACCCTACCCTTCTCTTCCCTACTCTACCCTACCCTACTCTACTTTAACCTACACTACTCTACTCTACCCTACTCTACCCTACTCTACTTTAACCTACACTACCCTACACTACTCTACCCTACCCTACCCTTCTCTACCTTACCCTACCCTACCCTACTCTACCCTACCCTACTCTACCCTACTCTACTTTAACCTACACTACCCTACACTACCCTACCCTACCCTACCCTACCCTACTCTACCCTACTCTACTTTAACCTACTCTACCCTACCCTACCCTACTCTACCCTACCCTACTCTACCCTACTCTACTTTAACCTACACTACCCTACACTACTCTACCCTACTCTACCCTACCCTACCCTTCTCTACCTTACCCTACTCTACCCTACCCTTCTCTACCTTACCCTACTCTACCCTACCCTACTTTAACCTACACTACCCTACCCTACTTTAACCTACACTACCCTACCCTACTTTAACCTACACTACTCTACCTTACCCTACTCTACCCTACCCTTCTCTACCTTACCCTACTCTACCCTACCCTACTTTAACCTACACTACCCTACCCTACTTTAACCTACACTACCCTACCCTACTTTAACCTACACTACTCTACCCTTCTCTTCCCTACTCTACCCTACCCTACTCTACTTTAACCTACACTACCCTACACTACTCTACTCTACCCTACTCTACCCTACCCTACTCTACTTTAACCTACACTACCCTACACTACTCTACCCTACCCTACCCTTCTCTACCTTACCCTACTCTACCCTACTCTACTTTAACCTACACTACCCTACACTACCCCCTACCCTACCCTACCCTACCCTACTCTACCCTACTCTACTTTAACCTACTCTACCCTACCCTACCCTACTCTACCCTACCCTACTCTACCCTACTCTACTTTAACCTACACTACCCTACACTACTCTACCCTACTCTACCCTACCCTACCCTTCTCTACCTTACCCTACTCTACCCTACCCTTCTCTACCTTACCCTACTCTACCCTACCCTACTTTAACCTACACTACCCTACCCTACTTTAACCTACACTACCCTACCCTACTTTAACCTACACTACTCTACCCTACTCTACCCAACCCTACCCTACCCTACTCTACCCTACCCTACCCTGTGGTGTTTCTCTTTAGTATCTGGCACCATGTCCCAGCAGCCGACCCAAAACAAACTAGTATTCTTGGAAATTCCTTGGTAACCATGTCTTCCAGCAGCACTCTGGCCAATCATTGTCAGTTTGAACACTTTAGTACCAGCTCGGCCTGGATACAACCAAGACCATGAGGGACTAAAGAAGGACCTGGTACTGCTCTGCTCTTCTCTGCTCTGCTCTGCTCTGGTTCTGCTCTGGTTCTGCTCTGGTTCTGCTCTGGTTCTGCTCTGCTCTGCTCTGCTCTGGTTCTGCTCTGGCTCTGCTCTGGTTCTGCTCTGGTTCTGCTCTGCTCTGCTCTGCTCTGCTCTGCTCTTGCTCTGCTCTGGTTCTGCTCTGGTTCTGCTCTGGTTCTGCTCTGCTCTGCTCTGCTCTGGTTCTGCTCTGGTTCTGCTCTGCTCTGCTCTGGTTCTGCTCTGCTCTGCTCTGCTCTGCTCTGCTCTGCTCTGGTTCTGCTCTGCTCTGCTCTGGTTCTGCTCTGCTCTGCTCTGCTCTGCTCTGGTTCTGCTCTGCTCTGCTCTGGCTCTGCTCTGGTTCTGCTCTGCTCTGCTCTGGTTCTGCTCTGCTCTGCTCTGCTCTGCTCTGCTCTGCTCTGGTTCTGCTCTGGTTCTGCTCTGCTCTGCTCTGGTTCTGCTCTGGCTCTGCTCTGCTCTGCTCTGGTTCTGCTCTGGTTCTGCTCTGCTCTGCTCTGCTTCAGCTGGTCCTGTGTAACCAGACCCAGGTCCTTCTTTAGTCCCTCTTGGTCCTGGTTCTATCCAGTCCCAAGGTTTCTCGCTGTAGTTTGACATATGTGTCTCGTGTCAGAAACTCTCTCGTTCGTAACGGTGTCTCTCTCGTCAGTAACGGTGTCTCTCTCTCAGGTTCCCCGGTGTCTCTCTCTCTCTCTCTCTCTCTCTCTCGTCAGTAACGGTGTCTCCCTCTCAGGTTCCCCGGTGTCTCTCTCTCTCTCTCTCTCTCTCGTCAGTAACGGTGTCTCTCTCTCAGGTTCCCCGGTGTCTCTCTCTCTCTCTCTCTCTCTCGTCAGTAACGGTGTCTCTCTCTCAGGTTCCCCGGTGTCTCTCTCTCTCTCGTCAGTAACGGTGTCTCCCTCTCAGGTTCCCCGGTGTCTCTCTCTCTCTCATCAGTAACGGTGTCTCTCTCTCAGGTTCCCTGGTGTCTCTCTCTCTCTCTCTCTCTCTCGTCAGTAACGGTGTCTCTCTCTCAGGTTCCCCGGTGTCTCTCTCTCTCTCTCTCTCTCGTCAGTAACGGTGTCTCCCTCTCAGGTTCCCCGGTGTCTCTCTCTCTCTCATCAGTAACGGTGTCTCTCTCTCAGGTTCCCCGGTGTCTCTCTCTCTCTCTCTCTCTCTCTCGTCAGTAACGGTGTCTCTCTCTCAGGTTCCCCGGTGTCTCTCTCTCTCTCTCTCTCTCTCTCTCGTCAGTAACGGTGTCTCTCTCTCAGGTTCCCCGGTGTCTCTGTCTCTCTCTCTCTCTCTCTCTCTCGTCAGTAACGGTGTCTCTCTCTCAGGTTCCCCGGTGTGTGTGTCTCTCTCTCTCTCTCGTCAGTAACGGTGTCTCTCTCTCAGGTTCCCCGGTGTGTGTGTCTCTCTCTCTCTCTCGTCAGTAACGGTGTCTCTCTCTCAGGTTCCCCGGTGTGTGTGTGTCTCTCTCTCTCTCGTCAGTAACGGTGTCTCTCTCTCAGGTTCCCCGGTGTCTCTCTCTCTCTCTCTCTCGTCAGTAACCGTGTCTCTCTCTCAGGTTCCCCGGTGTCTCTCTCTCTCTCTCTCTCTCTCTTCAGTCGGTGTCTCTCTCTCAGGTAACGGTGTCTCTCTCTCTCTCTCTCTCCCTCTCTCTCAGTAACGGTGTCTCTCTCTCTTCCCGGTGTCTCTCTCTCTCTCTCTCTCTCGTCAGTAACGGTGTCTCTCTCTCAGGTTCCCCGGTGTCTCTCTCTCTCTCTCTCTCTCTCTCGTCAGTAACGGTGTCTCTCTCTCAGGTTCCCCGGTGTCTCTCTCTCTCTCTCTCTCTCTCTCGTCAGTAACGGTGTCTCTCTCTCAGGTTCCCCGGTGTCTCTCTCTCTCTCTCTCTCTCTCTCTCGTTAGTAACGGTGTCTCTCTCTCAGGTTCCCCGGTGTGTGTGTCTCTCTCTCTCTGTCGTCAGTAACGGTGTCTCTCTCTCAGGTTCCCCGGTGTCTCTCTCTCTCTCTCTCTCTCGTTAGTAACGGTGTCTCTCTCTCAGGTTCCCCGGTGTGTGTGTCTCTCTCTCTCTGTCGTCAGTAACGGTGTCTCTCTCTCAGGTTCCCCGGTGTCTCTCTCTCTCTCTCTCTCTCGTTAGTAACGGTGTCTCTCTCTCAGGTTCCCCGGTGTGTGTGTCTCTCTCTCTCTGTCGTCAGTAACGGTGTCTCTCTCTCAGGTTCCCCGGTGTCGCCGCTGGTGCTGTTCAAAGACCTGTTCCCGCTCTTTAAGCGACAGTAAAAGCTCCAGTGATAGTTTTACGTTGACTTGTGTTGTACCAGAGGCTGCTTCTTCTGTTGATCTGTTCCTGAATGTGGTGAAAGTAAAAAGCTCTGTGTATAGTTTGATTTGAAAATAAACACATTGAATTTGTTTAAGTCTTTTGTAGATTAGTTTTTTTTTTTTTTTCAAACTTTGTTTATTGAACATTTTTAAAATAAGACAGACATTGTTGGGATAAATGCAAATACAGTGTCAATACAATCTCAGCTCTGTCAACCCCCACCCACCCACCCATCCATCCCACCCACAGGCCAAAAAAGAAAAAAAAAAAAAAGAAAGAAAAAAAACTAAAGATAAAACATATTGATAAGAGAAGAGTAAAAAATAAACAAATAAAAAAAATAAATACAGATTAAGTGTAACTAGATTAGATATTCAGGTAACCTGAAGATTCAAGAAGATTCAGGGTCAAGAAGATTCAAAGAATCAAAATAATTTAGAAAAGGGTCCCATGTAACATGAAATTCAGTGATGGAGCCTCTAAGAGAGAACCTCAGTTTTTCTACTTTAAGGTTGTAAAGCACCTCTCGTATCCAGCGGGCATGTGAAGGGGGATGAGAATCTTTCCAGTTAAGTAGGATCAACCTACGAGCTAATAGTGTGGTAAACGCTATGGCCCGCTTCATTCCTTTAGGCAGGTTTGAGGCAGGGGGGATACCAAAGATTGCAGACATCGGATTGGGAACAACCAGAGAACCATAGGAGTCAGTCAGTGACTTAATCATCCCTGTCCAAAATAGATTCAGCTCCGGACACGACCAGAACATATGTGAATGATTAGCAGGCGAAAGTTTACATCTGCCACAGGTATCATTTACTGAAGGATAGATCCTTGCAAGTCGGGAATTGGTGTAATGAGCCCTGTAAACAACTTTGCATTGAATTAGCCTATGACGAGCACAGATGGAAGATGAATAAACTAAAGCCAGTGCAGATGTCCATTGTTGCTCTGTGAATACAATGTTAAGACTCTCCTCCCAAGCTGTTTTAACTGCATTTGTGGGTGTTGAAGTTTCTGACCAAATAAGCTTGTAAAGTATCGAAATACCTCCTAAGACTAGGGTCAGTTACGAGAAGAGAGTCTAATAAGGTTTCTGGAGGGCGATTCGGAAAGTAAGGGAACACCTTCTTAACATAGTCACGGACTTGAAAGAAACGGAAAAGATTGTGGTTTGGAAGATGGAATTTAACTGACAACTGTTCAAAAGAAGAAAAAATGTTTTCGGTATAAAGATCTGCCACCGACTTGATTCCACTATCATGCCAGATCTTATAGGCTAAATCTTGGGATGGTGCAAAAGTACAGTTTTTAAACACTGATGTCAGGGCGGATGGATTTGAGAGGCCAATCTGTTTCCTTAATTGATTCCATATTTTCAAAGAAGTGGATGCAACAGGGCAAGTAATTAAACATTGAAGGGGAAGTTGTGAGCACAAGACTGAACGAAGTGAAAACTGACAGGATTTCTTCTCCAACTGTACCCAGACTGGCAAAGAGTCATCCTCCTTCATCCAAAACAACATTTTTTGCGCATTTGCAGCCCAGTAATAATATCTAAAAACTGGGAGGGCAAATCCTCCTTTCTCTTTGGGAGACTGTAAAACCGACCTACGAATTCTAGCAGGTTTCCCAGCCCATAAAAAGTTTGAAATCACAGTGTCTAATTTGACAAAAAACGACTTATTGAGAAAAATTGGAAGGTGTTGAAACATATAAAGAAATTTGGGAAGAACCACCATCTTCACTAAACTTATTCGGCCAGCGAGCGAGATAGGTAAAGTTGACCATCGAGCAAAGTCAGCTTCCATCTTCTCCATCAAAGGGGTAAAGTTTACTCGAAACAAATCAGAAAGAGACAGCACAATTTGAATACCTAAGTAGCGGAAACCATCATTAGACCAACGGAACGGTACTATTGAAGAAGGCAGCTTTTTAGCGGCGTCATTAATGGGCAAAAGCTCACTCTTTTGGTAATTAAGTTTATATCCAGACATGGTGCCAAACTCATTAAGAACATTTAGGATAGAGGGAAAAGAAGAAATAGGGTCCGAAACATATAACAAAAGGTCATCCGCGTATAGCGAAACCTTGTTGACTATACCAAATCTTGTTATACCTTTAAAAGAGGCCTCTGCACGCAGCCAGAGGGCTAGGGGCTCGATCACTAAAATAAACAGAAGCGGAGAAAGGGGACAGCCCTGTCTGGTACCACGGCTCAAAGGAAAGGAAGAGAAATAATATCATTTGTCCGTACTGAAGCTTTAGGTGAAGAGTACAAAAGTGTCACCCAGTCAACAAAGGTCCTGCCGAGTCCAAACTTTGTCAATACCCTGTACAAAAAACTCCATTCAACCCTGTCGAAGGCTTTCTCTGCGTCGAGGGACACAACGACTTCAGGAACTGTAGCACTAGGGGAGGTAATGATATTGAAAAGCCTCCTAGTGTTGCATGAGGACTGCCTCCCGGGCATGAAACCTGTTTGATCCAAATCGATAATCGAGGGTAGTATCTGTTGTAAACGTAATGCCAAAACTTTAGTTAAGATTTTGAAATCCACGTTCAACAAGGAAATGGGTCTGTAGCTGCTACATAATAAAGGATCTTTATCCTTCTTAAGAAGCAAGGAAATCGCAGCCTCAGACAGGGTACAAGGAAGCCGGCCAAGAGAAAAAGCCTCGTTGTACATCTCAGTAAGAAAGGGGCTTAGCAAAGTTGAGAAAGCTTTATAATATTCAGTGGTATACCCGTCGGGCCCAGGGGATTTGGCCCCCTGGAGACAACCTATGGCCTCCTGGACCTCTAATGTAGTAATTGGGGCGCCAAATCGATCTGCTAATTCTTCATTAATGTAAGGAAAGTCGAGTTTATCTAATATATCATCAGGAGAAGGTGGAAAGTCAGATGTATATAGAGAAGTGTAAAACTCAACAAAGGCATCGTTAATGCCCTTTGGGTCAGTGGTAGTTTCGCCAGAGCTGGACTCAATTGCTGGTATAAGTCTAGACGATGCCTCAGCCCGAGCCTGATATGAAAGAAGCTTGCCAGCCTTGTCTCCCGATTCATAAAAAATCTGCCTTGATTTAAGCAAGGAAGCTCTAACAGAAGTAGTGGAAGTTAAATCGAGTTCTGCCTGCAAAGAAAGTCGCTTTTTGTAAATGTCAGGTTCCGGATTGGCAGCATACTGTACATCCACTTCTTTGATTTCCTTCAAAAGCTCATTGAAGCGGGCAGTTTCAGTTCTTTTCCTATTAGAAACATAAGAAATAAGTTGGCCTCTCATGTAGGCTTTAGAAGCCTCCCAAAGGCTACTCCTACCAATACCATGCACATCGTTTAATTCAAAAAATAAGGAGATTTGGGTGCGCATAAAATCTTGATAGCCATCCTCGGCCAGAAGAACAGAGTTGAATCTCCACTGCCTGCTTGGACTTGACCGATAGGGTAGTGCCAAATCAAGGGAGACTGGTGCATGATCTGATATTGCAATGGTGTGGTAATCAGTGGAAGCTAAATTTGGAAGTAGTCTAAGGTCCATAAGGAAGAAATCTACCCGGGAATAAGAGTGGTGAACAAGTGAGAAAAAAGAGAAAGCTTTGGTAGAAGGAAATTTATGTCTCCAAGGATCAATCAGACCAAGTCGCTGAGAACAAGCAAGTAAAGTTTTTGCTGCCTTCATAAGAGGAACAGGTTTGTTAGAGGAACGGTCCAAGAAAGGGTCTTGGACCAGGTTGTAATCCCCTGCAATAACTATGTAGTGATTTTCGACATCCGGAAAAGAAGAAAAAAGTTTAGATATAAAATGACTGTCGTCCCAGTTCGGGCCATAGACACAAACAAAAAGAAATGGCATTTCTCGAAGCCTCCCAGAAACCATGACATATCTACCATTAGGATCTAGCACTGATTTCTCTGATATGAAAGGAAGGCCTTTACGAAAAATTATGGCAGTGCCTCTGGCCTTCCCATTGAATGTTGAGTGGTCCACTGTTTCCTAATCTTTTTGATATGACTGTTGAGCATATGGGTCTCCTGGATGAAATAAATATCCCCTTTAAGTTGGTTCAAATGAGTCATAACACGTTGCAGTTTTATAGGATTACCCATCCCCTTCACATTCCAAGAAACGAGTCTAAGTGTGGTACTTGCATTTGTTGTCATGTTTCATATATTCCGGAGAATATGGAAATGTTACACAGGCTTCCAACCTGTACCCAGTGGGACCAAGCGTGGAGTAGCAGGCACCTGCAAAGACATAAGTAGGAAAAAGAGAGGAAACAAGAAGAAAAATAAATAAATAAATGAAAAAAAAAAAAATAAAAAAAAAGGGGGAAATAAAAATAATAAACCCCATGGCCTAAAATATCCCATACATACGTGAGAATCCAGTGTCCATTGCACAGTGGTGTCAAACACACCTTGAAAACTTCCAACTTCGGCACAATCCAAAAAATAAATATAACCCCCCAACCACGTTTAAGGCATTCAGACTATATAAATTCAAACCTTCGTTGTCACAGCCAGTGCTACCAAAACAACCCAATAACAATAAAAAGGAGCACTGTAATAGAGAAAATGAAAAAATTAAGTTAAACAAAATAAAATAAAAATAATTACTAAATGAATTTAATAAAGGCAAATAAAAACTGTAGTGAATAAATAAAATTTACTCAAAGTAATAAATCTATGAAATTGAAATAAAATGAGTTTCAAGGGATTGTTGCAAAGATTAGGTGAAAATAAATTAAAATGTATATAAAATAATTACAAAAAAGTAGAAAAATGTCTGAAATTCTAGCATACAATATACAAATGTATTTATATAAAAAGTATATACAAATATAAAAAGGACAAAAGTAAAGACATATTTCACTCAAAATAACACTATAAATTGGACTCATTTAACATTTAAACATACTTATACAACCTAATAACCTTTTTTAAAGCATACAGAAGAAACACTTCAAACAGGAACATACTGCGTGACCAAAATGCAGCAAATATTCAAATCAGAGCTCCGTAATAGTCACTTAGGGATTCACCTCCGGGTCATCCCGTCGGCGATGACGAGACGCAAAGTCAGCAGCTTCTTTTACGGTGGGAAGAAGTTTTCTTGATCCATCGTGTAACACAACAGACAACTTGGCAGGGTACCTCAGTGCGGGCTTGTAGCCTAACTCGAAGAGCCTCTTCATCACGTCCCGGTACTGAGCGCGCTGCTCCAAAACCTCCGGAGCGTAGTCCTCAAAGATGTGGATAGGTGTATCTTTATATTTCAGTCCGCCCTGAAGCCCTGTCGGGCAGCCCGCACAACCAGCTCCCGAGTTTGGAAATGATTTGAAAACAGATCACAACATGCCGAGGCCTACCCGTGGATGCTAGCCTAGCAGGCTGTGCGCGGTGGGCCCTGTCCAGCTTCGGGGGTGATGACAAAATGTCCGCACCAAGCACATCACACAGTAGCTGGGAAAAGAACTCTGTTGGTCTCGTCTGATTTTCAATTTGTTCCGGCAGACCCACAATTCTTATATTATTACGGCGGGTTCGTCCAGAAAGATCGATCAGCCTAGCCTTTAGCTTAGCATTTTCTGAGGCCACCGCCGCTAGCTCAGTCCGCACATCAGTTAACTCGTCACTGGTGGAGTTAGCAAATTGCTCCAGACTAGTGATACGTTGGTCATGGTCTTCAACGGAGTTCTGGAGGCCAGTAAGCTTTGCCTCATATCTCGCGTAGGTGTCTTTAATCTCAGCCAGAAGTTCACTTTTAGTTTCCGCTAGCTTAGCTGTTAGCACGGCTGTAAATGCGGTTACATTAGCTGCTTCTTCGCGGTCTTGTTCATCTTTCTTCGCTTTCGGAGGCATGATTCTGCTCTAAATAAAAGCAAGTTATTGCTGGGTTACTCGCTGTAAGTGAAAAATGAGTTAAAAATCAGTAGAAGTAGTAAGTTCGGGGAGCGCTGAAAAATGCGACTAACCCATCACATGGCCAAACCGGAAGTCTTGTAGATTAGTTTTTAATTCAATGTATTTGTCTCGCTCCCCCCTGGACTGCCACCTTATCGTGGTGGGGGAGTTTGAGTACTCGGATGGGTGCTGTTGTCTGGTGGGGCCTCCCATGGTACACAGGTCTCGGGTGACGAGTGACGAAGTGCAGTCCGAAGCCAGCATGGACAGCACGACTGCGAAAACTGTGACGTCGCCTGGTATGGCGCAGCCGGGGCCCACCCTGGAGCCAGGCCTGGGGTTGGGGCTTGAAAGCGAGCGTCTGGTGGCCGGGCTTTAGCCCACAAGGTCCAGCCGGGCTCAGCCCAACCACTCGCAGAGGGATCCATGGGGCATCGGTGCTGAGAGGACTGGGCAGCGGTCAAAGGCGGAGACCTCAACGACCCAGTCCGCACACACAGCATCTGGCTCTTGGGACGTGGAACATCACCTCACTGGGGGGGAAGGAGCCCGAGCTTGTGGGGGAGGTTGAGAGATAGCGACTAGAGATAGTCGGCCTCACCTCCACACACAGCTTGGGCTCTGAACCCAACTCCTTGAGAGGGGTTGGACGCTTCACTTTTCTGGAGTTTCCCGCGGGGAGAGGCGGCGAGTGGGGGCCATACTCATTGCCCCCATCTCAGCTCCACGTGTTGGAGTTCTCCCCTGTGAATGAGAGGGTCGCGTCCCTCCGCCTCCGGGTGGGGGAAAAGTCTCTCACTGTTGTGACGGCCTACGGGCTTAACAGCAGTGCAGAGAACCCGGTCCTTGGGAGGGGTACTGGACAGTGCACCGCCCGGGGACTCAGTTATTCTCCTGGGGGACTTCAACGCCCATGTGGGAAATGCCAGTGACACTTGGAGAGGGGTGATCGGGAAGAACGGCCCTGATCTGAACCCGAGCGGTGTTCAGTTGTTGGACTTCTGTGCTAGTCACAGTTTGTCCATCACCAACACCATGTTCCAGCACAAGGATGTCCACCAGGGGGCACCAGGACACCCTAGCCCCCAGGTCGATGATCGACTTTGTTGTCGTATCATCTGACCTTCGATCGGGTGTCTCGGACACGGCGGCAACCCCCGAACCCGGTGGTGGACACCGGCAGTAAGGGATGCCGTCAGCCTAAAGAATTGAGCCATGATGGTTCAGGGGACTCCTGAGGCACCTGTCTAGTACCGGCAGGCCAAGCGCACCGCAGCCCGGGCCGTTGCAGAGGCAAAAACCCGGGACTGGGAGTTCGGAGAGTCCATGGAGCATGACTATCGATCGGCCTCTAAGAGATTCTGGCAAACCGTCTGGCGCCTCAGGAGGGGGAAGCAGTGCTTTGCCAACACCGTGTACGGTGCGGGTGGAGGGCTGCTGACCTCGACTGGGGATATTGCCGGGCGGTGGAAGGAGTGCTTCGAGATTCTCCTCAATCCCCTAGTCATGTCGTCTGTCCCAGAGGGAGAGGCTGAGGATGTTGGGGTGGATACCTCCATCTCCCTGGCTGAGGTTCTCCAAGGTTGGCAGCCTCCTTGGTGGCAAGGCCCCGGGAGTGGATGAGATCCGTCCTGACTATCTAAAGTCTCTGGATGTTATAGGACTGTCTTGACTGACACGTCTCTGCAGCATCGCGTGGCGATCGGGGGCGCTACCAATAGAGTTGCAGACCGGGTTGGTGGTCCCTCTCTAGGGGTCCTCTGCTGAATGCCGTCCGGTCCCGGTATGACCGGAGCCAGAGCTGTGTTCGCATCAGCAATAAGTCAGACCTGTTCCCGGTGCATGTTGGCCTCCGCCAGGGCTGCCCTTTGTCACCGGTTCTGTTCACTGTGTTTATGGACAGAATTTCTAGGCGCAGCCAGGGGTCGGAGGGGGTCCGGTTCGGGGACCACAGGATTTCATCTCTGCTGTTTGCAGACGATGTTGTCCTGTTGGCTCCAACGAACCAGGACCTGCAGCATGCACTGGGACGGTTTGCAGCCGAGTGTGAAGCGGCTGGGATGAGAATCAGCACCTCCAAATCTGAGGCCATGGTGCTCGACCGGAAAAAGGTGCCTTGCCCTCTCCAGGCGGGTGGGGAAGTCCTTCCTCAAGTGCAGGAGTTCAAGTATCTCGGGGTCTTGTTCACGAGTGAGGGAAGGATGGAGCGTGAGATTGACAGGCGGATCGGTGCAGCGTGCGCAGTGATGCGGTCGCTGTATCGGACTGTTGTGGTGAAGAGGGAGCAGCGTCTGCAGTCAGAGCTGTATCGGACCGTTGTGGTGAAGAGGGAGCTGAGCCGAAAGGCAAAGCTTTCAATTTACCGGTCAATCTTCGTTCCCTCCCTCACCTATGGTCATGAGCTTTGGGTAATGACCGAAAGAACGAGATTGCGGATACAAGCGGTCGAAATGAGCTTCCTCCGCAGAGTGGCTGCTCCCTTAGAGATAGGGTGAGGAGCTCAGTCACACGGGAGGAGCTCGGAGTAGAGCCGCTGCTTCTCCACATCAAGAGGAACCAGTTGAGGTCCAAGATGGCGGCGTGTCAGGGCGCCGCAGTGAATGCTCTGGTGTGCCCAATCTGTGTTTTGTTGTTTTTCGTCTGGGATTCACTTGCCACAGTGAGATACGATCGGCAGGCGCTTCTTTACATTCGGGACCATGCGTGTGTCGGGTCCCTCGTTATATCCGAACTGAGGTGCACGGACTTCAGCCGTGCCCCACTCGAGAGGCCCGTGGAGCACGGCAGGCGGAGCACGGCAGACGGAGCACGGCTGGTGGAGCACGGCAGGCGGGCCGCGGCGGTGGCCGCCAACAGAGCGAGGGGACTGGGCGTCTCCGGCGTTCTCTCCACGGTTCGGAGCTGGGCACCTTGAGTCGGCGAAGGAGGCGCAGACACCGGGGAAGGCGAGGCGGTCTGCTCGTTCGTAGCCGCTCCTCCAGGACCCCTTTGCCCTCCATCTACCTGGCCAACGTCCAGTCTCTGCCCAACAAGACGGACGAGCTCCTGTGTCGGGTCCAGAGCCAGCGCGAGGCCCGGGACTGCGCTGTGTTCTGCCTCAGCGAGACGTGGCTCCACTCGAACGTCCCGGACTCTGCTGTTCAGCCCCCGGGATTCACCGCTCACCGCTCGGACAGAGTGAAGGAGACCACGGGCAAGGCCAGAGGCGGAGGTGTGTGCTTTTTAATTAATCAGCGCTGGTGCACGGACACTCGTATCGTGAACCAAACATGTAGTGCCAATCTGGAAGGCCTGGTCTTGAACTGCCGCCCTTTTTATCTTCCCCGTGAGTTTTCAGTGATATTTGTATGTGCTGTTTACATTCACCCATGTGCGGATTACAAAGTAGCCCTACAGGATCTGAGCCAGATCCTTCACAAACATGAGTCTGCTCATCCTAACGCAGTCATCATTGTTGCTGGGGATTTCAATAAATGTAATTTAAAGACTGTACTCCCGAACTTTTACCAACATGTGACTCAAGCTACAAGAGGAGCACATGTTCTGGATCACTGCTACAGTAACGTGAAGGGAGCTTACAGGTCCAGTCTCAGACCTCCTTTTGGAAAGTCTGACCACTCCTCTGTTCTCCTTCTTCCTTCGTATACTCAGAGGAGCAGGGAACATAAATTCTACTGTCGCTTTGAATCTGCTGATGCCTGTCCTACTGTATTCCCTGAGTGTTTCAATCAAGGTACCTTCACCGTGACTCAGGAGGAAGTCAGGCGTGTCTTGTCCAGGACCACAGTCCGGAAAGCCCCAGGCCCGGACGGCATCCCTCCTCGTGTCCTGAAACTGTGCTCTGAGCAACTTGCCCCTGTGCTAACAGACATTTTCAACCTGTCGCTAAGGAACTGTACTGTGCCGAACTGCTTTAAAGAGTCGACCATCATTCCAGTTCCTAAGAAAACTCCTGTGACATGCCTGAATGACTATCGTCCTGTGGCCCTCACGTCTGTTCTTATGAAAACTTTTGAGCGGCTTGTGCTGGACTTCATTAAGAGCCAGAACCCTGTGAGTGTTGACCCGCTCCAGTTTGCTACAGACAGAACAGGAGTGTGGAGGATGCATCTCCTTTGCTCTGAACTCTGTCTACAGTCACTTGGACACTAGTAAATCTGTTGCCAGAATGCTTTTCATCGATTATAGCTCTGCTTTTAACTGCCTTGTCCCAGGTAAACTGATTGAAAAGCTCATGTCTCTCGGTTTAAGTGTTGCCATGTGTAAATGGATTTTTAGCTTTTTAACTGAACTGACAGATCTTTGACTTAAGTCGCAATAGTTCTCATTTGCCTGTCGTAATCGACAACTCCCAGGTGCAGATTGTAGAGGAGAGCAAGTTTCTGGGTTTAACTCTGTCTAACCTGAAATGGGTTAAAAACACTGACCGAGTCGTTAAGAAAGCTCGTCAGCGTCTCTACTTTCTGCCTAAACTTAGAGAATTTACCACTAACTCTAAGATTGTGCTTAACTTTTATGGCTGCACCATTGAGAGTTTACTTGTTGGTTCTGTGTCTGTGGTTTGGAAACATCACAGATAAAGAAAAGAGAGCTTTAAACAAGGTGCTCCGCTCTGCAAAGAGGACCGTGGGCTGTGAACTTCCTGTTCTGGAGGTTCTTTATAAATCCAGACTTTTAAACAAAGCTCTTAGGATTGTTAATGACTCTTCTGGCCACCCTGGGAAAGCCATGTTCCAGCTTCTTCCCTCTGGCAGAAGATATCGCTCTCTGAGATGCAGGACATCTCGTTACGCTAACAGTTTTTATCCACAGGCTGTTATCAGTGTGAACAGAGCACTTTAATGATTTGCACTTGTTTTGAAACTGTTTTAGTCGATCCATTTCACAGTGACATTTGTTTACTGTTTTATTTGTTTTATTTTTGTCTTTTAATGTTGTTTTATGTCTGTATTTGTCTGTGCACACTGGAGACTTTTGCTAATGTATTCCAATGTGGTGTTTTTACTGCAAATGGCAAATAAAATGAACTGAGGTGGCTCGGGCATCTGTTCAGGATGCCTCCTGGACGCCTCCCTGGGGAGGTGTTCCGGGCACGTCCCACCGGGAGGAGGCCCCGGGGAAGACCTAGGACACAGAGGGACTATGTCTCTCAGCTGGCCTGGGAACGCCTTGGGGTCGGACGAGCTGGAGGAGGTGTCTGTGGAGAGGGAAGTCTGGGCGTCTCTACTCAGACTGCTGCCCCCACGACCCGGCAACGGATGAAGCAAAAGAAAATGGATGGATGGTATTTGTCTGGCCCTAAATTACAGCAGTGATTGGTCTTCTCCTTTAATCCCAACAAAGTGAAACTAAACACCAAAGGCTGAAGCTACGCAGGAGATAATATTGGAAATATAATTACACACAAACTGAAAGGTTTATTTAATGACTGCAAATAAAATGGTTCCCAAAGGTTTTCCCGTGGCAGGGGCTAACAGCTCAGCTAGCTAGCAGCAGCTAACTAGAACTCTCTGGAACTACATGAAAAATGAACATTCTGAACGACAGAGAGTGACCCAAATATAAACTCAACATAAAAATAAACACCTGGGAACATGTATCCGCTCTCACTTCTGCCTCAGTTGGCTCCGGTCCAACACCTCCTGGACAGTGTCTGTGAGCCGAGGGAGTAGTACTACTCTGAGTACTACTCTGAGTACTTCTCTGAGTACTTCTCTGAGTACTACTCTGAGTACTACTCTGAGTACTACTCTGAGTACTACTCTGAGTACTTCTCTGAGTACTTCTCTGAGTACTTCTCTGAGTACTACTCTGAGTACTTCTCTGAGTACTTCTCTGAGTACTACTCTGAGTACTTCTCTGAGTACTACTCTGAGTACTTCTCTGAGTACCCGCTGTTAGCACTGATTATAAAGACATGTTCTCAACAGTCTTCTGTGTTTGTGTTTTATATAAGTTTGTATTGTTTTCTCTGCTTCACTGCGTCTGTCTTTGTGTCATTGTGAGGACCTTTGAATGAGATTCATCTCGAGGCTTTTCCTCCAAACACATCAAATCCAAAACGTCGGGTTTGTCGCATGAAAAAGATATTTCTAACCTTTGTGTGAAGAATGTATTCTCTAACATTTAAATGTGATATTTGTTTATTCCGTGTGGCTGAGTGGTTAGCACTCTCGCTGCTCAGCAAGAAGGTCCTGGGTTCGAATCCCTGTCGGAACAGGACCTTTCTGAGTGGAGTTTGCATGTTCTCCCCATGTCTGCATAGGTTTCCTCCAAGTGCTCCGGTTTCCCCTAGCACTAAAAACATGTACAATTGGTTTGTGCCTCCTGCACTGGCCCCTCCCCTCTCTGTGGAGTCACAGACTGATGTAACAGACTAGAGGTCTGTGCCTCCTGCACTGGCCCCTCCCCTCTCTGTGGAGTCACAGACTGATGTAACAGACTGTAGAGGTCTGTGCCTCCTGCACTGGCTCCTCCCCTCTCTGTGGAGTCACAGACTGATGTAACAGACTGTAGAGGTCTGTGCCTCCTGCACTGGCCCCTCCCCTCTCTGTGGAGTCACAGACTGATGTAACAGACTGTAGAGGTCTGTGCCTCCTGCACTGGCTCCTCCCCTCTCTGTGGAGTCACAGACTGATGTAACAGACTGTAGAGGTCTGTGCCTCCTGCACTGGCCCCTCCCCTCTCTGTGGAGTCACAGACTGATGTAACAGACTGTAGAGGTCTGTGCCTCCTGCACTGGCCCCTCCCCTCTCTGTGGAGTCACAGACTGATGTAACAGACTGTAGAGGTCTGTGCCTCTGGTCTGAGCAGCTTCTCTCGCAGAGACACTGACGCAGCCCGTTGTGTAATGTTTATGTTTTATAAGCACAGAGTGCGTTGCCAAAGGGCAGCGGCTGTTATTGGTTTGAGAGTCTGCTGCTGCCGTGAGGAGCCGTATCTACCCCGTAATCCACTTCTGGGTCGAGGGCGTGGCAGTCAGAGCACCAGCTCCTCACTGCTCCTCCTGCTCCTCACTGCTCCTCCTGCTCCTCACTGATCCTCCTGCCCCTCACTGCTCCTCCTGCTCCTCACTGCTCCTCCTGCTCCTCACTGCTCCTCCTGCTCCTCACTGATCCTCCTGCCCCTCACTGCTCCTCCTGCTCCTCCTGCTCCTCACTGCTCCTCCTGCTCCTCACTGCTCCTCCTGCTCCTCACTGCTCCTCCTGCTCCTCACTGCTCCTCCTGCTCCTCCTGCTCCTCACTGCTCCTCCTGCTCCTCCTGCTCCTCACTGCTCCTCCTGCTCCTCCCTGCTCCTCACTGCTCCTCCTGCTCCTCCTGCTCCTCACTGCTCCTCACTGCTCCTCCTGCTCCTCACTGCTCCTTCTGCTCCTCCTGCTCCTCACTGCTCCTCCTGATCCTCCTGGTCCTCACTGCTCCTTCTGCTCCTCACTGCTCCTCACTGATCCTCACTGCTCCTCACTGATCCTCCTGCTCCTCACTGCTCCTCCTGCTCCTCACTGCTCCTCCTGCTCCTCACTGATCCTCCTGGTCCTCACTGATCCTCCTGCTCCTCACTGCTCCTCCTGATCCTCCTGGTCCTCACTGCTCCTTCTGCTCCTCACTGCTCCTCCTGCTCCTCACTGCTCCTCCTGCTCCTCACTGATCCTCCTGCTCCTCACTGATCCTCCTGCTCCTCACTGCTCCTCCTGCTCCTCACTGCTCCTCCTGCTCCTCACTGATCCTCCTGCTCCTCACTGCTCCTTCTGCTCCTCACTGATCCTCCTGGTCCTCACTGATCCTCCTGGTCCTCACTGATCCTCCTGGTCCTCACTGATCCTCCTGGTCCTCACTGATCCTCCTGCTCATCCTGCTCCTCACTGATCCTCCTGCTCCTCACTGCTCCTCACTGCTCCTCCTGCTCCTCACTGATCCTCCTGGTCCTCACTGATCCTCCTGCTCCTCACTGATCCTCCTGCTCCTCACTGCTCCTCCTGCTCCTCACTGCTCCTCCTGCTCCTCACTGATCCTCCTGCTCCTCACTGCTCCTTCTGCTCCTCACTGATCCTCCTGGTCCTCACTGATCCTCCTGGTCCTCACTGATCCTCCTGCTCCTCACTGCTCCTCCTGCTCCTCACTGCTCCTCCTGCTCCTCACTGCTCATCCTGCTCCTCGCTGATCCTCCTGCTCCTCACTGCTCATCCTGGTCCTCTGATCTTCCAGCGGGGGCTTTAGGCAAAGTGGGGTTAAGTGCCTTGAGCCGTATAATAATTTAAATTTACCAAGTGTCCAGAGGTTCTCCTGGTCCTCATGCTCTCACCTGGTCCTCATGCTCTCACCTGGTCCTCATGCTCTCACCTGGTCCTCATGCTCTCACCTGGTCCCCTGCTCTGGCTCCTACTTAACAGGGCAAATTATATGGTTCTCTGTGTGTGTGTCTGTGTGTGTGTGTGCGTCTGTGTGTGTGTCTGCGTGTGTGTGTCTGCGTGTGTGTGTCTTTTGTTGTGTCCAAAAGGCTGTGACTTTCGCTGTGGAGGGTTTTGTTTACAGGAGAGAGGGGGGGGGGCTGTGGGGGAGGGGGGGGGGGGGGGGGGGGGGGGGTGGGGGGGAGGGGGGGGAGGCGAAACGACGTTATGAAGACCAGTAATGTGGTTGTGTTGAATTAGCCTCAGACAACAGCATCTGCACCGGGAGTTCTGACTCTGGGACCAGCAGGAGGCCAGTCCCTGTGCTCCTCAGAGTCCCAGCAGGAGGCCAGTCCCTGTGCTCCTCAGAGTCCCAGCAGGAGGCCAGTCCCTGTGCTCCTCAGAGTCCCAGCAGGAGGCTAGTCCCTGTGCTCCTCAGAGTCCCAGCAGGAGGCTAGTCCCTGTGCTCCTCAGAGTCCAAGCAGGAGGCCAGTCCCTGTGCTCCTCAGAGTCCCAGCAGGAGGCCAGTCCCTGTGCTCCTCAGAGTCCCAGCAGGAGGCCAGTCCCTGTGCTCCTCAGAGTCCCAGCAGGAGGCCAGTCCCTGTGCTCCTCAGAGTCCCAGCAGGAGGCCAGTCCCTGTGCTCCTTCCTTTGTATCGTCTGAGCGATGGCCTCCGTCTCTCTGTAAATGTCTTGTACAGTTTGTGACCAGACCTGACCCAGACAAAAACCAAGACAAGACCAAGGCCAGATCCAAACCAGACCTGGACTGAAATCAGACTCGGCACAAACCCCACCTAGACCAAGACTAGACCTGAGACCAGAGCTAGACACAGAACTACACCACAAACTAAGTCTGGGACCTCAGCGTCTGGGACCTCAGGGTTTGGGACCTCAGTGTCTGGGACCTCAGGGTTTGGGACCTCAGTGTCTGGGACCTCAGGGTTTGGGACCTCAGTGTCTGGGACCTCAGGGTTTGGGACCTCAGTGTCTGGGACCTCAGGGTTTGGGACCTCAGTGTCTGGGACCTCAGTGTCTGGGACCTCAGGGTTTGGGACCTCAGCGTTTGGGACCTCAGTGTCTGGGACCTCAGGGTTTGGGACCTCAGTGTCTGGGACCTCAGGGTTTGGGACCTCAGGGATTGGGACCTCAGGGTTTGGGACCTCAGTGTCTGAGACCTCAGGGTTTGGGACCTCAGTGTCTGGGACCTCAGTGTCTGGGACCTCAGGGTTTGGGACCTCAGTGTCTGGGACCTCAGTGTCTGGGACATCAGCGTCTGGGACCTCAGGGTCTGGGACCTCAGTGTCTGGGACCTCAGGGTTTGGGACCTCAGTGTCTGGGACCTCAGTGTCTGGGACCTCAGCGTCTGGGACATCAGCGTTTGGGACCTCAGTGTTTGGGACCTCAGTGTCTGGGACCTCAGGGTTTGGGACCTCAGGGATTGGGACCTCAGCGTTTGGAACCTCAGTGTCTGAGACCTCAGGGTTTGGGACCTCAGTGTCTGGGACCTCAGTGTCTGGGACCTCAGGGTTTGGGACCTCAGTGTCTGGGACCTCAGTGTCTGGGACCTCAGCGTCTGGGACATCAGCGTTTGGGACCTCAGTGTTTGGGACCTCAGGGTTTGGGACCTCAGGGTTTGGGACCTCAGTGTCTGGGACCTCAGTGTCTGGGACCTCAGGGTTTGGGACCTCAGTGTCTGGGACCTCAGTGTCTGGGACCTCAGCGTCTGGGACATCAGCGTTTGGGACCTCAGTGTTTGGGACCTCAGTGTCTGGGACCTCAGGGTTTGGGACCTCAGGGATTGGGACCTCAGCGTTTGGAACCTCAGTGTCTGAGACCTCAGCGTTTGGGACCTCAGTGTCTGGGACCTCAGGGTTTGGGACCTCAGTGTCTGGGACCTCAGGGTTTGGGACCTCATGGCCTGGGACCTCAGGGTTTGGGACCTCAGGGTTTGGGACCTCAGTGTCTGGGACCTCAGTGTCTGGGACCTCAGCGTCTGGGACATCAGCGTTTGGGACCTCAGTGTCTGGGACCTCAGCGTCTGGGACATCAGCGTTTGGGACCTCAGTGTCTGGGACCTCACTGTCTGGGACCTCAGGGTTTGGGACCTCAGTGTCTGGGACCTCAGGGTTTGGGACCTCAGGGTTTGGGACCTCAGTGTCTGGGACCTCAGGGTTTGGGACCTCAGCGTTTGGGACCTCAGTGTCTGGGACCTCAGGGTTTGGGATCTCAGCGTTTGGGACCTCAGTATCTGGGACCTCAGGGTTTGGGACCTCAGTGTTTGGGACCTCAGGGTTTGGGACCTCAGTGTTTGGGACCTCAGGGTTTGGGACCTCAGGGTTTGGATCCTCAGTGTTTGGGACCTCAGTGTTTGGGACCTCAGTGTTTGGGACCTCAGGGTTTGGGACCTCAGTGTTTGGGACCTCAGGGTTTGGATCCTCAGTGTTTGGGACCTCAGTGTTTGGGACCTCAGTGTTTGGGACCTCAGTGTTTGGGACCTCAGGGTTTGGGACCTCAGTGTTTGGGACCTCAGGGTTTGGATCCTTAGTGTTTGGGACCTCAGTGTTTGGGACCTCAGGGTTTGGGACCTCAGTGTTTGGGACCTCAGGGTTTGGGACCTCAGTGTTTGGGACCTCAGGGTTTGGGACCTCAGTGTTTGGGACCTCAGGGTTTGGATCCTTAGTGTTTGGGACCTCAGTGTTTGGGACCTCAGGGTTTGGGACCTCAGTGTTTGGGACCTCAGGGTTTGGGACCCCAGTGTTTGGGACCTCAGGGTTTGGATCCTGTAAAACGCTGCACTTTGTGAGATTTATGTGTTTGGATTAATGGCTGCTAAAAGGCCCCAGAGGCAGAACTGGTTTCACCCTGATCCCAGAGCAGAGAAGGGTGGGGGGGGAGAGGTGAGGAGGGGGGGGGGACTCACTACTACATACAATATAGTAAAGAAGCAAGTATAAAATCTCTAAACTAACTTTAGCATAAAAAAGACAAAGTGACTAAAGCAGTTTCCTTCAGGATCAGTAAAAAAGGAAAAGTAACGTCTACAAAGGCACAGTGACCCCCCAGAGAGGTCCCTCTCCCTGACGGTGACCCTCTGGAGGTCTCTCTCACTGACGGTGACCCTCTGGAGAGGTCTCTCTCACTGACGGTGACCCTCTGGAGGTCCCTCTCCCTGACGGTGACCCTCTGGAGGTCTCTCTCACTGACGGTGACCCTCTGGAGAGGTCTCTCTCACTGACGGTGACCCTCTGGAGGTCTCTCTCACTGACGGTGACCCTCTGGAGGTCTCTCTCACTGACGGTGACCCCCTGGAGGTCTCGCTCACTGACGGTGACCCCCTGGAGGTCTCTCTCACTGACGGTGACCCTCTGGAGAGGTCTCTCTCACTGACGGTGACCCTCTGGAGGTCTCTCTCACTGACTGTGACCCTCTGGAGGTCTCGCTCACTGACGGTGACCCCCTGGAGGTCTCTCTCACTGACGGTGACCCTCTGTAATCTGAAGGTCTCTGTGCGACGTGACTTTGTGGCTGGACGCTGCAGATATGTGGAGCAGCTCACACGCTTTTGTTTACAAATCCAGACCACAGGGACCAACAAATCCTGCTCCAGGAACAAGGCTCTCACTGCAACAACTTTAGGACAGAGACAGAGACAGAGGCAGAGGCAGAGGCAGAGACAGAGACAGAGGCAGAGGCAGAGGCAGAGACTGAGACTGAGACTGAGACTGAGACAGAGACAGAGACAGAGACAGAGACAGAGGCAGAGGCAGAGGCAGAGGCAGAGGCAGAGGCAGAGACAGAGGCAGAGGCAGAGGCAGAGGCAGAGGCAGAGACTGAGACTGAGACTGAGACAGAGACAGAGACAGAGACAGAGACAGAGACAGAGACAGAGACAGAGGCAGAGGCAGAGGCAGAGGCAGAGGCAGAGGCAGAGACTGAGACTGAGACTGAGACTGAGACTGAGACTGAGACTGAGACAGAGACAGAGACAGAGACAGAGACAGAGACAGAGACAGAGACAGAGACAGAGACAGAGGCAGAGGCAGAGGCAGAGGCAGAGGCAGAGGCAGAGGCAGAGACAGAGGCAGAGACAGAGAGACAGAGGCAGCTCTCGGCCTCGCAGGAAATGACATTAGCTTCTGCTGACCTCGCCGTAACCACAACCAGGAAGCTGAGCGTCACCACGGCAACACACACACAGATACATATGCATACAGACACACACACACAGATACATATGCATACAGACACACACACACAGGTACATATGCATACAGACACACACACACAGATACATATGCATACAGACACACACACACAGATACATATGCATACAGATACACACACACAGATACATATGCATACAGATACACACACACAGATACATATGCATACAGACACACACACACAGATACATATGCATAGAGACACACACACACAGATACATATGCATACAGACACACACACACAGATACATATGCATACAGACACACACACACAGATACATATGCATACAGACACACACACACAGATACATATGCATACAGACACACACAGATACATATGCATACAGACACACACACACAGATACATATGCATACAGATACACACACACAGATACATATGCATACAGACACACACACACAGATACATATGCATACAGACACACACACACAGATACATATGCATACAGACACACACACACAGATACATATGCATACAGACACACACACACAGATACATATGCATACAGATACACACACACAGATACATATGCATACAGACACACACACACAGATACATATGCATACAGACACACACACACAGATACATATGCATACAGACACACACACACAGATACATATGCATACAGACACACACACACAGATACATATGCATACAGACACACACACACAGATACATATGCATACAGACACACACACACAGATACATATGCATACAGACACACACAGATACATATGCATACAGACACACACACACAGATACATATGCATACAGACACACACAGATACATATGCATACAGACACACACACACACAGATACATATGCATACAGACACACACACACAGATACATATGCATACAGATACACACACAAACACCAGAGTCGTAACCTCGCTCTGATGTTTGGTTCATGCTGCCGCCGAATTAAAGGTCAGTGTTAATCATGTGACCACAGTGTGTGTGTGTGTGTGTGTGTGTGTGTGTGTGTGAGAGAGAGAGCTGTAACAGTATGATGTCATTGTACCACTATGACATCATGAATCAGTGTTGGTCAGTTCAGAGGTGATGGACATGCTCTTCAATCACAGTCTGTGTTTGCTGTGTTTGGCAGCAGAGGGAGCTCTGATTGTAGACGCTGCTCCCACAAGGAGCTCTGACTACAGACGCTGCTCCCTCTGGTGGCAGCCAGTGGGGGCGGGTCCCGGCTCAAAAGTGGCCAAAATGACGTGCGCTGACATGCTGCAGTACCACCCCGGGCCTGTGGGGGTGGACCCAGAAGAAGAATTAGCCGATGCTAACATATAGCATCTTCTTACCTCTGGAAAACGTCTTTACAGGATGGTCCCAAAGTTGTCTCTTGGCCCAAAGCTCCGTTCCACATGTGTGTCAATGCTGAGTGTTCTGGACCAGTCTAGTTTAGTCGCTGTGGACTTTAGAAGTCTCTCGTTCAAATGAATGGAGTTGCGCTGACGCATGGACAGATGTGTTTTTTCACAATTTTCTTGTGGGCGGGACCACTCGCTGCCATTCTGAATTGCTCCAGTAGAGCACATTTTTGGCCCATTAGTTAGAACGGCGGAGATACTGACTCTGTCCGTTTACAGTCTATGGTCCAGTCCCAACACTCGCACTTTCACCCTTGCGCCCCTCATTTGCGCGTTCCCGATAAAGTGTGCGAGTGCGTAGGGTCCAGTCCCAATCCTCCAGGGAGGTCTTTGGCCCCGCCCCCTTTGCGCCCCTGATCCACACTTCGCCGTAGCCTGCATCTATGCGCACTCTGGCGAAGGATATTGCCCATAATTCTTTGCGGTACTCACCAAAACGTTGGGAACATGCATTTAAATATAAGTTTTGAAATATATCTGCAGTGTGTTTGTGAATAAGTTTTGCTGTTACTTGAAGAATTACGGACATTGTGTTTTACCAATTTAATAACTTTTTAAAGCAAGTGTTTATATAACATTCAATTTAAACTTTACACTTAGTACAATAATCTTAGGATGTATAAAAACTGACCAGATAGTTAGTTACCCACATTTAACTTAAAATTATACAGCTATCTCAAACCCTGGTGTGCACTTCAAACAACTGCACACTTCGTAGAGGTGTGTAGGGTGCAGTGTGGGTATTGGGATTGGGCCTCTATGGTGGCAGCACAGGGAGCTCTGACTGCAGACGCTGCTCCCTCTGGTGGCAGCACAGGGAGCTCTGACTGCAGACGCTGCTCCCTCTGGTGGCAGCACAGGGAGCTCTGACTGCAGACGCTGCTTACCGAAAATGATCACTTTTTTCTTACCCACATTGACTAAAAAATGTCAACTGTTTTTTCGTCTGTGTTCTACAGCGGCTTCGCTGTGTCTGTCTCCCATCCACACCGCTGCCCCCCTCCCCTCTCGCTCCGCCCCGCCTCTCCCTCAGCTGCTCCCCGGCTCCACATCCTCTGGTCCCGTCACTTGTTGGATGTGTTTCCTGCGTCTCGCTGTTTTCAGTTTGGCTTCAGCTCGTGCGTAAAAGCCAAACGCACAGACCGTCCCTCCCTCCCTCCCCCCGCGCTCTCTCTCTCTCCTCACTCCAACATCGCGGACCCGCCTGGCTCCTGCTCCCGTCTCCTGGACTCTAAACTCCTCCTGATTTTTTTCCAACGCTCCCTTTGGTCCAGAGCCGCTCCTGAGTCAGAGAGGATGCTTGGCTTCGTCCTCCTTTTACGCACAGCGCCACGGACACACTCAGCATGTGATCTGCTCTGAGGTACGGATGCAGCTTTCCAATCTCATTCTAATCTCATTCTAATCTCATTCTAGTCTCATTCTAATCTCATTCTAGTCTCATTCTAGTCTCATTCTAGTCTCATTCTAATCTCATTCTAGTCTCATTCTAATCTCATTCTAGTCTCATTCTAGTCTCATTCTAGTCTCATTCTAATCTCATTCTAATCTCATTATAGTCTCATTCTAGTCTCATTCTAGTCTCATTCTAATCTCATTTCTATGTCATTTCCCGGGACTCGAACTGGCTTTTGATGCGTTCTCGGTTGAGGATATTTTGTGCGAAACTGGACGCAGCTAAATGGAAGAGCAGATTCTACCGACTCAGCAGAAACCAGGCTTCAGTGTGTGTGCATGTGTGTGTGTGTGTGTGTGCGCGTGTGTGGGTGTGTGTGCGCGTGTGTCTGTGTGCGTGCGTGTATATGTGTCTGTGTGTATAGTGTGTGTGTGTTGGGATTCGTGCTCGAGGAACATAAGAAAATATTGTAGAGAATGAAATGTAAATAGAAGGATTAGGAAGAACCGCCCTCTCCACTTTTTGAACTAAACTCTCTGTTCTCATTGGACGAGCACTTATCACAAGAATGATTGACAGTTGGGAGGACCAATAGTCTTGATGATCCACCCGGAAGTAGAAAACCCTCCTCTGTACCTTTAAAGATGTGTTGTGTTGTTCTCAGAGCACAAAGAGAAAACACTTATGTCCTGTCAGACTGTACAACGAACACCTAACAACCCCTGAGCACGTGCACAGGTGTAAACAGCTGTGTCACTGCAGTCCACTGCTCTGCCCTACCCTACCCTACCCTACTCTACCCTACCCTACCCTACCCTACCCTACCCTACCCTACCCTACTCTACCCTACCCTACCCTACCCTACCCTACCCTACCCTACCCTACCCTACCCTGCTCTACTCTACACTACCCTACCCTACACTACCCTACCCTACCCTACCCTGCTCTACTCTACTCTACTCTACTCTACTCTACTCTACTCTACTCTACCCTACCCTACCCTACCCTACTCTACTCTACTCTACCCTACCCTACCCTACGCTACTCTACTCTACTCTACTCTACTCTACTCTACTCTACTCTACCCTACCCTACGCTACTCTACTCTACTCTACTCTACTCTACTCTACTCTACTCTACTCTACTCTACTCTACTCTACCCTACCCTACCCTACCCTACCCTACGCTACTCTACTCTACTCTACTCTACTCTACTCTACTCTACTCTACTCTACTCTACTCTACTCTACCCTACCCTATTTTACCCTACTCTACTCTACTCTACTCTACCCTACCCTATTTTACCCTACTCTACTCTACTCTACTCTACTCTACTCTACTCTACTCTACCCTACCCTACCCTACCCTACCCTACGCTACTCTACTCTACTCTACTCCTCTACTCTACTCTACTCTACTCTACTCTACTCTACTCTATTTTACCCTACTCTACTCTACTCTACTCTACCCTACCCTATTTTACACTACTCTACTCTACTCTACTCTACTCTACTCTACTCTACCCTACCCTACCCTACGCTACTCTACTCTACTCTACTCTACTCTACTCTACTCTACTCTACTCTACTCTACTCTACTCTACTCTACTCTACTCTACTCTACTCTACTCTACTCTACTCTACTCTACCCTACCCTATTTTACCCTACTCTACTCTACTCTACTCTACTCTACTCTACGCTACGCTACTCTACTCTACTCTACTCTACCCTACTCTACTCTACTCTACTCTACCCTACCCTATTTTACCCTACTCTACTCTACTCTACTCTACCCTACCCTGCATCAGACTGTTGTGGTGAAGAGTGAGCAGCGTCTGCAGTCAGAGCTGTATCGGTCTTAAGTAGAATTATGTACAAAATTAGTCGTCTGAAGAGATCGCTCTCAACTCTTCCTGCTGTCGCCTCCTCGCTCTCCTCTCTCCTCCCTCTCCCTTCCTCTCCCCCCCCTCTCCCCCCCCCCTCTCCCCCTCTCCCCCCCCCCTCTCCCCCACCCTCTCCCCCCTCTCCCCCCCCTCCCTCTCACATATCATGTCCAGAACAGGAAGTAGTGTTGATTTCCCAGAGGAGGCTGTAGAGCGACAGAAGCAGCTCAGGACCAGAGGCTCTGTGTTCACAACAGGCCCCCCAGACTCTCTCCTCCTCCTCCCCCCAGACTCTCTCCTCCTCCTCCCCCCCAGACTCTCTCCTCCTCCTCCCCCCCAGACTCTCTCCTCCTCCTCCCCCCCAGACTCTCTCCTCCTCCTCCCCCCAGACTCTCTCCTCCTCCTCCCCCCAGACTCTCTCCTCCTCCTCCCCCCAGACTCTCTCCTCCTCCTCCCCCCCAGACTCTCTCCTCCTCCTCCCCCCAGACTCTCTCCTCCTCCTCCCCCCAGACTCTCTCCTCCTCCTCCCCCCCAGACTCTCTCCTCCTCCTCCCCCCAGACTCTCTCCTCCTCCTCCCCCCAGACTCTCTCCTCCTCCTCCCCCCCAGACTCTCTCCTCCTCCTCCCCCCCAGACTCTCTCCTCCTCCTCCCCCCCAGACTCTCTCCTCCTCCTCCCCCCAGACTCTCTCCTCCTCCTCCCCCCAGACTCTCTCCTCCTCCTCCCCCCAGACTCTCTCCTCCTCCTCCCCCCCAGACTCTCTCCTCCTCCTCCCCCCAGACTCTCTCCTCCTCCTCCCCCCAGACTCTCTCCTCCTCCTCCCCCCAGACTCTCTCCTTCTCCTCTCCCAGACTCTCTCCTCCTCCTCTCCCAGACTCTCTCCTCCTCCTCCCCCCAGACTCTCTCCTCCTCCTCCCCCCAGACTCTCTCCTCCTCCTCCCCCCCAGACTCTCTCCTCCTCCTCCCCCCAGACTCTCTCCTCCTCCTCCCCCCAGACTCTCTCCTCCTCCTCCCCCCAGACTCTCTCCTCCTCCTCCCCCCCAGACTCTCTCCTCCTCCTCCCCCAGACTCTCTCCTCCTCCTCCCCCCCAGACTCTCTCCTCCTCCTCCACCCAGACTCTCTCCTCCTCCTCCCCCCAGACTCTCTCCTCCTCCTCCCCCCAGACTCTCTCCTCCTCCTCCCCCCAGACTCTCTCCTCCTCCTCCCCCCAGACTCTCTCCTCCTCCTCCTCCCTCCATCTCTCTTCCCTCTCCTTTCTTCTCTCTCTCCTCTCTCTTCTCTCTCTCCTCTCTCTTCCCTCTCCTCTCTCTCCTCTCTCTCCTCTCTCTTCCCTCTGCTCTCTCTCTCTTCTCTCCCTGGTGAGATCCAGGAGTCAGGCTGTAGAACGAGGATCTGCCTGAGTGTGCAGCAGGACAGTCCAGTGCTCTCTGCTCTCTCTGTTTGTGCAAAGTACATCTCACTTCCATGATGTTCTCTTTGACTCTGGCGCCCCAGTTTGTTATGTAAGCAGCTTTTACACCGAGAGAGAGACCAGAGAGAGACCAGAGAGACCAGAGAGAGAGACCAGAGAGAGACCAGAGAGAGACCAGAGAGACCAGAGAGAGAGACCAGAGAGAGAGACCAGAGGGAGAGACCAGAGAGAGACCAGAGAGAGACCAGAGAGAGACCAGAGAGAGACCAGAGAGAGACCAGAGAGAGACCAGAGAGAGTCCAGAGAGAGTCCAGAGAGAGACCAGAGAGAGACCAGAGAGAGACCAGAGAGAGAGACCAGAGAGAGTCCAGAGAGAGTCCAGAGAGAGACCAGAGAGAGAGTCCAGAGAGAGAGTCCAGAGAGCGACCAGAGAGAGACCAGAGAGAGACCAGAGAGAGACCAGAGAGAGTCCAGAGAGAGTCCAGAGAGAGTCCAGAGAGAGTCCAGAGAGAGAGTCCAGAGAGCGACCAGAGAGAGACCAGAGAGAGTCCAGAGACAGAGTCCAGAGACAGAGTCCAGAGACAGAGTCCAGAGACAGAGTCCAGAGACAGAGTCCAGAGAGAGAGTCCAGAGAGAGAGTCCAGAGAGAGAGCGACCAGAGAGAGGGACCAGAGAGAGTCCAGAGAGAGACCAGAGAGAGACCAGAGAGAGACCAGAGAGAGTCCAGAGAGAGTCCAGAGAAAGAGAGACCAGAGAGATAGACCAGAGAGTCCAGAGAGAGAGTCCAGAGAGAGTCCAGAGAGAGTCCAGAGAAAGAGAGACCAGAGAAAGAGAGACCAGAGAGAGAGTCCAGAGAGAGTCCAGAGAGAGAGTCCAGAGAGAGAGAGACCAGAGAGAGAGAGACCAGAGAGAGAGACCAGAGAGAGAGTCCAGAGAGAGAGAGACCAGAGAGAGAGTCCAGAGAGAGACCAGATCTCCTCCTCCTCTCCTCTCCTCCTCTTCCTCCCCCTCTCCTCTCCTCCTCCTCTCCTCCTCCTCCTCTCCTCTCCTCCACCTCCTCCCCCTCTCCTCTCCTCCTCCTCTCCTCCCCATCTCCTCTCCACCTCCTCCTCCTCCCCCTCTCCTCTTCCTCCCCCTCTCCTCTTCCTCCCCCTCTCCTCCTCCTCCCCCTCTCCTCTTCCTCCCCCTCTCCTCTTCCTCCCCCTCCTCCTCGGCTCCTCCTGGTCGTAGAGACCATAAAGTCCCTGTAGGAAACAGAGGGAGATGGTTCTGTGGAAAGTGTTTTTCTGAGCAGGAAGTAAATAATTGAAGGAGGTTTTTCCCAGCGCTGAGCTCCTCTGCTGCGCCTCCTCCTCCTCCTCCTCCTCCTCTTCATCCTGAGACCAGAACAGGACGTTAATGTGATTTCTGTGTCAGTTTTGTGTGGGATGTTTGAATCTTGCGCCTGGTTTAACCGCTGTGCGTCGTGTTTCATCAGTGACCAGTTTGTGGCCGTTGTCATGACGACTCTGTCCTGGTTTATTTTATATATAACGTTTATATATAACTCTTTGTCTGTGAGTTTTACCCATGGATCTATAATAATAACTGGATATGGTGTTACTAGCTTTCATCTGTCCCACCCATGGCCACAGGGGGCGCTGTGGTACTGCAGACTAAACCAGATTAAATTCTCGAGGGCTACACAGAAAAATCTCCCATAGAACTCAATGTAAACTAAAACAGCTCGACCTCAGCTGACAGAGAACCTGACAGAGAACCTACAGAGAACCTGACAGAGAACCTACAGAGAACCTGACAGAGAACCTACAGAGCACCTGACAGAGAACCTACAGAGAACCTGACAGAGAACCTGACAGAGAACCTACAGAGAACCTGACAGAGAACCTACAGAGAACCCGACAGAGAACCCGACAGAGAACCTGACAGAGAACCTACAGAGAACCTGACAGAGAACCTACAGAGAACCCGACAGAGAACCTGACAGAGAACCTGACAGAGAACCTGACAGAGAACCTACAGCTTTCATAAAGGTCAGATTTTGTGGGGAGTTTAGTGTCTCTTGTCGTCCTGAACTTTTTTCTTCTTAAATCCTTCGGTTTTCTTTAAATCCACACTTTACTGCCACAAACTCTGCTCCTTTCCTTCCCGCTCTGACTCCGCCCTGCTGCTGCTCTGGTCAGCTCTGATTGGTCGAGCCCCTCTGTGCACGAGCATGAGAGCCACACACGCACGTTTGGCGCAAAGCATCATGGGAGATAATCCACTGCACAGAACCGGGAGGACCAGACGATGCCCAAATATGGCTGAGTTCTGATAATCTCCGGTCTCCGTGAAGTCCCATGAACTACTGAGCACAAGCCGTTCATTTGAACAGGACGCCATCTTGGATCAGCGGGGCTACTTCCTTTCCCTGTGTGTGTAGTCCCTGTAGTCTGCACATGGTCCATCTGAGGTCTGCACATGGTCCGTCTTAGGTCTGCACATGGTCCGTCTGAGGTCTGCACATGGTCCGTCTTAGGTCTGCATATGGTCAGTCTGAGGTCTGCATATGGTCCATCTGAGGTCTGCACATGGTCCGTCTGAGGTCTGCACATGGTCCGTCTGAGGTCTGCATATGGTCAGTCTGAGGTCTGCATATGGTCCGTCTGAGGTCTGCATATGGTCCCTCTGAGGTCTGCACATGGTCCGTCTGAGGTCTGCACATGGTCCGTCTGAGATCTGCACATGGTCTGTCTGAGGTCTGCACATGGTCCGTCTGAGTTCTGCACATGGTCTGTCTGAGGTCTGCATATGGTCCGTCTGAGGTCTGCACATGGTCCGTCTGAGGTCTGCACATGGTCCGTCTGAGGTCTGCACATGGTCCGTCTGAGGTCTGCACATGGTCCGTCTGAGGCCTGCACATGGACCGTCTGAGGTCTGCACATGGTCCGTCTGAGGTCTGCACATGGTCCGTCTGAGGCCTGCACATGGACCGTCTGAGGTCTGCACATGGTCCGTCTGAGGTCTGCACATGGTCCGTCTGAGGTCTGCACATGGACCGTCTGAGGTCTGCACATGGTCCGTCTGAGGTCTGCACATGGTCCTCGTGTCTTCTTTCATTTCGTTAAAAGCGCTGCTTCTTTTTGGAACAAGATTTACAACAGTTTTACTGTTCACTGGAACTCAGCCACGAGACCAAGGTTATTCTTCCAGACAAAAACACACTGGTCTCTCTCTGGTCTCTCTCTGGTCTCTCTCTGGTCTCTCTCTGGTCTCTCTCTGGTCTCTCTCTGGTCTCTCTCTGGTCTCTCTCTGGTCTCTCTCTGGTCCCTCTCTGGTCTCTCTCTCTGGTCTCTCTCTCTGGTCTCTCTCTGGTCTCTCTCTGGTCTCTCTCTCTCTGGTCTCTCTCTGGTCTCTCTCTCTCTGGTCTCTCTCTCTGGTCTCTCTCTCTCTGGTCTCTCTCTGGTCTCTCTCTCTGGTCTCTCTCTGGTCTCTCTCTGGTCTCTCTCTTGTCTCTCTCTGGTCCCTCTCTGGTCCCTCTCTTGTCTCTCTCTGGTCTCTCTCTGGTCTCTCTCTGGTCTCTCTCTGGTCTCTCTCTTGTCTCTCTCTGGTCCCTCTCTGGTCTCTCTCTTGTCTCTCTCTTGTCTCTCTCTGGTCCCTCTCTGGTCCCTCTCTTGTCTCTCTCTGGTCTCTCTCTGGTCTCTCTCTGGTCTCTCTCTGGTCCCTCTCTGGTCCCTCTCTGGTCTCCCTCTCTGGTCTCTCTCTCTGGTCTCTCTCTTGTCTCTCTCTGGTCTCTCCCTGGTCTCAAAAGTAAAACCATGGAAGTTGATCATGGTAAGTCCCCTTTAATCTCTGAGCTCTGAGTCATGGTGGTCGTTGCGCAGTCTGACAGTAGAGTGCGTGGGGGCGGGGCTTGGGCAGTGCTTTAGTTTGAGTGACAGGCTGAAAGTGGCGTTTGCGGCGTGTCCTCTGGGTGTGTTGTACAAAGTGTATCGTTTACATCCAAACAGCCAAGGTCAGAGCGGCGAGGACGGTCCGGACTCACACACCATCAGAGCGCCTCCTGTCTTTGATGGTATCGTCTTAAAGCTGGGCGACCTGACTTTCAAACTACACATTTAACTAGTTTCTCGTTCTCAAAAGAGTTTGGTTCAATCATTAGTTTTCACTTATTTTCTCTGTGTGGGCTTTAGATCTTTAAACACAGAAATGTTATGGTCTATCTCTGATCTCTCTCTCACTGCTCTCTCTCTCTGGTCTCTCTCTGGTCTCTGTCTGGTCTCTCTCACTGGTCTCTCTCACTGGTCTCTCTCCTGTCTCTCTCTCACTGGTCTCTCTCTCTGGTCTCTCTCTATCTCTCTGGTCTCTCTCTCCCTGGTCTCTCCCGGGTCTCTCTCTCTGGTCTCTCTCTCTGGTCTCTCTCTGGTCTCTCCCTCTGGTCTCTCCCGGGTCTCTCTCTGGTCTCTCTCTGGTCTCTCTCTCTGGTCTCTCTCTGGTCTCTCTCTCTGGTCTCTCCCTGGTCTCTCTCTGGTCTCTCTCTCTGGTCTCTCTCTCTGGTCTCTCCCTGGTCTCTCCCTGGTCTCTCCCTGGTCTCTCCCTGGTCTCTCCCTGGTCTCTCCCTGGTCTCTCCCTGGTCTCTCCCTGGTCTCTCCCTGGTCTCTCCCTGGTCTCTCCCTGGTCTCTCCCTGGTCTCTCCTGGTCTCTCCCTGGTCTCTCCCTGGTCTCTCCCTGGTCTCTCCCTGGTCTCTCTCTGGTCTCTCTCTGGTCTCTCTCTCTGGTCTCTCCCTGGTCTCTCCCTGGTCTCTCTCTGGTCTCTCTCTGGTCTCTCTCTGGTCTCTCTCTGGTCTCTCTCTCTGGTCTCTCTCTCTGGTCTCTCTCTGGTCTCTCCCTGGTCTCTCCCTGGTCTCTCCCTGGTCTCTCCCTGGTCTCTCTCTGAATCAAACCATGAACCCATAATAACAGTCATATTTCCTGGTCTTTAACGTGTGCCGCAGCCGCAGCCCCCGCAGCCGCCGCTCACGCCGCTCCTTCAGCTTTATTAGTGTCACGGATCAAACGCGTTGCTGAGTCTTTGCTAATGTAATATCTTCTGCCGCGGGGTCGGAGCGGCTTTTCATTTCCTTTTTTATGAGAGCGGTAGCGCTGACCGACAGGACGCGGCAGGACGCGGCAGAGCGCGGCAGAGCGCGGCAGGACGCGGGGCCTGGTAGTGCCGCGGCCCAAAGAGAAAGAGGGACATAAAGATGTGGAGAGGGTTCTGTCCCTGAGGCTGTAAATCTGTCCGACTGAAGCATAAATTAAACAGAAAATCAATCTGAATGTTCGTGAGTCTGAAGAGCGGGAAGAGCAGAGCCGCAAGCGGAGATGGCTGCCCTTTTGTAAAGCGTCTGTTTATGGACCTCCCTGGGGTTTCTCACTTTGGTTTCCTCTGTGTTTCTGAGAGGGTCCAGACATTTATGAACCTTTCTGGGCCGTGGTCCTGCTCCTCTTGGACCCCTTTAATTTGGTAAAAGCAGGGGTGCTCAATACATGGATCGCAAAGGTATAGTATTGAAAGATCACATTACATACAACAACAAACATCTGTTTATGCATTTGCTGTAGACAGAGATAACCGGAGTTTTGAGTTTTCTCACACCACAGTCTGCCCCAAAACAACAACAACACGTGCGACCTCTGACCTCTGACCTCTGAAGAAGGATCTTTCTGCCTTAAAAACTGTTCACTGCTGCGAGAGGTTCACAGCCGCAACATCCTCCACAGGACTAAACCAGGACTGAACCAGGACTGAACCAGGACTAAACCAGGACTAAACCAGGACTGAACCAGGACTAAACCAGGACTAAACCAGGACTGAACCAGGACTAAACCAGGACTAAACCAGGACTGAACCAGGACTAAACCAGGACTGAACCAGGACTAAACCAGGACTGAACCAGGACTGAACCAGGACTAAACCAGGACTAAACCAGGACTGAACCAGGACTGAACCAGGACTAAACCAGGACTAAACCAGGACTGAACCAGGACTGAACCAGGACTAAACCAGGACTAAACCAGGACTGAACCAGGACTAAACCAGGACTGAACCAGGACTGAACCAGGACTAAACCAGGACTAAACCAGGACTGAACCAGGACTGAACCAGGACTAAACCAGGACTAAAGCAGGACTGAACCAGGACTGAACCAGGACTGAACCAGGACTGAACCAGGACTGAACCAGGACTAAACCAGGACTAAAGCAGGACTGAACCAGGACTGAACCAGGCCTGAACCAGGACTGAACCAGGACTAAACCAGGACTGAACCAGGACTGAACCAGGACTGAACCAGGACTAAACCAGGACTGAACCAGGACTAAACAGAACTGAACCAGGACTGAACCAGGACTAAACCAGGACTGAACCAGGACTGAACCAGGACTAAACCAGGACTGAACCAGGACTAAACCAGAACTGAACCAGGACTGAACCAGGACTAAACCAGGACTGAACCAGGACTGAACCAGGACTGAACCAGGACTGAACCAGGACTGAACCAGGCCTGAACCAGGCCTGAACCAGGCCTGAACCAGGACTGAACCAGGACTGAACCAGGACTAAACCAGGACTAAACCAGGACTGAACCAGGACTAAACCAGGACTAAACCAGGACTGAACCAGGACTAAACCAGAACTGAACCAGGACTGAACCAGGACTGAACCAGGACTGAACCAGGACTAAACCAGGACTAAACCAGGACTAAACCAGGACTAAACCAGGACTAAACCAGAATTGAACCAGGACTGAACCAGGACTAAACCAGGACTAAACCAGGACTGAACCAGGACTGAACCAGGACTGAACCAGGACTGAACCAGGACTAAACCAGGGCTGAGGATCAGTGCTTGTAAACATATGTCTTCATCCTGAGTTTCTTCTGTGACGGTAAAAGTGCAGCTACAGAAGAACCGGCGTCTGCATCTAAGCTCCGCCCACTTCCGTGTTTTCCTGACGCAGGACGTCAGAGACGCACGTGTTTGGAATGTTATGAATGTGATTGAAACGCAGATGTTCGTTATGTGTCGATGCAAATGATTTCATAAATCATGTGGTTTTGCATGAACATCAACAAACACTGTAGAACAAAGAATCCTCAATATATTTAGAAATAAATACATGTTTTGCATTTTTGTAGAAGATTATTTTATAAGAAGCTCAGAAGCTGAGAAAGTGTGAGCTCCCCTGAGTAACAGTATAACACCTCTAACCTTAGCATCATACAGATCTGTCAATAAATCAGCCCTAAAGAGAGAGACCAGAGAGAGAGAGACTGGAGAGAGAGAGACCAGAGAGAGAGACTAGAGAGAGAGACTAGAGAGAGACCAGAGAGAGAGAGACCAGAGAGAGAGACTAGAGAGAGAGAGACCAGAGAGAGAGACCAGAGAGAGAGAGACCAGAGAGAGAGACCAGAGAGAGAGAGACTGGAGAGAGAGAGACCAGAGAGAGAAAGACCAGAGAGAGAGACCAGAGAGAGAGAGACCGGAGAGAGAGATACCAGAGAGAGAGAGACTAGAGTGAGAGAGACTAGAGAGAGACCAGAGAGAGAGAGACTGGAGAGAGAGAGACCAGAGAGAGAGACCAGAGAGAGAGAGACTGGAGAGAGAGAGACTAGAGAGAGAGAGACCAGAGAGAGAGAGAGACCAGAGAGAGAGAGACCAGAGAGAGAGAGACTGGAGAGAGAGAGACCAGAGAGAGAGACCAGAGAGAGAGAGACTAGAGAGAGAGAGACTAGAGAGAGAGAGACCAGAGAGAGAGAGAGACTGGAGAGAGAGACCAGAGAGAGAGAGACCAGAGAGAGAGACCAGAGAGAGAGAGACTAGAGAGAGAGAGACTAGAGAGAGAGACCAGAGAGAGAGAGAGAGAGACCAGAGAGAGAGAGACCAGAGAGAGAGAGAGAGACCGGAGAGAGAGAGAGACCAGAGAGAGAGAGACCAGAGAGAGAGAGAGAGAGAGAGAGAGAGAGACCAGAGAGAGAGAGACCAGAGAGAGAGAGACCAGAGAGAGAGAGAGACCAGAGAGAGAGAGACTAGAGA